CTCCATCGTCGTCACTTTCAAAGCGTACCAAGACCGCATCTGGGGATCGTGCCGGAATGGGCGCCACTTTGGCTTGTGTACATCAGCTCCTTTGTCGCCATGATTGCCATCACCTTTGGCGCGCTCCGCTTCGGCGAGGTGGGCATGGATATTCTCAAGTCGCTTCGGCCTCTCGTGCTCTGCCTGATCCCTACCTCGGAGTACGGCATCTACCAGATGCGAGGGCGGCGGGCCAAGCTCAGCCAGCGGGTAACGGAGCTCATCAACACTCTGGGGCCCGAGATGTTCCCCGATTTCGACAAGACGCGCATTGTCGGCCGCGATGCCTCGCGGCCGGTGGACTCGGCTATCGCCTCGGCGGTGGCAGCATCTGGTGAAGATGGCAGCGCAGACAGCAGACCGAGCGGGTTCGCACGGCGAAGCAGCGAAGCGTCGACACCCGGTGCGGGAGACGCAGCCGAGACGCCCCCGTACTTTTCGCGGCGAGGCACAATGCACTCGCTGTCCAGCTTACCCCGCAACGAGTCGTATAGCAACATTGGTGGCGTGGGTATGTTCTCGACACGACCGCCGTCGCGAAACCGGTCCCGAAGCAGCAGTGGCGGGGCGGGTTCCCCGTCAGCGCTTTCACGACACTCGATTCTTCTGGTGGCTTCGACGAGGCATCGAGGAGAATCAGGGAAGCGATGAGGGAAAGGCGGAGGAAGAGCACAGTGCAGCTGAACCGGGCAGGGAACGAAGACGACGAAGGCGAGAGAAGCGACGAGGATGAGGACGAGGAATACGACGAGGCGAGGAAGAAGAAGGAGTAGAAGGAATAAAGGATGGGAAGAAGTAGACAAACGGATGGTTAATGGCGTGTCGGGCGTGTTCACCCACCGGTCCCGGCCTTCTTTTTGGTTTTTTCCTCGACTCGTTGTTGTTACCCTATTTCTTTCCTTTGACACTTGTTCTAATCCCTGGGTTTCTGGAGGAGTCTTGGGGGTCCCTGTTTTGCCTGGGGAGGGGGTTTTTTTCTCTGGGTTGGCCTTTCTTACTTGTTCTCCTTGTCACTTTCTCTCTTGGTCCCCCTTCCTGTTCTTTTACCGAAGAAAGAAAAAAGATGGTTTCTTCTACTGGTACCCGCGAGCTACGGTTTACGTCTCCACATGCAGCGGTTTCTCTCGTTTCATAATTTTCAATGTTGCCATCTACTCGCCAGAGATAACTATACAATAAACTTGTACTCTATTGAATCTCGCTTCTAGCTTCGAGGTGCGTGGTTTTTCTAGCATCGGCGTCGCGAGGACGATATGGATCCTTCCACGGATGCATCGTGGAGCTGAAGGATATTGAGACTATAGGTAGCCAGCCAGTCAGGACAAGAGGATATCTAGCTAATTCTTGTACCGGATTGGTAACGAGCGAGACGTGAGTTGAGCGTCGTTTGGACGGCTCCACCCTGATGTCCACGTTGTAGTATCGGGAGAGACGTTTGTCGTGGGCAAGCCTATTACCAATCTAGGCTGGGGTACGGGAATGTGGGGGCAGTTGAATGGAACAAGAGACGAATACAGCTGAAGCTTGTTCCCGCATTCACTTCAGAGATGTCTTTCGGGCGTTCGGGGCTCGGAAAACCAAGTGTCCAGCCGGCGAGAAGGAAGAACCGTGCTATCTCCGAAGGCAGATAGAGGAAGAGGAACGATGCGTCGCTTCCCCTCCTCTCCCCGAGGATTCACTTCGGTTCGGCATATTAATAATTTAGCGATGTCTCCGGGCGGGCTTACATATCCGTTATCCCCAATGGCGTGTGTGTGTGTGTGTGTGTGTGTCCCCGCTAATCAATCCATCAATAGATATCTCTCTCTAAGTCCGCGGGTGTCAATGTGTTCCAGTCTTCTCTTAGTGCCTGACGCGGGGAAGCCAACGACCAAATCAAAAGAAAAGAGAAAAGAAAAGAAACAGTGGCCATCCCCCTCTCCGTTCCCCTCCCTTTTTCTGGAGTAGCCTTGCACGGCTTTTTCGTGTAGATGACGACTTCGGGCCAAACGAAATGGCGGGGAAATCGTGCTGGCAGATGGCGGGGTTTACAAGGGGAGGGGGGTGGGCTTGCGGCTCTTTCTTTGGATTGTTAAGCAGGGAAATAATTAAGAGCAAGAGCTCGAAACGGAGAAAGTGAATAGCTCGGGGTTTGCCTCACTCCACTCGGGGTTTTGCGCGTGTAATTCTTTTTCTCTCTCTAAATGAATACATTCTTCTTTTCCTCTTGACTGATCTCTACTAGCTTTTTTTTCTCTTCTTCTTTCGTCCTTTTTCAACATCTCTTCTATACCCACTTTTTTCTCCCCTATTTTGGTAGCTTTCAATTCTTTCCGTCTCGGTTACGAAGGTTGAGCCGATCGTCTCCCGAAAGTCGGGCTCGCTCTCACCTCGCCTCACCGACATCCAACGTTTTCTTTACCTCACATCCACTGGTTACCAACCCTCTCCGTCCGGGACTTACAATTCGCACACCCGAGAGTGCACACACACACACACACACACACACACAAGTCTTAAGTGATCCACACAGTGGCGACATTGAACGTCCTCTTACCTCTTTCCGCACACAGCTCCCTCCTGCGCTCAAGGAATAGGAACGCACACTTATACAACAACAGTAGGAGAAGAAGGGGGAAGAGAAAAGAAGAAAAATGACTTCTCCTCCTCCTCCGGGCAACGCATGGAGCTTCCGCTCCCTCATAAACTCCACCAAGACATTGGCCATGACGGTATCGGGCAACCGGTCAGCGGAAGGCCCGGCGCCGCTAACTGAGATCTTCCCCGAACGGACCCGGCGGTGGACGGGGACGAGTGCTCTCATGACTGCCAGTCGTGCACGGTGCGGTACCCCAAGACCTTCAAGATGGAGGAATCAGACGACTTGTATGGCTTCGTCAAAGCGTGGGAAACGCATCTGCTCGTGGCAACGGGGAAAACTGATTGGGTGAGGGATGTGGAACATGAGAAGAAGAGCGTGATGGAGGCGTTTGGCAAGGCCTCCGGGCCGAAGAATGGGGTAGGCGTCTCTCTATATCTCCCCTCCCCCTTCATTTATCTACGTTTATATGATGTGAAAGGGGAGCGCCATGTGCTAACCTAAGAGAGCCCCGATGGGGCCACCCTTGCCCGCGCGTAGAAGCTCAAACTCTCCGCGTCAAACATACCCACGCCGAGCGGCACGACGGACTATTCGGAGCCCACGTCGGTGCTGCTGCTGCCGGCCTTTACCGTGATTGACCACGTCACACCCAAGAGGGTGCCTCTCCTCATCGAGGAGGTCATTAACAAGGCGCCCACCAACACCTCGCCCCTCGCGCCTTTTGCACTTCCCAAGGTCATTCCGGACACAGGGATAGAAAGCGGGACGAACGGCGCGAACGGCGACGACAGCGACAGCGTAGAGGCCGAGGGGCTCGAAGAGGAGGTAGAAGAAGCTGCCAAAGCCGACTCGAGCAGTGCGACTGGGGAGGACATTGCTGCTAACGCCGCCCCCACAACGACGGCGGCAAAGACCACGACGCCGACTCTTGCAGCGGGGCTCGTGCCGCCCATGACGAGCCGGCCGTGCCCCCACCAGGTCCTCGTGCTCCTGTGCTCGCAAAAGACGCGCGACGCCCGCTGCGGCCAGAGCGCACCCCTCATCCGCAAGGAGCTGGAGCGACACCTCCGCCCGCTGGGCCTGTACCGCGACCTCGACGACGAACGGCCCGGCGGCGTCGGCATCTACTTCATCTCCCACGTCGGCGGCCACAAGTACTCGGCCAACGTCATGGTGTACAGGCGGCCCGATGCCTTTGGTATCGATGACGTGCAGAGGGCGAAAGCCCCGGGGATGTGGTGCCGGTGGCGAAGAAACTTACTGCGAGGACGGAAAAAGAAGCGGGAGAAGAGGCAGAAGTGGGAGACGAGGGGGACGTCGGGGCGGCGCAGTGTATCTGGTTGGCGAGGGTGAGGCCGGAGGACTGCGAGAACTTGGTGCGGTTCACGATATTGCAGGGCAAGGTGGTGAAGCCGGAGAAGCAGCTTCGGGGAGGATTCGATAGGGGTCGGGGCATGCTGAGCTGGTAAGGAGCGTAGTAAAGGAGTATAGGGATTTAGAGTAGAGATGAACTAGAAAAGCCGCCATCTACAACTGAAGCCTGTGACATGACCTTTGACATGATCTTAGTGAAGGTGACGGAAAACCCGTAGCTATTAATGTTCTTCTTCACCTGTTGATAACCCCTAAGCACGCTTATATATTTCTAAAGTTTCCTCGTTTTGATTAACGTATTTCTACTAAGAAATAGGCTTTTCTCTTTTCGCCATCCTCTTCTCTAATAATTCTTGGGGAACCTTTTTCTCTGCCTCAAGTCTTTCCTGTTGTGGCCTTTCGTGATTCCAATGGCAGTTGAGATTGATTAGGCATCTCAAAATTTGGAAAGACGCTAATACTGATGGTGCCTTCCTTGGCGCCAGGTACACAGCGGATGAGTGGAGGCAGGTGTGATGGGGTTGGACCGTTGGACCCAGCACATGCAATTATTCATGTAATACTTGTACTTGTAGAAATTTGACCTGGGTCCTCCTTCCAACCGAAGCTAAAAAAACTAAAAGGGGAAACACCAAAGTGCAGGAGCTGTGTTCTCCCCCAAAACCCAGGAAGGTGCTCGCTGGCTTTTGATAGGCCCCACCCCTGTCGGATCTACGCCTTCCATACTCGTCCCACTCGCGAGAGGTGACGGTGACCTGGGCTTTTCCTTCAAGACTGCCTGCCGTGCAACCTCGACGACATCTCCTTCCCTATCCCTTATTTATGACGATCTCTTTTAAAGTTGTGCGAGCCCTCGTCTGAGACCGGTTTCCCTCCCCCACCACTCCATCCCCACCTTCCTCCAAACGTCTCCCATCGAGTTTTCCAACGTAAATCGCCGACACAATAAGGAAGGAGTAGCAGAAGAAGAGGAAGGGGAAAAAGCCACAGCTAAGAAATAGTGAAGATGGCGCCCGCACCCTGGGAATCGGTTCCCTGCCATGAGCAGTTCTTTGCACTCATCACCGGCGCAAATAGGTAAAATTTTTCCCCAGCGTCCCCCTCTTTCTCGCCCTTCGCCAACGCCGCTCGCCTTTGCTCGGCCGATATCGCGCCTATGCAGTCATTCCTCCCCCAGCTAACACTTCTCTTTGCCTTCCACCAGCGGCGTAGGCTTAGGCTTAGGCCAGCGCCTCATCGACGAGTTCCTCCACCAGCGACCTCTCTCCCACCACCTCATCCTCCTACCGACCACCCGATCTGCCCGCAAATCCCGCGAGACCGTCCTCGCATTGCGCCGACATCTCGAGCACACTGCCCGCAACTCGGAGAGCCTGTGCGCTCGCTCTGGCGGCGACGAGAGCTATGCTTGGCCTCAAACCTTTCGCCGCGTCCACATCCTTAGCCCCCAGCTCGACCTCACCGATCTAACCAACGTCTACGACTTCGCCGCCGCCCTCGTCAGGGGCACCGTAAGCAACCCACCCGACGAGGATGGTATGGCCGATAACCTGACTGACGTACGCATCCCCCGCCTCGATGCTGTCGTCTTCAACGCTGGCTTCGGCGGATGGGACGGGCTCGATTGGTTTGGCCTTGCCAAGATGGTCGTGCGGGAGGGCATTTCCCAGGCCGCCACATGGCCCGACTTCAAACTATCCACCCCCGGTGGCGTTATCAAGCAGAAACGGCGCATCACAGACCAAGGAACGGGGAGAAGGTCGAAGGCACCGAGAAGGCTGGCTCCAGGGAGCAGATCGATGAACCTGTCCTTGGCGAGGTCTTTTGCGCCAACGTCTTTGGTCACTACCTTCTTGGCCACGCTCTCATGCCCCTCCTTGCCCGCGCGGATGGTGACGTTATGAGTCCTGGCAAGATCATCTGGACAAGTAGCATTGAGCCCTCTACCTGCCACTTCCGTCTTGACGATTTGCAGGGTATCGTGACCTCGGGCGCTTACGAAAGCTCAAGCGTCTCACCGACATCCTCGCCCTCACCTGCAGTCTCCCCTCTGTCCTCCCCGCCTCGCGCAACTACTTCCGCCTTCCCGGTGCCGACGCCCCCGTCGAGGAGTGCTACAGACCCCGCGTCTACCTCACCCATCCGGGTGTCCTCGCTACCACCCTTTTCCCCCTTCCGTCTTGGCTCTTCTTGGTCTACCGCCTCGCGCTCGTCTTCATCCGCTTCATCGGCTCACCCTGGCACACGGTCGATGGCTATCCTTCTGCTGCTGCCCACGTCACCATCGCACTCGAGTCTCAAGACGCCCTCGATGAATCTCACGCCGAACGCGTTAAGTGGGGATCCGCATGTAGTCGATTGGGCCGCGCGGCTTCCAAGAAGACCGAGGTTCAAGGCTGGGGCTGGGAGGGCGAGGCCGATTCTCGCAGCATCGACGAGCCTGGCTTCCTCTCCAAGAAGGTCGGCAGGTGGGCTCACGCCACCGAGACCACCGAGGAGGACAGGGTCGCCTTTGAAGAGATGGGTGCCCAATGTTGGGCTGCCATGGAGAAGCTGAGGGCGGAGTGGGAGGATAGGTTGGGACTGGGTGCCGTGGGCTCCCAGGATGCAGAGGACGAAGATGAGGATGACGAGGATGATTACGATAATGTTGATGATGCCAGCAGTGACGAATAGAACAAAGGGGTCGACTCTGGTGGAGGATGATGAAGGACAAGCACAAGATATTGGGCTATTTCTTTTTGGATACCCCCTTTCCGCACTTTTTTGTCCCATGTTCTTTTTCCCATTTTCCCTCTCCCTTTCTTCAGTCACGTTTACGCGTATACACGACCCTCACTTCCTCTAGCGCTCCCTTTTTTCTTTTCTTCCCTGCTGTTTTCCCCTTGAATTCTATCATCATAATAGTCGTAATACTCGAGACCTAGGTGCTCAGACAGGTAAAGCATATGTGCAGGATGAGAGAGAGATATAATAAATGATAAGGCGAGATAAACCCGCGGGGTATATATATATATGTATCTGTTTTCCCGGTCTTGCTGCATAGCGAATCCAACATGGCTTACAGCCTCATCTGCGTGGCTTCTTGGCCCATTTGGCTGGCTTCATTTCACAAGAACAGGAGAAGGTCTCTCGCCCTTGATAGCGGCCTAGTATGGGCCTACTCCCGGACCGACAATGTGCATATCCCATTACCGCATCCTCCTGGTCGTCCATGAGATGTAACCGAGAGTCCTTCCACTCTTCCTCCGCGCCCTATCTTGCAGGGAAAAGGACACAAGTAGTAGATGGAACCGACCCTTGATATCCAGGAGAAGAGAGAGGGAATAAAGAGAATGGATGCGAGACCAAATTACCCAAATTACCCAAAATGTACAATAAAATGTACAGTGTGCGGTCCCTCGCCCATTCTTTATTCAGGGAGTAGAGAGGATGGTAAATCTCCTCTGGAAGCGAGGTTCCAGATATCCAGGGGCAAAACCCTCCGAAAAACAAAGAGGGAAAAGGAAAAACCTGCGAACCGCAAAAGTAAAGCAAATCAAAAGCAAACCCAAGGCCAGAAATCCAAGAAAAGACAAGAAACAAGAGGCCAAAAAGCCGAGGCATAACTAGGTTGCCAACCTAAGGCCACGCTCATCGGATCTCACGCGCCTCAAGCTAATCTTGTCCTTTCTGCCAAAGAGGCCGAGGAAGAGGGGCAGGGGCGCGCTGACGCACGCGACGACGGCCTGGACGATGAGAGCCTTGTCGAGGTTGCCGGGGGATCGGCGGAGTCGCTGGCCTTGAGCTCGCCGCAGATGATGATGAAGATGGCGCCAATGAGCTGGCCGCCGGACCAGGCAATGGTGGAGGTGATTTCGGGGCTGACGGGGTAGCTCAGCTCGGTGAGCAGTTCGAGGGCGCAGGGGACGAGGGAGAAACCGGTGGCGCCGATGAGGGCAAGGATGACGTAGGGGCCGGCGATGGAGCCCGTCTGGGGCATCCAGACGAAGACGAGGTAGGCGATGGCGTTGATGGGGATGAGGCACTTGATAGCGAAGACAAAGGCCTTGGTGCGGTCGAGGAGGGGAGACGATGGCGGAGGCGACAAGGCCGACGAGGATGAGGAGGCCGCCGCCGATGCCGGCGTCATCTTCGGAGAAGCCGTGGGGCTTCATCTCTTGCGAGAGGAGCGTGGAGATGAGGTTGAACAGACCGACGTAGAACCAGAACGTGAGCATGACGAGCCAGAGTTCGAGGTTGCGGCCGACTTGGACGACGGAGGCGCGGATGCCGGGGCGCACGTGCTTGGACGAGGGCGCGACGGGGGTCGGGGGTCTCGCGGGGATGAAGAAGGCTGGGATGCTCGCGACGGAAGACTAGAGAGGCGGAAACAAAAAGGTTTACGTTAGTGAGCCCATTACTTTCCGAGCTAATCGCGAAAGTGGGTTGTGACGAATAGATCTATATCTATGTATGCACGAAACAGCCCGCGGTTGTGGATGAAGGAAACCCAAACTTGGATATCCAAACGTCAAGGCAGAGGGAGGAAAGAGGGAGCCGGTCACAACTCACAATGATGGCAACGTAAAGGACCATTCTAGACACCTGCTCGCTCTTGCCACCCGGGACCAGCTCGGGTACAATGAGTTGGCCGAGGGCGGCGCCGAGGGGGTTGGCAAGACTCATGATAGCGGTAGCAGCCACGCGACCCCTGGTAGTGAACCACATGTCGGAGTACCTGGTCGGGGCGGCGAGCACAAAGGGCTGGGCGAGGCCGGTGAGGATCTGGCCAAACATGACGACGCCAAACTTTCCGCCGGTCGGTTCGAACTTGTAGGAGCCGGCGAAGCGGATCCAGTTTCCGAGGAGCACGAGGGTGGCGGACACCATGATGGAGGGCTTGGGCCCCAGGTGCAGGATCTTGATGGTGACGGGAGCGATGACGGGGAAGGCGAGCATGAAGGCGGTGGACAGCCAGTTGATGGCGACGGCATTCACGCCATAGTAGGTCGCCGCGGCATCGGTGACGGGTGCAAAGGTGAGCCACTGGGAGCAGGATTAGCCAACTTGGTCCAGAGACGATCCATCCGTTGTTGTCCTTTCGATGACTCTGTGTGACTAGAAAGACTCGATCGCCACCTGGTGGCATTGGGCGGGCTGCGCCTAGACTCGAACTGAGAAACGGCGATGGGTCTCCCGCTGTTCCTAGTTTCGTGATTGGGGGAGGAGAGTGTGAGAAGGCTGCAACTTACATCCCAGCTCACCACGATGTTGAGCAGCACGAGCTGAGCCAATCCGAACCACCTGCGCTTATACGTGCGATAGACTGTCGAATCATCGACATCTTGTGTCGTAGCGGCATCACGGTCGGCGAGCTCATACCCTTCTTCGCCGCTCGCGGCCTTGTTGTCCTCAGAGGAGACGCCTGCGGTGGTGGCCGCACCTTGATTATACGGCGAACGCGCCGGCTGTGTCATGATGCGCGACGAGTTCCAGACAAGATGGCGGGAGTCTCGACAGCGAGCGAAGGGGATAGAGAGGGGAGACGAGTATGCAAGAGTCAAAGAGTTACAAGTCGCTGGAGATGAGGGAGGAAAAAAAGATATTAAACTATTCTCAACGATGGGTAGGAAAACTGGCAGGGGCAAGGGGTCAGCAAAAACACTCTAGGGGCTAGCCCGCAAGAGGTAAGATGCCGGGGAGGGTTCGGCTGATGGTTTTCGTGGCGTTCGCGGCGGCGTCCCGTGCAAGGCGGCGGCTGGGTGCAGAAGGGATCAACCAAGTTGGATTTTGTGATATCACCCAAGGGGAGCTATTCGCCAAGGCCAAGGCCAAGCCTCACCTGTCGGCTGCGGAGCGGAGGGTGGTGAGGGTGCGGAGGGCGAAGAAGGGGAATGTGGAGGAAGCAAGGTGGATTCAACACATGGGAGGGATGAGAAATGTCAAGGATGCACTCGAGGGCAAAATAAGAAGGGAAAAGAAAAAAATCGAAAGAATAGAGAGGTTGCTAGAGTGGATTGGGTAATATTAGTAGGGGAAAAGGGTTGTAGAACAGCGATCAAGCGGACACAGAGATGGGCCAAGAGGAGAATTGAACGATGGGGATCACGAGAGCCATGCGATCCCTCCATCACCATGTCAAAATGTCACCAAGCCCGAAAAAGAGTGGTGTCTCGCATCGAGGGGGAATGGGGGAGGGGAGAACCCACTACGGGAGTAACCCCAGCTATCTAACGAGAAAAAGGGGTATACAAAGGAATACAAGCCAAATGCGGTCTGGGCGGAAGTGAAGGGTGAAGGGGTGGCCAGGCAAGCCAGGAAAGCAAAGCAAAGAAAAAGGAAAAGGAAAACCAGGACGGGGGGACTGTCGACATCCGGGCAAAGGCCGGGGAGATGAGACAGGTCGAATCCACTATCAACCAAATAAAGCTTGAATCAAAAAGCCGGCCAGTCAAACCCCACAAGCGCCCTAGGAAAGGGACGACAAGGAGCACTTGAGCTCCGCAAATTTCGAGTGCCTCTGCCTCACAACGAATGTTCAGCGTTGGGGAGGAATGGCGTGTAGTGTACATTGTATTTTCGACACAACCCTGGATCGACATGGCCGCTTTGTCTTCTTCCTTCTTGTTGGTTTCTTCGTTTCCCGCTCTCTTCTTTCGTCGATTACTTATTTTTCTTCGGGCGGCTTGCTTGTCCCTTTCCCCGCTCGCTGCAAGGAGCCTTTGTCTTTGTCGAGTCTGCTTGGATTTTTAGTGTGGACCAAGTATTAGTTCATTGATCAAATGTCGATGCAGAGGTCCCTTTCGGAGCGAGGTCTCCAATGTCCTCCAAGGCAGGGGTTACATTTGGTGCATCTCACGCATCTCACCACCAACGTACCCCGTACAAGTACCTGCACCCAGTAAGATTAGTCCTGGCTCGTTTTCTTCCCGTTCTGCGACGCAGGATGCGACGATACAGGTTGTGGATATTTGGCGACCACGATGCAATGCACAAGCATTGAAAGCCCGGAAAAAAAAAAAAAAAGAGAAGAAACAAAAGGAAGGCACACAAATCCGGTTCGCCTTGTTGGTTTACGAATACCTCAATGCCCGCTAAGACCAGCTCCTCGAAATGTCCTGGGAAGGATCAATCCGCAACAAGATTGAAGATTGTCGAGTATTATTACTATATTAGTCCCAACGTTCATCATGCTTTGTGCCACAACCGGCAAGAACTACCTGTTCTGAGCTACCAAGAACCTGGAGCACGGGCTTGAGGGGCCGAGAATCACGTGTTATCGAAAGTTCCCAAGTTCGAGCCAAACTTGAACTCGCAAGTTGATACAAGTACGGGGTAGGTCACTGCAGCAAGCAAAAGCAGTCCAGTCCAGTCCCAGAATAATCTTGAAGCCCCCAGCGATCTTGCAGCAGGAACGGGCATAGCGTGCGGCGAGTTGGTACGAAGCAGGTGAGGAGGGGGAGAAAGAGGGAGCTCAGCGCATGTGCCTCGGCTCCTGTTGGTTGGCTTGGCTGACGCGAGCGACGTGGAAGGAATGGTCGTTGGAACAGCCACCGGAAAAGAGGCCCTCCCAATATGTATGCTGTAGTGTAGAGCCCCAGCCCAGGGCTCTCCCAATGAGCGTGATTGTGCAACCAAATAAAGTTTTCGTGGTGTGGGAGGACGAGGCGCCGTCTCTTTCCCTGCCTCGCTCGCTTCATTATTTGATGGCCCATCTAGCGCGTGAAGGATCGAGACCTTTCGGCCGCTGCTTACACTAATACAAGTATTCCACAAAGTAGTATTACGCTACCTGTAGCCGAGCCCTGGGAGCTTGAAATAGCCCCGAATCCTCATTCCGCCACGCAAGCCACACAGCATCGGATTCGACCAGACTCCCCGAGTGGCCAAGACTCGACATCCCAATCATGAGTCGAGTCGGCCCTCGAAGCCCTGGAGGGCTGCCAGAGATGAGATTTGAACCGGGGTCCCCCTCCCCATTTGGACCCATGATTGTGCGCATGTAGCGGGATTGTTACCGCGTTATGATGTACTCCAGATCTGATGGCTAGCCAAAAGAAAAACAAAAAACAAGGGGATTCCTTGACGACTCCAACTTACTTGTAGTGTAGGTGGAAGAAACGGGTTCATGTCAATAGCAATGTGAAGAGTGGGAAGAACGCAAAGAGCGCCAGCACTTGTCCCTTGGAAGAAACAAACCTGCTCCCTTCTGCGTCTGATCACACAGGAGCCGACATGAACCCAAGCCATTCGGCAGAAGCAGCTGCAGCTTGGCCCCCGTATCCAGGTCATCGGGCGCGCGCCTCAACCACTGAACAGAACCACCACCAAACGCGGCACGGATATTATCACCCAAGGACCAGGCGATCCCATCCCAGCGCTCAACGGATTAGGGATGGGAGGGGAGATTGATTAAAATAAATAGACCCAAGGAAAGCTTGTGTCCTCCCCTTCCCCCTTGTTGGTGCGAGCAGCTGTTCTTTTTCTTTGTAGCGGGTGAACCATCTCTCCCTTCAGATCTATCCATCCATCTTGTTCATCTAGACGGACCTTGGTTCACAGACATTCGCTTAATTTCTTTCTTCTTGGTCTACTGAATATTCGGCTCCGACGGGGCTTATGTACAAAAGGAAACGTCCGATTCCTTCCCATTCAATGCCAAATCCTGGTTCGAGGCTGGCAAGAGTGATGAAAACCATGAGACTCCTCACCCATCCTTTTTCTTGATCTATTTGATATTTCGTAAGCTCCAACCAACAGCAGCTCCCAACCTTGCAATCTATACTTTTGGAGGAAAAGGAGCTAGCTCCTCGAGGGAGCTTGGCCATGACCGCCTCTCCTTGCATGTCTAGCAGCTTCGCGCCTTCTCAGCCGTTCACAAGTCTTACGTAGACGGTATCAGCTCCCCTTCTTTTGCTTCCGTCTCTTCAATCCAAGCAGATGCCCTCCATCCTCCCCCACCTCGTTCAAGCTGGACGTTGCGACATCTAGACATCCTGCAGCACAAGGGAACGAGCTCGTTCATAGACCCCCAATCACCTTAACCAGGAGAGAGATCCAACGCAAGGCACCAAGTGCGTGCGACAAGGCTTTGCGGGATCCCCTTCCACCCACCTAAACTTGGCTCACAAGAGTGATAGTAATGAAAGCCATCTGAAAAGAGAAGGAACCCAGTGCCAATGCTATCGCAGGGCTTCAGCCCCGACATCATCATCATATAGACATCAAAACAAAGGCTGCGTAATTTCTCCCTTTCTCGCGTCGGTGAATCAACTTGTTCACACCCTCGCTGTCAAAGGCCTCGTGTGAACCGTCTTTCCCTGTCTTCGTCTCCCAAGTAGAACACGCCCGTATCCTTGGTAGACGAAATGTTCTTTCCATTGCGGATTGCACTCATCAGATCAATACCTCGACAAGCGCAGCAAACCACCCGCGCCCTGACGAGCCTGTTGACTCACCCTAAGTCTTTGCCGGCGCAGGCCAAGGTTAAGGAAAGAGGGTCGAACCGGTGTGGTGGGGCCTCAGGGTGCCGCACAAGACGACAGCCATCCGATATCATGAAGGGGCACAATCTCGGTTAGTATCCTCATCCATGTGAGGTTTTCTAGTGGAGTGAAAATCTATTGTTCGTCGAATCAGCTTCTTTATGATACATGACCAAAACTACATTTGCGGCACTCTCTCCAGACATCCGTCTATACACCATATCATATAACGAAAAAGAAAAGGCCGTGTAGGCACCACTTCCTGGGCCAGCAACCGCCATTCGTTCCTCGATCCCCGGCCAGGCTGGGGCACGACCGCATCGTGATTGCCAAGTGGCCACGGCCAACCGTCTGATGCTTAGAGTCGAGCCATCCGCGATGAAATTGCTAGATCAACCCGCCCCAGACCATCACACCATGCGCCTTTTGTTGTTGTTTTTTGCCTTTTGGGGGTTAAGAAACCGTTTACTTGAGCTTGGCCCAGAGCTTGGGGGCCGCGCATTCGCTGGCGCAGTGAGCAAGGTGGAAGACTAAACGCAGAGGGGGAAATCGTTAGCACCACACATCTCGTCAGTTAACCAGGAGGGGCAGAAAGGACAGGCACGGGTATAGCACCCGCCACCGGGAGCTTGACACAAGCCGAGCCTTGCAGCTCGCCAGCGTAGGACGGGCGGGTAATGGGGTGATAGACGTACACTCTTCAACGCAGTCCTCGTCAGCCTTGCCGTTCTCGTCGATGGCGGCAGTGACGCGCTCGACGCACTCATCGAAGTGGTGCTTGGCGGGAGCGCAGGCCGCGGACTCCTTGCACTCTACATGTCTCGTCAGCTCTTATCCTGAAAAGGTATGATCCAGTACACCTTCGTTCGCCTTCGAGGATGTCCAGAAAATAGCGCTGCGTAGGTCGCACAAGCAAGAATGCGATGTGGTGGGGTGGTGTTTATTAGGGCTCGTGTCGGTATCGAGGGATGCGGGCGCGCTCAGAGGCCTAGAGCATTCGATTATGGATACGTACCGTTCTCAAGCTCCTCCTTGGGGTCAACTAGCTCCTCCTCCTCCTCTTCCTCTTCTTCCTCCTCCTCCTCTTCTTCCTCAGCCTCGGCCTCCTCCTCAGCCTCCTCGGCGGCCTCCTCTACCTTCGGTTCCTCAGGGTCTCATCCTATAAGCGCATCGCAGGTTAGCTATGGGAGTTCCCACTTGAGCGCATCGTCGATGCAAGCATCCACGACCAGGACCCCGCCGGGAGGGGCCAGTCAAGTGCCCGTGAAAACCAATTGACGGCCCAATTGATCGCACTGGATCAAGTTTGCATTGGAGGTCTGTCCAGAAAACCAGAGAAAGGCGTTCTCATACCTGAGTCTGGGGTTCCTCGGCGGGAGCCTCGGCCTCAGCCTCGCTCCACGGCATAGCCGCATCGAAGAGCTCCGTGACGGTCTCCCAGATACCCATGGTGATTTAATGTGGAATTCGTCGGCGCAGGAAAGCGAACGTTCTGAGAGGCGTAAGGCGGCGGAGGGTCAAGGGACAGGTTGTGGTTCGGTCGAAATTTGGCTTCAAGGTCCAAAATGAGGTGATATTCAACTCACGAAAAAGAGTCTCCCGTATTCCGAAGGGAAAGGCCCAAGGGAAAATTTAGGACGTGACCCCATCGGAAGAGCTCGGTTGCTGTCCTCAGGCGAAAACCTCACTCGCTGGGAAATTGAATCGCTTTGATTGGTCGGATGAGCCCATCCAATCACGTGCGGGTTCTTGGCCCATGCTTCGAGTTCGAGGTTCCCGATATTTCGTTTTGAGCCCAGCTTCCCGCCATTTTTCCGCCATTTTTCACAAGCCATTTTTCACAATACACTTTTTCGGGAACAATGCCCACTCCAACGACAGATGATCGTCACAGGAGAACAAAGAAACAACTTCTTGTGAACCGTGTTTGCCTCTCCACCACGGCATCTCGGGCCTTTTTCATTTCAGTTATTCTTGAATTCTAAGGCATCTATACAAGAAGCTCTCCTGCCAACCCAGGAAACTCGGCACTCCCTCAGTACCTTTCGTTCCAGTTGCATGCAAGTCCTCGTAACCGGCGTCCGCAGCAGGCGAAAGGAGGGGCCATTCCCTCCGGACTTTTGTTGCTATAGAGTTATGTTTCCGGCTCAAGTGATGAGGACCAGTTGACGCACAACGGCATGGTGTAGCGTAGCATGCAAACCCTTTTCCATAACACGCCGCATCCTTTCCATTATCCGGCAATCGCCGTCCTAGGCTTGAAGAAGTGCTAAAAACTAGGATAGCTCAATATAGAGCTCCCTTTTCGGGGGCCACCGATCCCGATTGCAAAGTCAACCATGCGTCGACCATGGAGAGAATTGTAAGCATTAGACAGGCGAGAAGTACTGCGATATCACGCGCGTCGGGGCTGGCAAGAGATCAGGAAAACTAGTAAAAAAATTATCATGGTATCATTGCGCTCAAAGAAATCCGTCTCGGTCGCATTGCTTTGGCGACTTCATCGCCCCCAGAGCTTGCGGAACGCATTGAGCTGGGCATCTGTGGTATGGGGTAGTCAAGGTCTAGCCATCGTTACCCCGATCCGCAGCATCTCGGATGTGGTCCTCAAGTCTCATGCTGATCGTCTGAGCTTGCGCTTCCTCATAGCCTGGCGGGGGCTCGTCTGGCGCGCGGCCACGACTCGCCGCGCTATCCGATCGGGTAGGAGCAGGTTGCGGTGCAAGATGGGCAGAGCTGCTCGCGTTGAGGGGTGCCTCATACGCCGGTAAGGGTTCGTCGGGGATCCTGACACTCTGACCAGTCTCCCTCTGTATCTCCCGGACGTGGTGAAGCCTCTCTTTCAACTCCTCAAAACGGCTCCTGAATTCATTATGGCCGCCGTCCTTGAAAGTCAATTTGACCTCGACGCGCGCAATGTCGGGGATTCCCCCTGAGAAACCGGAGTAACAACCGCAAACCAGTACCAAGAGCCGAACCATGGAGATGATATGTGAGAATCCTCAAAGTTCAGGATCGGCGCCGCAAAGGACTTGAACCCTTCCGCCGGTTTAGAAGGAAGATAAATGACCTGTGATAGAAAATGAGAAAACATGTTGTTTCGAGACCCCAACAGCCAGGCATCCACGGCCGCCCACCGACCACGGAATGCGGCGGGATGGCGGCTTTGAGAACTGCCTCGGTAGAAACATACCCTTTGATTTGTAATATAAGCCGTTCCGTTATCACTCTTCAGAGCAAAAGGGGCGGCGGTCCTGCCCTGAAGTGACTTTGGTAGAGTGAGGTCGATGCTCACCCTAGAGCCGGTAGTGTGAAGTATGTGCTCATGAGGTAGTCTGACAATGTCCCCGGAACGCGACAGCATTACCCAACTAGTTTTCTCGTCAGGTTCCTGGCTCACAGGCACGGTTTCAGGGGGCACTCCGAGCAATGGCATATGTATGTTGCTCTTGGAGGTACTGGTCTGTCATGGCTTTTGCAAGTGAGGTGCGCGAGGATGTGATGATGTTGTTGTGGGGAAAGGTAAGGCCGCCGGATAACCTAGGTACTGAAAGGGTTTGGTCCGGAATATTGCTCGGTAATCACACATCTAGCGTAGCATGGAAAGCAGGCGGGAAGGGGGCGAGGTTTGAGCGGGACGAAGTGTTTGCGAGGACAGGAGAAGGAGGAGAAGGAGGAGGAGGAGGAGGAGGAGGAAGAGGAGAGCAAATATTGATACCGGAAGCAAAGAGATGGGAAATGTCAAGCTCGCATGGGGTATAGGGGGACGGGGGAGAGGGGAAGCGATGGTGACAAAAGGCTCAAGGACGAGCAAAGAGAAGGGAAAGGGTCTAACTTACTTTATCGACATTTTGAAGGATGGATGGCGGCAGGCGCTGAATTGTGATTATAGAACCTAGCTTCTTTTTCTTTTTCTTTTTTTTTTTTTAGATTTTTTGCCCTCCTTTGGTCTCCTTGCCAAAAGTCACCAAGTCTTTGCCCTTCACGGCACGACCTGCAGAGCTTTCGGAAGATCTGGTAAGTGCTGGGCTGGTGTGGGGTGGGGTCAAGGGCCCGAGTCGACAAGGACGGAGGGAAGCAAAGGGGAGCCAAGGGCCCTAGAAGACCAGGACCTTTCTCAGACAGGCTGCTAGGATGTTGCTACCTTGCTTTCTTGGTACGGTACGCGAGAGTGAGTACTAGATGACGGGGAGGGTCTCGAGCTGGGAGGTGAGGGACGGAGGGGAGATGAATGACAAGGGGAGGAACGTAGAGCGTTGTACGGAATGAGTGTGAGGTGTGTCGCGCTTTGTGCGTCTGAGCTGGTTGAGGCGTGTGTGCGTGTGTGCGTGTGTGCGTGTGTGTCAAAGCAGCCCCAGCCCAGTTCCCGTCCGGCTCAGTGCTGGTACACAATAGCAATAATAGATCAATGACCTCTCACAGTTTAGGACCTGGAAAGGGCAATGGCATATTCCGAAGGGGGCGAGAAATAAGAGGGAAGGAAGGGGGCGTGGCTCGGAAAGTGGAAACGAGGCCTGCTGCCCCAGAAAGCAGAAAGGTATCTTTGTGGTCCTAGTTGCCGCAAGAGAGTGAGAGCAAGGACCTAGGGTACAAGGTACACGGTACCGGCCGGCGCTGATGTTTGGCGCTCAAGGCAAAAATGCTCCTCAAGGCTTCCAGGCAAACCCGGTCTAGGCTACTAGAAAGCACCTGAATGGGTAATAAAAGTGGGGGAAAGGTTGCTTGATGGATGTCAAGCTCCCGAGTGGCTTGACTGGAAAGGACAGTCATCTCGAAGGGGATTACGCAAGGCCAACAACAGTTCTTGTCAGACCTTGAAGCTTAGGTTTAGGTTCAGTGGGAGGACCAGGACAAGACGGGCAGGCGCCGGAGCTCTGCGATGCCCTTGACCCAGAATCGCGGGAATGGGTGACATCGACTATCCTCAGGTGGGGGAGGGGGACAATGGGAGTGGAGAGCAAAGGGGAGAAGCCGCGCTGGTTTGTCTCATTTTCGCGAATCACATAACCTTCACCTGTGAGAAAAAGATACCGTGACGTCCAAAAGAGGGGGCAGAGGGAAAAAAATGGGGGCCCAGCAACGACTGATGGTGGGGTCGATAAGAACTACGCTAAACTTGTTGCCTTGTTGACTCAATAGAGTGTAATTGCTCCCTTCCCCCGCGTCGAATGAAAAAGATCCGACAGGCATAAGAGGAGGTCCAAGGAGCATGGGGTGGGCATTTTATTACTTGTAATTCCATACAATGTAAAGGTTTCATCAAACGTCCTCGCCACTAGGGAGATAATCGTCGGATTCTTGGAAAGGAAGTAACGACTACATGCTACAGATGGGCGGTTGGCGAGCACATGCCTAGCCCTGAGCCGGACTCTCTCTCTTGAGGAATTCGCGGTTGCAGTTGCAGGGGAGCAAGTGAGCGATGCTTATGAAAAGAACTAGCGGGGAAAAGCAAAGGAGGAACGAAAATCAAAAAGGAAAGAGGAGGAGAGCCAACAACCAAAGAAGAAGAAAGAAAAGGAAAAAGGAAAAAGGGAAAATAGAAAAAGAAACAAGTCTATCATGTTCGTCCCGATCGGCCTCCTCCCAGGGGGCGTATGGGAAGTTCAACCCTGCGAGCAAAGAGTGATTGTCCAACCTGTTCGGCCCGGCTGGGCTGGACAGGAAAGGCCAAACGAGCGAGCGCAACCCTCGGTTCGATCTTGCGCGGTCTTCAGCTAACCAACCTGCAGCTTATAGGAAACTAGAGCAGCAAGCTAAATTACCAGACATGTCGTGGGGCGGCAGAACATCCTATTTAGGCATGAGAGGCATTAAACCGTCGACACTTGGAACACGGAACACAGCGAGCAAGCAGGCGCCTCAGAGCATCACAAACACGCAGCCCCGGACCAGTCCCCCGGGGACTCAGCTGCCTTTGTCTCTCTCTCTCCTGGGCACTTCGGTGTATCTAGCCTCCCCATGCCTCCAATCCGAGCGATGCTCCCCCTTCACACTGGGTACTGCTCTCGGTGGAGGGCTCTGTGCTATATCTCAGGCGAAAGGAGCGGTAATTTACCCACCACATGTCAGATCTTCAATTCTCCAGAGGCTCGGCGCCTGAAGCACGGGCTGCGGGGGCGCTTTTAGAAGTGCTTTTACCAGCCAGTGATTGTCGTGATATGCCGGGTAGATATCTATGGATCTATCTACAAGTACGGTTGGCGGCGCTGTCTCCATGCGAAAGGCCGTACTGGATTTAATTCCGAGTGCCCAGCGGATTTAGACTCCCCATGCCCGCTTTGGGCGGGGTAAGGAAGGGCAGGCAGCTAATTTTACACGCTGACGGAGTACATCTTCACACTCTTCCTCATCAACACTACCAACACCGCGTTCTCTTCTCCATCATTCCGGTCCAGCTCCCCTCCCCCAGCCCAATGTCTTGTCTTGAAAGGAAAAAGCTTGCCCGTATCGAGCCACGGTTAACGATGAGCTATTATGCTCGTGGGCATGAATCATTCCCCATAAACCCATCCGCAGCCCAAAGAGTTTAGCTCTTGCTCCGTGCGCCGGGTGAGCCAGTGATCCATCCCGACCAAGGTGGGTGGTGGACCACCCATCGAACCAACTGGTCAGTGCGACAAAGCAAGGTTGAAGATCAACAAAGGGTCAGTGTCGTTCTTGGCTTGGCGACACTGGGCCCTGGCTGGTTTCGCTTTCCGCCAGCCCTCCACCCCCATCATCCCACACTGCTGGGAATCCGGTGATCAAGTTCATGTGTCGAGCATTGATGCGCAGTTCCCTTCCTAGTGTACGCCCTTTGTGGCGGGGTCCTTTCTTTCCTTGACTTCAACCCCAATATGGAAAGGTGACGGGAGTCCGCTTTTCCCTGTCCTAACAGAGCTCTTTGGCTCTCTTCACCTCACCCCGTCCCCCGCCCGTTTTGCATCTCCCAACCATCCGTCCAAATTCCATAATGCCTCGACCCCACTGTTGAACAAACTCAGTCTCGGAATCATCGTCACTTGCCCGATATCCATGCTACATCATGTGTTCCAAGGTTACAACCAACAAAGCAGAGCAGGATCATGGATCCCATCTCGATGACTATCGTCTGGGACGGGGCATGGTTTTGATGTGGGCCTCGCTAAGGGCTCCGGCTTTTGCATAAGTCTATGTCCCATGCCAGTTCCCGATTTGGAGCCCATATTTAATAAGGCAAACTCCGCTCTCCGAAGGGCGGTGTGGGTCCATGTCCATCTCACAACCAAGAAAATAATAGCACAAGAGCATTATCAAAGGAAGACACCAGCCTTGGCCATCTATGCCCTCAGCTTCCGGGGCGGCTTCAAGCAAAGGCACGAGGTATAGCATAATATCCATCCATCCATTAGATTCGTAGATGCATTGGGAAACGGAAACAGGATTCAGGCCCTTGGGTTTTAGTCCCATCGCAAACATCCAGTTCTTGACTCTCTTCTTGAATTTTCCAGCTTTTATCGGGACAAGTTCTCCCCGATATGGCATCCCCAACACGACGATCCATGGCTAGAGGGGTGTTGCCTGGGCCATCAGCCCACCTTGTCTGTTTTAGGAATGTTTAAACCAAGATGCTTCGTGTCTCCAATTAAAGGAATCTAGAAGGACGGGAAAGGCACAAGACAGCCAAGATAACACCACGAAACTTACATGGGCTACAACCACTGGGCGACGCTAAGGTTGACCGCCTTCAGCACAAGTCCCTTTCGTGGGAAGTCTGACGTGGAGAGTTTGTGAAGAAAGAGGCAGCGGAAGAAATCTCTCCCCTCCCACCTTCTTCCTCCCACCTTCTTCACGCCAACATCGGGAGGGAGGTGTCAGTCGTGTCACTCACCGGCCAGGGGAATGATCCAGGGTTTCAAAAGTCTTTTCCACCAGCGTCAGAGAAGGTGTGGCCCAAAGGGGAGAGCGCATGGTCTCCCTGCACATGCGGGTTGTGCGAGCTAGCGCCCACTACTGTACGAGACAAGTAGTACATGCTGAGCGGTCCCGAGCCAAGACAGCGGGTATATCCCGATATCCTCGAACCAATCCACGAGATGCCTTAGAACAGACAGACTCGATCAGAATTGAGCCATGGACGCTTCGGCCCACGGTTGCACGAATCCTTCAGGCGCCGACGCCCGCTCAGGGTCTCGATTGGAAGCGTTTGGCATGAACAGGCTTCAAGCCAATGACCGACTCGTAGCGTCTTATGGTCCACCTGGGACATCCAAAGAAAGACAGGCCCAATGCAATCCTACGTGGAAGATAAACTCTCTGCTTGCCTGCTTCGCTCCCTCCCCCTGGTCTCGAAAGTGGGACAGCGATGGATCCCTTGCCGCTTACTATTCGATATCCATGGCGCTGCAGGTGTACTCCCGGTCATTTTTGCGGAGGAATTACGCCTCAGTATACTTAACCTTGCTGTTTGCACATCACTTTTAAAAGTGACGGCATTCTTCACTCTCGAGGCTACCTTTAGTCACACCGGCTGCCAGCTCCTTGACGGCTCCTTCTTCACATATTCTTTCTTCCCCGTCTCGTAACAAAATCATCCCCCATATTCCCCTGGTTCATGGTGGATGGCTTGCTCCTGCCTTTCTCCACAGTGGCCCAAACCCTGGAGAAAGATGTGAGCCAATGGCCTCTTGAGTATTGATCAATCAATAGGTGAATGTGATGGTTCATTCCGCTCATCTCCCGAGTGTGGCTTCCTGAGTCGGGCATTGGCCTTGCCACACCAGTCACGGGCGAGAGAGACGGTCGCTCCGTCTTCATGTTATGCTGGTTGAAGAAGAAGAATCATCAGACCCCTTTTCATGTTCAAGATCTCGAGTGTCTCCTCCCCCACTTCCCCCGGGCTATAGCCGGCTAGCAACGTGTTCTACCCAAGCCTAACTTGCATAGAAATTTCCCTTTCGGACGTGGTTGCCCGCACGCCGGCGAAAGGGCGTGTGGGCAGATATGCAACGTCCACAATCGTAATTTGCTCGACCGTCGTTCCTTTACCCACGCCCTGCCCTCCGTCGGTTGGTTATCGATTGGAATAAAATTCGATATCGGATGGCTTGAACTCTGAATCTCCGCTCATACATCACATTGATGTAGCGACTATCCTCCACGGCCAGTTTAAGGGTCGTGAGTGACTAGCCATGTCAAATTTATTGTCTGGTCGGAGGAGCCTCATCTCCTGGTCCGGAAATTTATATCTCTTGGATCTTGGGGCACTTTGGGTGATACAACGGTATTATTGGGGGAGGGTGGGGGCACAGTGCAATGCTCACAGCCAGTCAAAGTTGAGCCTTGCCCCGTGCCCTACCGAACCGACGGTGCTCCAGTCTTCATCTCACCACCTCGCCTCCACCGCCATCTCCTTCATCCCGGTTCTTGGCTCGGCATCGTGGCGACCTGCAGTAATGCAGCCGGTTTTCTGCACAGTATTTGGATGGTAAACCATTAAGATCATCCCCTGAGGAGCCTCTCTGATCGACACCGGTTGCCGCCCTTTTTAGCCCTGGGGGATCTGGCCAGCCATTCCCCAAGTGGGCAGACCCCGCGCAACAAGCACCTTGCGGCTCCGAAGCCGCCCCTTTCACAAGTCTGCCCGACTACTGCTCATCTCGTCGTCAGCTCATTGTAATGATTGGCTGGTTCTCCAATCCCCCAACGGCGTAATCACAGCATCAGTCAGGTAGCCATTGCGTGACAACACCTACATAGTCGATGCAGTGGGAGATGGAGTTGAAGGTTCCACTCCCGATTGACGCGTGCCCACTGTGACAAATGGCCCGACAGCACCCGCTCTCATCCTCGGGTAACAAAAGCCTTTTAGTGCTTGGAGGAGAAGGAAAACGAGCTCGTCAGGCCGACCAATTATGTCGAGACCGCGGCCCATCAGAACCGCCCCCAAATTTGAGCCGATCACTTTTTCGGAGGTCGACTCTAACCCGCATTTGCGATCCTGGCGACGGGCGATGCGCTCCTTGACCATGGCATCAATAACCCCCTTGTGCACCGTGCTATTCGCTGTTCTCACCTACGCTTGACTCACGCATTCTTGCCAAACCCTCGAGGGCACAATAGAATCCATATTCCTCTTTTTAAATACACGCCTAGCCTCCGTTGGTCATCAACAACCACAATGGTGGGGACGTCGCAGGACACAGTAAGCTTTCTTAAGCAATATACCGCGTGTGACATATCGGATGCGCTCCTTCGCCTCAAGGTCCCTGGAGCCGGATACCTTGCCGACCTCAATCCTCTGAATGAAGCGGAAGGAGCGGACGCTCCTATAATCATCGCACCGGCATCAACGGTGCTGTTTGCTCCCAAAGGCATAACACTAGAACACCCGACAAAAACATACCACCCAACACGAACTGGTCAGACCTGACTGAGCCCAACACGATTGCGATTCTTAGGCAGCCTGATGGCCAGAAAAATGCCGTGTGTGGCGGGATAATGGCTCTGCGCATGAAAGTTCGTGGCCTGCAAGGTATTGTTGCTGTTGGGAGAATTCGAGATGTGGAAGAACTTAAGAGTACTGGTCTACCGGTAGGTTGAGCTCCATCATACTCCCTCGGGGTGAGGGTCAAGAAGTGGCCAATGTGAAGATCACGGTTGCGGCGAATGCCCTAGCTCCTTCTCATACTCCTCCATCCACAGGATGACCATCATCGCTAAGATCGTGCGCAGATCTGGGCACGGGGACGCTCCGCTGTGGGCGCTGGCGCAGGTAGTGTCCCATGGGCAGTCCAGGTACCCCTCGAGGTGGACGGCACCATTATCAACCCGGGAGACCTTGTGTTCTGCGACCCTTCTAACGGGGTGGTTGTTATCCCTCAAGAGAGGGTCGACGAGGTTGCCACCTTGCTGCCTGAGCTTACCGCCGCCGATGAGAGGGTGAAAGAGGCTGTGGCCGGCGGCATGACAGTGCATGAGGCCTTCAAGACTCACCGTGGAAAGCTGTAGCGGGCCTCCTCGGGCCAAGTGCCCCGAGGTCAGCTGCCTTTTTCCTTTCCCGCTCCGCCCGTGAAATGAAGGGGAGGGCGACTTGCATCCCAAGCGGCACGCGCAGCGATGGAACATGGTTCTGCGAGGCAGGTTGATTCGCCCCCAGCACCTCTACCGGAAGGCATCAACACTACCACCGTACGAGCTGAACAATGAGATGCGAGGATAGGGCAAGGGTCCTCACCGAAGCTCCACAATACATAGCCAGAATATCGAAACCTCTCCAATCCTTTTCTTGAATCACCCTGCCCCCTCCTTCTCCGCCTTCTCCGCCTGCAGCAGATGTTCTGGTCCGTTTAGACCATAGTCACAAGATCCCATCATGATACTGGGCCTCTTTGCTTTATTTTGAAGAAAGGCGAAGCCGCTTCGAACTTGGCTACCGTTTCTGCACCCCTCTATCTGCTGGTGTTTCTCTCTTCACTCTTTTTTCCCCCTTGAGAGAGGTGAAACGGTTCAAAGGTGTCATTAATTCATTAAGACATGCTATCTCATACACGTGAGACTATTCATGATTTCGGCAAGGGGGCCTTGGTTTCTGCTTCACCCAACGCCACTAAAGATCAGGGGTTATGCTGGTCAGGAGTGCAGGGTGAGGGAGTATGGGAAAACACTTGGGCGAGGGGATACAGCTAGGTTCCGTGGCAGTCCTCTCCCACCCTAGTGTTTGAAGGCAACCTTTGCCCCCGTGTCTCAGCATCCCTTCTTGCCATGTTCCATAGCCTGGTTCGCCCTACCATCCAAGGAGACAGGGTAAGAAAATGTCGAGCCCTGAACCCAATGGGCCGGCACCAAGATCCACCAGCTTGGAAGAAACGACAGAGAGACAGACTAAGCATCAAACGAGAAATAAACAGTGAAAAGGAAAATAAAGAAAAGAAAAGAAAAGAACAAAACCCGTACAACCCATATGCCCGAAACAATATGATAAAATGAGAAAATGAGACAAGGAAGAGGCAAAAACGGAGATGGAGATAGAATAGAAAGAGGAAACAAGCTGCATCGCAGTAGAACCGTTTTCAAGTGAGGATAGGGGAGCTCTGCGATTGGTCAAAGGGGTTGACTCGATTTCCCTCCTCCCTTGCACGCGTGTGGCTGATCCAAAAATCTTGGTTCTAGTATGCTTCCTTTTTCTTAACTTTTTTTTTCTCTTTGGGAGGGGCTGGGATGATTTAGCCCCCTCCCTCTCCAAATATTCTTTCTTTCCACGCCTTTCGTTATTCTTCTTTGGGAACGTGCTGCATTCTTCGTCCCCCTTTCCCCTCAAAGAACTTTGATATGAGTTGTGATAACGTAGTGCGCCTGCAATGCATCTTCGCGGCCCGATCTCTGGAGTTGCCTCAAGCTCCGCCTGTAGCTTCCCCGGCTGTCCAAGCTCCCAAAAGCAGGATCTGTCTATCCTGCGTAACCCCATGGCGTCGATGTAGCTTTGCTCTCTTGATATCGTGCCTCTCGGGTTTCACAGTGTCAGACGAGGCTACACAGAACTGTGGTTGGCTGTCAATCTTCGCCACCCGGCAGGCGAGCATTGTTGGGGATGAAGTAGGGGGCCGGGGGGCAAGTCGCCGGGGGTGTCTGTCTTCCTTCCTTTTTCTCCTCGTTGCGACACGGCAACCATCTTTCCTCACGACAGCCAGGAGTTGTCATCTTGGCCGACGGCAGGGGCCGCACGGCTCGAGCCGCCATCCAAGCCCAAGCTCAACTTAGGTATCTCGATCTTCGGAGGTGGATCGATCTTCTTCTTCATGCCGCCCGTGGATTTGACGGGGCTGCGGGGCTGGTCAGGTGGCGGGCCGAAGCGGACATCCCTCACATCCCAGGCATCCTCGGCCCCCGCAGCGACCCAGGTCCTGAGGGCCTCGTGGACGGCACCATAGAATTTCTCCTTGCAGAGGCGGAGACTTCCGCCCATGCAGCGCTCCCAGCCTGAGATGCGCAGCTGGGCGCGGAGGGCGTTGCGGGCCTCCGCAGTGGGCGTGCAGGCGAGAATGGCGTTCATCAAGTCGAGGTGAGAGGCAAGATAGTTTGTTGCGTCCCACTCCACTCCGCCGACGTAGGGCGCGGCGGGGACCGGCGGCCGTTCCTGGGGGAAGTGGCGTGCCATGTAGGCCATGTCAGCGCTCGCGTTTTCAAAGTCAGCCCCGCGCGGAGACGAAGAGCCATTCCCATTCCCGTCGGGCTTGTTGAGAGCGATCACGTTGACATGGTGGAGGAAGATCCAAAAGACCTCCTTAGTCACGTTGGTCACCTCTTTGCACCAGACGCGGTACGGACGCTCCCGTCGCATCTCAAGGACGAAAGGGACAGGACGCTCGTCTTCCGGCGGCTCGGGATCTCGAAGATGCATGAGGACAGTTTGCGCTCGGGCAATCCTCTCGAGCCCTGATGCCGACTCGATGTAGGTATAGAGAACCGATATGATGATGTTTCGCGTCGTGAACTCGCTCGGGCCCTTCTTCTCAGGGTCGAAAAGCAAATGGAGCAATTTCGGGAAAAGCGAGGCTTGGATCGAATGAAGATACTGGAGCGCCAACGCAGTAGTCGACAAGGCCTTGAGACAGAGAAGAGTCTCGTGGAGTAGGGCATCCTCGTGCTCCTCCCTTTAATACCCAGTTAGCGCTGCGGTGAGAAGAATGCATGAGAGTGGGATTGTGGAACTCACCTCCACTCAACTTCCATCGTCCTGTTGAGTAGGTTGACAATCTCCTTCATCCCTCCTTGCTGAATAAAGTCCTCTGTCCAGGTGACGGTCTCGTTCCTCAAGAGGAGACGAAGCTTGTGCAGCTTGCCGACCTCGACTATCTCGGGCTTGGTAACCTTTCGAAGGTAGGAGACAAAATCGCCCGGCCCCTGGCCGAGTTTGATCTTGGATAGAATCCCACTCCCAGATGAGGTGGAGATACCGGACAGCGGCCGGTCGTTCGTGCTTATGCTATCAGTAGATTTAGTCCGGAAGTGTCGGCCAAGAGTGCCCTCCACTCGGGACTTTTTCCCAGAAGACCCAGAATGCTTGTTTCCACGGGCCAAAGTAAAGCTCTTTCCCCGTGTTCGCTTCGGCTTATCACTCTCTTGATCGTATCCAGAGGCAATGGCAGATGTGGCCTGCAGAGAAGCCTCGGCCTCTATAGCTTTGGGGGTATCCACCTTCGCGGCCTGCATCTCAGCCCAGTCCTGGCGGATAAACTCCATCTTGATGGTGTTATTGAGATTCCTCATTTTGTATCTTTGGTTTTCGGGAATATTCCTTCTGTTCAGCATAGCCTCTAGATGTGAATCGATATCCTTGGGGTTGATGTAGGGCTCAGACGAGGTAGCATCGGACGATTTGGACCGGGAATGGCCGAGCACGGTACTAAGCATCGGCCGGGTGGGTTTCGTGGGTGACCTCTCCCAGGATGCCGTCTTCCCCGGCGATCTGGCAGGGTTCGGCGGTATGATGCGGTCGGACGAGGCGTTGTTAGGGGTGTAATGGGGATGGAACGATTTGGGCCGAGGCTTCTTTTCCGTCATATCCGACTGATGAATACTACTCATGCTCGCGGGAGATTCCACAGCACCGCCATCCCGGCAGAATTGGGAGTAGATGGGCGTGGGCACGAACGAGCCACTGTCTGGGTGGATCGGGTCCGCAGGAGATCTATTCTCCTTGTCCTTGGTCTGGCGTGCCTCCTCGTCGACGAGAAGCTTATGCAGGCTTCGTATCGACTTGGGTCTGGCGAGGAGACCGACGAGGTTCGTGCCGGACTTTGTTTTCTTGGGCTTGGTGGGTGAGACGTCTCTGGACTTGCCGCCATTGACCATGGCCTTGGTCAACGTAGTGAAGGCACTCTTCGTCGGCGACCGACCGCGAGAACTGGTGCCGCTGGCCTGTTGTTGGGGAACATGGCCATCTCGTGTCATGGGCGACATTCGGTAGGGGTCAGGTCCTGCTGGTTATGATGAATCTCGCCCAATGCGTGTTGATCCGTCCGCCTCTGGATAAGAGACTTCATGATATCACCATGAGACCCAGTCGTCCGAGGGTGATGAAGCCTTTGCGAGATGGGACGCTGAGGGAGGAAGATGAGGGGGATTGGGGGAAAGAGGAGGAAGTATGTGGGACAATTCAAACAATAGTTGAAAAATAATAATGGATCCCAGGAGATCGGAATCGGAACAAGTTCGTTTTCGCCTAGACACACCAGGACAGGGCAAGGGATGGGGAGAAAGTGTCAGGCCAGGACCCGGAATTCCAAGTTTTGGTTCCTTGGCTAATTGACGGCGCGATTAAACAAAGCAATCGGATGGGGGTTTTTGATTTCTTGGTCGCCCCCGGTTTCCCGGTGAAGACATTCAAAGCCAATAATACGAGCAAGTGTCGCAGTGTATATTCCTTCTTTGGCCTGTTGCCCTCGCCTGTTGGGGGTGAACGAGGGGCCAATTCCGGGATGGAAGGCGCGTTGCGGATGGTGGATGTAAATTGTCGTGGGGCGTTGCCCGGAGCAACCGTCACGATGTGGTCTGGCGGTGCTTCTCGAATTGGCCGCTCGACGCCGTCGCTAATGCGGGCTACATATGCATCGTCACCACTTATAATCTCGAATCCGCGCCCATTACAGGCAAAATCCGGGACATGGGGGTTGCAGGGTGGAATCGAACGAAAATACGACCTCCCGCAGCCTCCTTTTCTCGCCGCAACAACCAGGCAAAAGCCCATGGCAACCCGACTGACCTTGTTCAGCCACATATGCATCGCTGACGCTGACGATGCGACGAAAAAGAAAAAAGTCAATCACCTCCGGTGAGAGAGGTGGGATGTTATCAGGTTGAATCAAATTCTTCACCGCCAAAAAAAGACCACACTACATACACTAGTACCACCGCCCTTCCCAAACGGTGGAGAAAGAAATAACAATAATAAATACAGAATCAATCCGGATGCAGAGCTCGCCTGCATGGCCCCGAGCTAACAGGTCTGTCTCACAGTAGAGTGTTTGTTCACATACACGGCCCATAGCGTTGGCCTCAATGGCAGATGGAGTGGAGGCATGCCACATGTCATGAAATTTCACCATCGTCCGCGACAATGTCAGCGTCATTTTCTACCTCCTCCTCTTCCTCCTCCTCCTCATCCGATACAACTTCGTTGCCCGCCCAGGTGAATAGGGCTCGCTTCGACTTCTTCGGTCCGGACTCGTCTCGACAGCGACTCAGGAGGTCATCATCGATCCCGTAAAAGTCCCGGCCCTCTTCCGTCCTCTCCAGCCACTGCGCGTATTGATCCTCGACGTCTAGCATAATCCGAGGGCCCGAGCTGGTGCCCCGGAGGCTGGCATTGCCGGTAAAGGGGGACAGCAACCCGAGGACCGCGCGGATGAGAAAGGTGGAATAGTGCTTGGTATATAGCACCGCTTGGAAATGGCTGTCAGTCGTGCTCTTGCACTTCCCACCCGCGCCTGGAGCACAGCGCCGGCATTCAGCGCGCGCGACCTGATGGCACCGAGAAGATTTCCTGTGCTTGCAGCCTCCGTATGAACATTGGCAGGCCTGACTTCTGTCGAAGCACTTGCCCTCTCCATAAGTACATATAACAGCGTGGCTATGATGGTAATCGCAATCCTCGCAGCCACGAAAGGAGGGCGGCTCATGACCCGTCATCATGCGGTAGACGATGGATCCAAGATTCCACAGCTCTTCGTCGAAAGTATACAAGGTCTAGCCAGGCGCCCACCCACCTTGGTCAGCATCAATCTTGGGGGATGCAGTCTTTCCTGGCTCAGCGATAGTTGCAGCACTTACCTTGGGCGCATTGGACCAATCCTCGTACCAACTATACCTGATATGGTCCCAATCCGCCATCTTACCATCCCGCAGCGAGGCCACTAGACCTGTACGGTCCTCGCCTTGCGCCTCCGGCAACGGCATCGCTTCTGTGCATTGCTTACCCGAGATGTAGGCTTTGCTGAAGTTGCCCAGCTTGCACGGCCCATATTTTTCCCCACCGCGCGGCAGCTGAAAGAAGATGTTCTCGGGCTTCACACCACCATGCAAGATGGGATACCAATCATCATCCACGGCCCGGAGGTCCTGGATGTACGGCTTGGCCTCGGTGCAGAAGAATCGTTGTCCCGTCTGGAGCCAGACTAGGCCCCTCAGGACGGACCTAAGCACGTGCCAGCACAGGTCCTCGGGCATGTAGTAGTACGGCGTGTGCTCGAGGGCGACGTGTCCGTCGAGGAAGAGTTCCTGAAGGTTACCGCCGTCGCAGTAGTCCCATACGAGCCAGATGCGCTGCACTCGGCTCGAGTACTGGCTGGCCTTTGTATGCTTCTCGTTGATGACGCCCGCTAGCGAGACGAGATTTTCGTGGTTGAGGAGCTGGGCCAGCGCCGTGTCCATGCCGCAGTCGGAGAGCAGCCCGGCGAGCCCGCGGATGTCGTCGAGGCGGCTGTCCCCGACGTCGTTGCCCCTCCGCACGGCCTCTATGAGCCCATCAAACTCCTCCAAGCGGCGGGCAATGAAGGGCTGGTTGTCGGATTTTCTCTCGGCGAGCCAGACGTCGTCATTGATGTTCTTGAGGAGTCGGAAATCTTCATTGATATCCTTCACGGGGCGTGCGATGTTTGGCATCTTTGCTATGACCGGTGTAGTAGCACCTTTGCTTCGTCTTCCTTTTTGGATTCAGGACAAGGTCAAGTCTTGAAGTTTCGTAGATTTTGCGATGTGTGAGATGGAGTGCTTTGTGCCCTTCTTTTCCCTTGGTTTTATTGAATATATATCTGCGGAACCTCCTGGCGTTGCGAGTAGTTGCAACTTTACTGGGGGAGTGAGGAATGGGTGTCGGCCACTGGAATGCCGCCGGCCCATTCCAATACCTGTCACAACTCGCCTTCATGAACCGGTTTTGGGGATTGATCTGTGAGCCTGGATTGTGAAATTTTCCAATTTTCCAAAGGACTAGGCGTCGTGACGAATTGGTTCTAAGGGCATACATGGAACCCTCGCCTCACCAGCCGCCCCATACCCGGTCTCCTGCCCTGCCTTATAAGCACGAGTCAAGTGTGTAGTCCGGGCCACGTCACATATATGCTATCCTATCTCATTTCAGCTTTTGTATCTACCGCCGAATCTAGCTTCATGCGCTAAGCGAAATCGTAGAGGTCATGCCATCGAGGAGAAGCTGTTGGATACTCTCCGCCGGGACCGCGAGCTTGGAAGGCTCCCGTTTAAGTTAAGAGGGTGTAAAAGCTCTTAGCAATTCCAGTCGAATTGCCACGGAATAACCTCGTTGAGTATTGTGAATAACACGAGGGCTCCTTCCGGCTTGGACATTCTCGAATGAATATACATCGCAGGATATGATCTGTTGGCAAGCTAGGTGCTTCTATCTTGCTCGTTCTTCGCGTTTACCATTCTTTCAAACATGTGGTATGTGGAGAGAGCACGAGAGAGCCTACCATAGTTGTACCAAGGGCGTTCCGCAGCCTCATTGAATATAGAGTAAACCCCGGCCGGGGAAGACAATAGGCAATGTCTAACACGTCACCGTACACCGGTGCGAAGTTGGACGGCAACGACTATAATCATAGCCCAATTGGTCTATTGGGGAAAGCACCGCCTATACTTAAGATATAGAGGTAGCACACGCTTCACGCGACTTGCGCGCACTTTGACACGCATACCCCATCGTGCTAAACTGATGACATATGGAGAGGTTGAACATGACGCAGATGGCTACATAGCTTTCTAGCTATCCAGCTAATCGCCGGTAGCTAAGGTCACCGTATGGGCAATGTGTCTGTCTACGAAAGAAGAAAAAAGAGATAAAAAGGGGCGACCTTTTTACCACCTACACCTGTCTTGGAGGCTCTGTTCTAAGGGCAACGTTGGGAAGGATGTTTTCCTGGTTGGGTTGTAACCTTGATGGCGATCAAATCTTTACTCCGATGAAGAGCGAAAGGCGCCACGACTGAGATCTCTACTACTCCTGATCGATAGAGCCAGGGCCGAGTTTGATGGGATGATGAGGCTAGATAGCCCGAGTGACTCGGCGAGGATGCGCCCCTGACTTACTTCTTGATAAAGAAACTGAAAGCCGACCACAATTCACTAAACCTGTAGTTGGGTTGACGAAGAGCTACGGATCCCAAGTGTTGAACGTTCGTAGTTTTGTCTCCTACTTTATTCGCCTTCATCTTTGCGCCTTCTTCACATGGACTGCTATATGGGTAGACCCTGGGAATACTTGACCTTTGACGCACAGGAGGCCAAAGCCAGTCCCGCGTCAACACATCATTCTCGGCGATTTCCAACCTGTGACGCTTAACTTTGAAGAGCGTCAAAAATGGGCAAACTACATCTTGGGCGCGGCAACTGGGTTTCGTTTGATCTTTTGGAACGGTCGCGGCCACGCTGAGTAGCGCCATGTCAACGATAGGACGGGAGGACCGAAGTAGATTACCATTGCTGCTGCTCCAAGTTCGGAGAACCAGACAATCGGCGCACACTCGTTGGAGGACAAGAGAGTTTACAGGTAATTGCAGCGGTGGACCGCTGAGAGACCCAGGGCGGATATCGGGACGCTGGCTTGGCGCGATGCAGCGATCCGAGATGGCGCTGAATAGAGTTAGGATCGGCAGATCCGGCGGCCTCGTGGAACCTGGGTACAAGTAACGGTCCTCTTGTCCACGTCGAGCAAAAGAGGGCCTCGCTCGACGATCCGGCCCCATCTTCCTCTCGATGATCACGGGTGGTTGAATGGCCGGGAAAAAAGGGAAAGGAAAGACAAGGCCCAGCAAGGCAACTTTTATTGGTCTACGGCCCCGGTGGCTTTTGGTTGGGAAGGGCCTGTGGAGTCCTCGTGCATGTTTCAGAGCGATGCAAGGGGAGGTCCCCTCCGTGGCACAAACAGCCGTTTCCGGCTTGGGGCGAACCGATGGATAGCGCTTGAGCGGGACGGAGATGAATGAAACTGAGAGAGCCCAGCCACGCCACGCCACGAGGAGGGTTTGGAGGCGTTCCGCCACAGTTGGCTGTGTGAAGACGGACGGGACGATTGACATGCCCAACCTGGCCTCTTGGGCCTCATCTGAGACGGTGAACGAGCCAACGTTCGACGCTGTGTCTCGTCTGAAATGTTGTTGCTGTCGTCCTCGTCGTCATGGCCGCAAAACGTGGTGGCGTCAAGGTCTCACCCCGTCCCCATCCTTAAACCCTAGATTCCATCGTGACAGCTTCTCGACACTGACCAAGGTGGAGCCTAGACTGGCCTTAGCGTCGAACTGGGTCGCGTCAAAATTGCAGTTGGCTTGAGAATATTCTTCTGTGGGAGGCTGCTGCGGCTGGCCTGCCTCCTCTTCCGAGGTTTCTTGCAGCTCAAAAGAGGGCTGGGATCCAACCAAGCGGAAGCGACAAAAATCATGTCCGAGAATCCAAAAGAGAAGTAGAGAAACCCCCAAAGAGTGCGCGCGCTGGCGCTTGAAGGGAACAATGGCGGTACACTGGGCTGAAATGGCTTGGGCATGCTGGCCAAGGAAACTGGGGAACGGGAGAAACGGCAGGGAGCCCCCATAAAACAGAGGCGATGGATTTCGCCAATCAACAAGCGCCCTTACGGTCTGCGGGGTCCCGAAACGTCGCCGGCCCACGCTAATCCTGATACGGCTTTCGCCCTTGAGCACTGGTTGCTCCTTCATTCTGTGCAAATGACATATCGATGGAGACTCTTCCGACCTGCCCTGTGTGTCCAAGTCTCGACTCGCAAGAGTAATTCAATGGATCCATTGGGATTAATGCTTGGAGTGTACCTCTTCGTGTCAGCCCCTCCTCTCCCTCTCTCTCCCGATCTACTCTCTCTCTCTCTTTCCCCACCAAAAAAGTACGCAGGTTTGTTCGGGAGCTTCCAAGGGGTAAATGGGTCCGGGCCCGCATTTCCCCCGTGTTCCTAGTACTTCCGTTTTCCACTTGAAGTCTGTACAACCTCAAAGTACAGCATACAGTTCGCCACGGATTCAGGGGTAAGAAGCAGCCTGCTGACGTTGGTGTCCTGGCACCAGTCTCTCTCGAGAACAGGGGAGCCAATCACCAGGGTGCTGTCCGACATAATACAACTCTCCAACTGGAATAACCTTGTATCGCCTTGTCCTTCTAGTGCACCCCTCCTCAATTTCGTGTACCCGTCACTTCCATCTATCGCCAAAGACCCTGTAAATTCGCATAGTAATGGTAAGATTGCCTCGTTTCTGCGCCTAAAAGGGTACATTGCTGTACTCTCGATGGATGAATGGGAACAAACACCCAATGCACTTGAATGGATGGAAATGGGCCCATGCCCGTGCCTATGCCTGGCTTCCCGCTTCCCCTTCCTGCCACCATCCTCCGAATGCACGAATGCACGAATGCAGAGGCCGCCCGAATGAATCCAATGGATGGATCCTGGCCAACCTCCCCTCACCACTCTTTCTTCCCCTTCTCTCAAGAAAGGAACTAGATTTCCCCAAACATCTCTCCCAAAGGGTTGCGTGCAACTTTTGTCGCTCTTTAGACAGCTGCGTCTCTTGATCTTTTTTTTTCCCCTCCTGCCGGGTGTTCTCTTATTTTATCTCCTTTTACCATAGTCACTCATTGAATTGCGACTCGATCAGTCATCCCAGTCCTGGAGTCTCGGGACCGAGCAATCGCATAGTTGTCGAATTTCCCCGAGTTGCCCATATCCGCTCGCTGATACCCACTGATCCCCGGTCTCCCTTAACCCCCTTGGGCGATCATACTTGCACAGTCGAGGATCTCCCACTTTCCCTCTCCGACGTCCAATCTGTGGCTCCGCGCCCTCGTCAACAAATCCTCTGCTCCAGAAATCGATTCATCGCCCCAGGGCTCCCCAAGCGTCAAGCGGCATCTCCTGGCCGAGCCCGCCTCCCAACCGAACCTTTTCCCTCTGACCGCAGAGTAAAATCGCAGCCGTCTTTGTGGTGGAGGGCTTATTGTCAACCGTGTCTCTCGCCGTGTACTACGTACGAACCCTGGCGGTCTGAGCCTGAACCGTGGCAAACTGTACCGGGAAGCGTCTTCGAACAGATCCCCTATTCTCGTGGGGTGATACCTCGCGCCTTTGCTCGTGGCTTCTTCTCTTCTTTCCTTCTTTTCCTTTTTATTATCCCCCGGCCACCCTCTCACTTGGCTGGCAGCAGCCCTCAACGAAAATCGCTCCTGTCAACCATTGACACGAGCACAGTCGGAACACTTCGCGGGCGAGGCCAACGACTTGTGCTAACGGCGGGCCCGATCACGACATACACTCCTTTAACGTCTTTCGTCAATTTCAGCGTGCAGTTTCTCCGACGAAAACAGTCGATTCTTCCCAAATACGCCTCCCGTGCGTCGATACGCACCTCATTACCTACTACCGAACCCCTACCGACCCTAGATTTCGGCAGACGATTCTTTTGATTTCAAAATGGGATGTTGCGGACACCGACGAAAGGTCGTCTCCGGCGGCGCTGACCAGAATTGGTCTTACATTGTACGGTTATCGCCTCCTTTTTTTGGTTCACCGGACTCTGGGCGGGTTGTTTGGTACTTGAGTCATGTTGACTAACTCGTTGTGATAGAACCTCGGCGACTTCAAATCTGGCAGCTGCTTCACCCCCTTCGCGTACGGTTATCTCTGGCTGTCCCTTCTCATCTCTCTTGCAGTCTACGGCGTCGATACCTTTACTGCCGTGTCCCTCCTTGCGTTGAGCGACGATTGGCCCTCGGTGATCGAGCCCGTGGTTGATATCTCTATCTCTAAATGGATCTTCTCCGCCTGTATCATCGCCTCCTTTGTCAACCTCGGCTTCGAACATGTGCGCGCGTGGAGGGTCATGAAGAGGGGAAATGTGGCCGAATGCTACCTCGACAGCCTGGCGGTTCGCCTCGAAAGTATCCGACCAGGCAAGGGTCAAGGTTGGAGGCGTTTCCTTGTCTTTGCCTCCCTCACTAAGAGCAAGAAGGGCGCAGAATATATCGCCCTATTCACCTACTTCAGTTTCCAATGTAAGAGACAACCCTGGACGGTGCCCCAACCCCCAGTCTCGCTCGCTTTACGCTTACGTGCCCACTAACAACTTTACCCGTGCAGCTTGGATTCGAGTCATCGTCTGCTCCGGGCCGAGGCAGGTCATCAACGCCATCACCCTGTACTCTGCTCTCACCAAGGATTTAAGTCTCGAGACAGTGCCCGATGCGAGAATCGAAAAGTCGATCATGAACCTCTTGAACAACATCAGAGAGCTCGCCCAGTCAAACCCGCAGACCGCCCTTGTCTTGGCCGGTATGATCTTCACCTTGGTCATTTGGGTGTTTTCTCTCCTCTTCCTCATTGCCGGCATCCTCTTCTACATCCTGTTCCTTTGGCACTGGATTCCCAGGCCGACGGCGGTCTCGGTGGATATTGCGAACGCAAGGTAAACAAGGCTCTCGTCAAGATTGTGAGGAAGAAGGTGAACAAGGCGTTGGCCAAGGAGCAAGCCGCTCGCGACAAGGCAGATTTCGGCTACTCGGTCAAGACGGGCGAGAAGAATCCGCTAGAACGGCAAGCGACGCTCCCCACGATCCCCAACGTTGCCGCGTCCGGAGGGGACAAGCTACCCGAGATGCCAACCCTGCAACGAACTGATACCTTTTCGACGCTGCCTCCCTATGTTTCGCGGCCAGCCAGTCCCGGAAGTTTCGAGCTCAACAATATGGACCAGAAGCGCCCGATACCCAACCGCTCCGGTACCATGTCGTCATCGACAACATACTCGTCGCACGCTCCCTGGCCTATAGCGGAGCTGACATGGGCACATCTAGCCCTCTTTCCCCGGCACCCACTCTCCCTTCCATTGACTTTAACAGCAACTATGGAGCCCCGCCGCTTCGGTCGAATACGTCCAACTCGCAACGAAGCTTCTCCCGGCCAGGGCTTGGTCATCTACAAACGAATTCCAACTCTTCTTTAGGCCATCAAGCCTATGGTTCCCAGTCATCCATCCCCGTTCGATACACCGAGACGCCTTCGAACTATGGCAGCGAGCCCATGGCTTACCCCCTTCAGTTCGCTCACCCACCGCACGACCGATGGACGGTTACAACCGACCTCCGATGCCACCGGGCGGCAACGGATACCCTCTTCGGTCTCCAACGACAGGGCCCGGCTCTGATCGGTTCTCGCCAATGGACGGTCGCTCCAGCCCCGCTCCATCGACGTATTCCAGCCGCAGCGGCCTCCCGTCAAATCCCACACCAAGACCCACAAACCCCTCGGGTTATCAGCCCTTCCAGCCGAGCCGAAGCGCAACCGGGCCCCTTCCCGTCAGGACACCCCAACCGGCACCGCCCACCCGCAACATGACGACGGGGATTACTACTCCCGTCAACAGCCCTCTCAAGGGTCCGGGTACGGTTACGACTACGATGTCGAGTCGCAACGGCGCTACTAAGCGACCAAGTGTTTTGGGCGTGTAGGGATTCATTTTCTGTTTCGGGAGCTTCGTTCTTGTCTGCATTAAGCATCGGCTTGTTTTTTTAATGGTACACATAAAACGAATCTAGTTATGACGACTCATTTTGCCAGGTTCCGACAAACATGGGGAGGGGACGTTTCCAAAGGCTGGATGGGGGAAGATAGATTAAGAACGTGGGGGTTTCTGTCCTCCCGCGTCTACTATATACCTGGCCTACTTTGGCACAATAGCTTTGGGGTTGGCCCCCTTTTGTTCTTTCTTTTGTTCAATTCACGACTCTGCGGCCGCTGAACCCCAGTGGCATTATCTCCAGCTTCATCCATTCTTTTATTTCTGTATATAAGGTTTTAGGGTCAGGCCGCAATGGGATAGGGTCGCCGTTTCAACGAAGCGACTATTCCAACCACTGCAAGTACTGGTGAAAACTGAAGGCAGGCCTTATTTTATACTCCGGTGTATAGCTTTCGTGATGTGATGATGATCCATGTCCGCCCGCGTAGATGCTCAGTCTCGTGAGAATAGAGTTATAAGGTCTTGCGGTGGGTGTATGCTGATGGATGGATGTAACGTTTTCCCCACCCGCATTGCACCAGCTTCTAGTTTTGACAAGACACGAGGGGGAAGATATGCCGTCTCTCCCTCGTGAGGCGACTAGCTCCTAGCTCATGGATGGCGCCATCTGTCGCCCAAACGGCTCGCGTTATCGGGGAGAGGAGGGGTTCCAATCACGAGAAACCATCCCGCTGTTAGTGTGGTAGCGCAAAAGTCAAAAAGTCAAAAAATTAGAAGGATTGAAGGAGAAAGAGGAGTTGCCGTGGCCGATGTCCGAGCCCGATTGGTAAGATTGGTAATATTACTGGGCCGTTTCCGACAACAGACGTGGATTTGATTGATCGGGTCGCAAAAAGGGCGAGGGAGAGATGGGCGGGTTCCGATTGAGCGAGGGTTCTGACAAATGGCTGGATAATTGTCGTGGAGCTACGCTTTGTCTGGTATGCTGTAAAGGTAAAGGCCGGCATCAGGTTACAAACCCAATGTACATCTCAAATAGATATATAAGTCGCAGGAAGGAGGGCTTCGGGCTCGATCATGAATGGCCTTCTACCCTACCCCTCTTCTCGTAGAGATTTAGAGAAATACCAAGAAGAACTCTCGGACGGGGTAAAAGAAGAAGAAAAACCACAATCAAAGAACTAGATAGGACGACGATAAAAGAAGGAAAAAAACACAAGTTTCTCTTGTCTTCATCACCAACAATACAATTTCGAGGCCCATTCTCCCGAGCAGGCAAAAAATATGGCCGTCGCGATTCCATGGCACGCCGGCGAAGCCGCCATGCACGAGCTCCTCAAGGTCCCGCGCCAGGATAACCCGACGCACCCGGGGCTACCGGGCCCCTACGGGCGACGCATCGCCGCCGCACACCTCATCGCGCTCGGAGCGCTTGACGCCCGGCGCCGGCCGTGGGCGACGGTGTGGGGCGGAGAAAGCGGGACGGCGGGTCCGATCGCGCCGGGGGTGTTGGGGATCCGGAGCGAAGTGGACGGGGCCAACGACCCGGTGTTCCAGAGCCTGTGGCGGGGTAACGCCAAGGGAATTGTGGGGCCGTTGGTCGGTGGTTCGGAGTCTGAGGGGGCGGGGAGAGTCGGAGGGGAGGAGATGGGGAGGAGGAGGAGGGGGTGGTGGTGGTGAGAGGCTGATGGCTGGGTTGGCGGTGGATTTGCGGACGAGGGATCGGGTCAAGTTTGCGGGGAGGATGGTGGTGGGGTCGGCGACGGAGGGGGAGGGAGAGGAGGAGGAGGAGGAGAAGGATCAGGGGGCAAGGGGCAAGGTCTTGGACGTGCAGATTGGTATGGAGGTGAGGGAGTCGCTGGGAAATTGCCCCAAGTACATCAATAGGAGGGACCTTGTTCGGAACGAGATGCGGCCGGAGACGACGGGCAAGGGATTGCCCCTGAGCGAGGCTGCGCTGGGTGTTGTGGGAAAGGCGGACCTCTTCTTCCTGGCTACTGTGGGCGGGAGGAGCATGGATGTGAATATCCGTGGGGGATGCCTGGGTTCGTGAGGGTCATGGAGAATGATGAGGATGGGGTGGTGCTTGTTTACCCAGAGTGTAAGTCGTTATCCTCCCCTCTTCCACCCATCACCCTATCTGCTCTTGTCCCTGCTATGGGCATGCGGTGTTTTCGTTTGCCGAGGACTAACAATTTTTTGTCGGGCTGCCCCGTTTGTTCTTATCTTAGTCTCCGGAAACCGATTATACCAGACACTGGGAAACCTGAAGCTGAACCCTCGAGTGGGAATTACCATACCGGATTTCGAGACCTCAGATGTCCTTTACGTGAGTATACCATCCGCCCCCAACACTACTAGACTTGTGTCACTTGTTACTGAGTAACAACTGTAACTAACTAAATGGCTTTGAATTCAAAAGGTTACTGGCTCCGCAGATATTCTCATCGGCGATGCAGCCTCCAGCATTCTCGGCCGCACCAACGTCGCCGTCAAGATCACAGTCGACGACGCCCGCTTCGTCAAGTCCGGCCTTCCCTTCCGAGGCGAACTCGTCGACTTCTCCCCTACAGCCCGCCCGTACGGCCCCTCGTCTCGGAGCAGGCGTCCCTAGGCACGGTCGCGAACAGCCAGGGTCGGCCAGAGCTCACGGCGACCTTTGTCAAGCGCGAGTTCCTCAGCCCGACGGTGGCACGGGTCGCTTTCACGCTGAGCTCGGACAAGCCGTTGCCGACGTGGAAATCGGGCCAGGCCATCACGTTTGATTTTAGACCGGAGCTGTCGAGGGGTTGGTCGCACATGCGGGACGACGATCCGCAGTCTCTCAACGACGACTTCATCCGGTCCTTCACGGTGTCTAGCGTGGCGCCCCGCGACGTCGGCCCCGGGACCAAGAGCGTCGAGTTCGAAATCACGGTGCGGAAGCACGGGCCAGCAACAGGCCTGCTCTGGCGATGGAACCCGCGCGTTTCGCTCACGATTCCGGTGATTGGCTTTAGCGGCGAGGAAGGTTTCTTGATGCCGACGGAGACGGCGGAGGAGGCGTCCGTCTTCGTGGCCGCCGGCGTGGGCATCACTCCGCTGATCGCGCAGGCGGATGCGGTGCTCGCGTCCGGGAACAAGCTCAAGGTCCTTTGGAGCGCCAAGGCCGAGGACCTCCCGCTGGTGGATCATGTGCTCCGACGCACGCGGGGCCTCGCGGCGCTGACGACGATATTTGTGACGGGGAGCTTGCGGGCGCGGCGGCCGAGCTCAAGACCAAGATTGAGTCCATGGGGGCCAAGGTTTGGCAGAGACGGATTACGGAGGCGGATGTACGAGCCGCGGAGGCAGATGGGAAGAGGAAGTTTTACCTGTGCGCTGCGCCTGCCATGACGAAGGTGCTGATGAAATGGTTAGAAGGGGAGGATGTGATCTACGAGAACTTTAACTACTAGATTGTATTGGTACAAGGTATTAGGGGAAAAGTGAGAGAAGGGAAGGAAAAAAAAGACTCTTAAATAGGCGGCATCTTTATAGGCGGATTTAGTCAATCTGGAAGAAAGATTGCAACCAAAAACAGAACTTTCGCGCCGATTTACGAAGATTGATAGCTTCTGTGATAAAGAGCGACTAACACCATGTCGATCCGGCGAGTCTCCAGACGTCCTAACAAGAGTGGACGCCGCGGGGTGGCTAAGCCACGTGACACTTTGAGAACAGATGTGGTAATACTCAGCTGCGTCAGTGGTGGGGCTGGCACTTACTGCATCTATTAAGCTGTGGCTAGGCCTTGTTGACGAACAGAGCAGGAGCACTGGGCAAGTATTAGGAAATCGTTTGGAGGGTACTACCACTAGAAAGGCACTGTGGACCCACCACCAACATTTGACTGGCAAGCTTCAATTGACTGGATCCATCCATCATCTAGATCTTTCACTTCGCGACTTGGCTCATCTAACATTCATCTCAACTTCAGTCCTTCTTTCCCCTCCACCCCCTTCCTTCACACACAACCACGCAACCCTATCTACCCGTCTCGCCCTAGGGAATTTTTGCCAAAATTTTTCGGCTCAGGCTTCTCGAGAAGTTGCGTAGTGCTTTCGCTGGTGTCGCAATGCCTCCAGGTGGGTCGTCGATTCTGTATACTCTACCGGGTGCCCCCTTCCCTTCTCCCTGTTTTCACGCCCCCTTTCCTTTCCCCCTCCCCCCCGGCGCGCCTCCCTGGGAAGAAGTGGTCCTCATATCATTCCCTGGACTCTGCCTTTTGTGATCATTCCTGCGCTTTGCGCGTTACGCTTCCATACACTTCCACTCCCACCATTCCGAAAACCTCACTTGCTCCCCCACAACCATGCCTCGCACAGTCACCCGCAAACTTGGGCGGCGCCCCGCCCCGTCAGATTCAAGTCGGCCGCGCGTGAAAAAGGCCGTGGACCCGCTAACACAGGTGCGAATAGCGATTAGCGACGACGAGTCTTCGGGGTCCAGCCCCATCAACCTCCCCGTGCACGAGAAGCCCGACCGGTCGCGCAGTCGGAAATCGACAACGATTGACGACGAGGAGGAAGTCCCGCGCGCGAGGCTGCTGCCAGCACGGGGAATGGAAAGGCAGCTGTGAAATATGCCGATGAGGAAGACGAAAACGATGAAGATGAAGAAGGTGACGAGGGTATGGGCGAGGACGTGTACGATCATCCCACATATTTTGCATATATGGAGCCTTAGTGGCTGTCGCGTGGGCTTCGAGCGCTGACGAAGAATTCTAGATTCGTGGTAGAGAAGATTCTTGGTCACATGGTCGATAAGGAGGTATGAGTAACGTGCCGCGGCTGCGGATGGCTTTTGCGACTCATTGTGTTTGAGGTCGAGCGCATGCTAACCGTGATGAACTCTAGGGTGCGATATCGTTCAAGGTCAAGTGGGAGGGCTACGAGAAGAAGGCTGATCAGACTTGGGAACCCGAGGATAGTCTCAGGTACGAAATCGCCTGGGTCGCCAATCGCGCGGCGCTGAATCACGATGCAACAGTATGGGGGCTGACATTGTCTAAACAGAGAAGGAGCGGCTGAGCTTCTCGAAGAATATCTCGCCGCACGAGGGGGCCTCGAGGCTATTTTTGAAGAGACCAACGAAGCTGTCAAGACAAAGAAGCGCGGCAGGAAATCGACGGGGACCACGCCTGCCACTGAGCCTACCAGCAAGAAGTCGAAGCGCAACGGCCACCCCGCCGAGACGACTCCGCCAGCAGCTGTGGCCAAGGCTGTGGCGTGGCAGCCCCCGCGGGATCCTGGGAGGACCATATCGAAGCGATCGACGCCTGTGAAGATGAGTCCACCGGTAAGCTCGTCGTGTTCCTGAACTGGAAGAACGGCAAGAAGACGAAGCACAGCACCGATGTTGTATACAAGCGCTGTCCGCAAAAGGTATGTAACGATTACGATGCACGGAAATGATGCGCCTGGCTGACGCATGGTTGAACCCTTGCCTTTTTCTTCTTGGCAATAGATGCTCCGCTTCTACGAGAATCATGTTCGGATCGTCAAGCATGAGACGGCGGAGGGTGCGGATGTGGGCTCCATGGATGCCGCGGTAAAGCAAACGAGCGCTTAGTCGCAAAGCTTCGCTAGCATTATGTGTCCCTCATCCCTGACGACGCTCTGCCCTACCCTTGACGAACAGCTTTAGAGGGGTTCCTTCTAGCGGATGTCTACGTAATGGTGTCTTCTGGTGATCATAGAGGGATGCTGAATTGGAGGTTTACAGTCGGTCTATTGTAGAGGGGGCGAATGGGATCTCTTGCTTCAAAAGGATGGGTTTTGCTATAATCACGGCGATGTGGCGTGTTTGCTTCGTTGGCGCCTTTGGGATGGTCTGTGAGCTTTTTTCTTTCTTTTCTTTTCTTTTTCTTTTCTTTCTTCACCTTGCCTATTTTCTTTTGCTCTCCTCCCCCTCTTTTCCCCATTTCCCCCTCTTTGTCTTTTCCTGTTGACATGAGGCGATGGACTCGCATGTTTGGCGGGCCTAGTTATGTAATGCATCACTGTACTTTTTGTGTGAAGTGGTCAAGAAAATTAAAAAGAAAACAAAAACAAAAAGATTCCATCTCCTCTTTGAGGAGGCTGCAAGTGTTCAAACTTCTCCAGAGGCACGATTTCCCGTTCCTGGCATGTGCAGGATCGTACCTGACAGCACCATGACATCCGCTAATGCCGTCGGCGAGTTTAGCTCTTCAGCTCCAAGAATCTTGAATCCGGGCCCAATACGAAGGCGAAGTGGGGACCAAGGGTAGCAAGGCACTGACACCCAACCTCTTTACACTCATGTCCAAATTAAAGGGCAAAGGACCAGAAGGGAAAAAGTCTGCCTTTTTTGCCAGATGAATGGTAGGGTGAGGTGTCGCACGTTGACGGAACGCCCCATTTGTGGGTTCCTGCGTTTCCAAGCTTGAGGGATTGCACGAGGCTGGGCGTGGTTGTCGCTCTCCGATTGGCGGGGAGCTCGCAATTGGGAGGAGGTTGGTTCCCTACGAGTGGGGCCACGACCAAGGAGCGCGGGTTCCAAGGGGGCCTGAAAGCCAAGCTCGCCAGCCTTGCGACTTTTTCTTTTGCTGAAAGGTCATCGCTATTGGTGGCGGGGCAACCGCTCCCTGGTCACAGCTCCTTCAACCACCAAGGTATATCACTGTGGCTGCGTCCTGTGACGGCCCCCAGAGCGCGCAGCCTTTTTCGTTTTGCTCTTTTGAACGTTGATTTCATTGAATCGAAATTTCTTTACTCTTATTACCTCGTTTGAGAATATTCAAGACAACTATCTTCGCCCATTTTCCCCAACCGTTGCGACGAATTTCAGCGAGAAGCCTAAATCAATTGATCTTTCCCGCCCGCCGAAAGACCCCACCAAGACCGCCGCTCCTTCCACCGAAGTAAAAAACCCACCCGGCTCGTTGCCCAGTTTCGCGTGGGGTTACTCCGCTGTTGCTACGGACGTCAACCGCCAGCACACCACACCACCACCACCCCCGCCGCCCGCTCTCTCTCTGGACGTGTGCAGCCTGCCTTTCCCACCTTCTCGAGTCTCGTTGGCGAAAAAAGGGATTTTATAGTATTCCTTGCAAAATCGAGTCGGAAAATCGTCGTTTTTATTCTTGGATATTTCATTTCATATTGTTCGAAAACGACTTCTCCGTTTTGTAAGTCGCCTTTGGACTCACATCTACCCACCCGCCGGCCTCATTGAGCGTCACCACTAATACGGTATCTTCAGGCAACCCCCATATTCGACTTCTCCCCCGTCGCACACCGCCGACGACTTGGAACCTCGACGTCGATCTCGGGACCGGACACGCGATTCCCCGTATCCCGCCCAATAGGGCTATTCTTTCGATTGGCAAAGCCTGGGTTTATTGGCAGCGCGGAGCTCTTAGGTTTCCATCGCTCGATATCGACCCTCACCGAGTTCGCGACTCTCCCCTCTCTAGAAAGTCGTTTGACCATCCCCGATCCGTCTACGCCCTCCTTTCTAGTCTTCGCCAACCTGCTCGGAGAGCAAAAACCGACACAATGGTCAAGCAAAACGATACCATTGCCATCATCATCATCATCCTCTTCCTCGTTCTTGCTCTGATAGCATTCGGCATCTACAGGCTCGTGCATATGGCCAAGACGGGAATGAGCGTGCACTCGGCCACGGAAAGCGGCAGCGGAAGCAGTTCAAGTTCCAGCAGCAGCAGCAGCAGTAGCCACTCGTCAGATTTAGTCGACCGCTAGTAAACGGAAAGCGTCTAGTTGTGGTAGAGACGCGGAGACGAGTGCACACGAATCTTCTTCACACATATCTACATCGATATATACCTACGGACGAGCAAGATATGTTCAGACATCGAAAAACTCTAGTTTTGCGGGTATGATTTCTTCGTCGAGCGGGAACGACGTCGAGACATCTTTTTATTACCGGGAGTGAATCGAATGACCTCTGTCTCCATGGAAGAGAGGAGGAGAAATCAGTTGGATGACAGCGCACAGAATGCATAATGGGATGTTGAGACGGACTTACGAGATATGGATATGGCAGCATTTTTCTTCTGCACACATCATCAGCCTTTTGTTGCAGTGGACGTGGGCGAGGAATCTCGCTACAGCACCTGTCGTCCATTTTTTTTTCCGTTTTGCAACACGGACCGGCGTTTTTTCTTTCATTTCTTTTTGGGATCTATTGTTCATTTTCGGCCACCAAGGGAGTTGCATTTTTCTTGTATTTCTTTTTTATCCATGCCCTTTCTCAAGCGAGGGGGCTCCTTCACTTTTGAGGAAGAGCAGCTTAGCTGAAGCTTGCCATGAGACAAACGTGGATTACATGTAGTGAGGCCTCAGTGGGCCGAGGAGATTTAGAGGGACGCAGGCCAGGTTCGATGCCCTTTCGAGTCGTTTCGACCGTCTTGATGTTGATGGGTGGATATGAGGGATAGTTTATAACAAGTAGTTAGATAGACATTTGCCAGGCCTTCTGGCCCGCAACAATGAAAGGAATCGGGATCTAGCCAGTTTGGCAGACCTAAGATCAAAAAGACGTGCCAGCCCTTGATTACCTGAGAGTTGATATTTTCGTTCCCAAGACTTGTGACTACACCTCCACGGGATTCTCGTTTGGCTATACAACCTTCGCCATGGGTAAGACCGACCCGGAAAAGCTATCGGAAGACACTACGGCGACAGATTGAACAAGGGAGGAAAAGCGCGGGAAGGCAGAGCGCTTGGAATACCGGTATGTTCATGTCTGTGGTAAAAGGAGCTTGTTGCTCAAACTCCACATCAAAAAAGGTAGAAATGGAGGTGTCCGCCGTTCATCCTAACCCAGTACTCTGCGAGTTGTCCTCGGCCCAGAGGACATGCTATGATTGAGAGGAGAGTTCCAGACCGGAGAAGGGGACTCGGGTCAAGGTACGCACATGCTCAGGCAAACTGCCATCGGCAAAGGGCTGTGGAGAACTCTTCACGCGTCGGGCAAAGAAGGATGATCGGAAGGGAGGTCGGAAGGAGGACCATAAGCAAAGGTAAGGGGCGGGCTCGGTCGAATTCGAGGGGAAAAGGAGCCATTACGTGCCCGCGAGATCTGATCTACTAGACCTCGATGAGTGGTGGCCCGAGGGACTGATAATCCTGGCTTAGATAGCGCGCGAGCCCGCATCTTGCATGGACCGGATCCTCAATGCCCACTAATCCAAGCATGAGCTGAGATATTCCCCCCTCCCCTCCTCACCTTTCCCGCGTCATTTTCCGAATTATAATATTTCGCGCGGCACTTGCGGCTCCTCAAAGCTCTCCATCCCCTGTCCGAGTTGTTCCTCGCCTTGCGCCTTCAATCTACTGACGAGCAGGGAACAGGGAAGGTGATGAGGCCCCAGCTGCTCAAGAAAGGGGAGGCCCCGAACGCTTGCGGCTCATCGGGGAACGGGTCCTAACAAGGGGTGTGCAGAGGCCAGAGTATTATTCGTGTTATCCACCACGCCAGCGTCAAGTGCAAGAAGCCGTTTTCATAGAGGGGCGCGAACGGAGCCCGCCCGTGGGCACTAGCCGACGCGATAGCGCCAAGTGGAATAGTGCCGTTCCCCCAAAGCATATGTGCCCTTTGGTAATAGGGCCAGCCCTTGGATGCGGAGAGTCTGGTTCGTACTATTGCCAGTGCTACTCGCCCACGCATACGGAGTGCGTTAGACCCGTGGTTCTATATCCGCGCCTTGATCAAATCAGCAAGGGTGGATAAAAATTTTCGAAGAGCTCGCTATTAATATTGGAAGAGGAAAAAAGGAAAGAGAAAAAAACAGTTTGCAGGATCTGATGCTTCTTTGAGGAGAGCGTCGATCAAGATCATCGGGGGATGATATCCTGGTAAAGAAACTGCTTGACAAATGGCCTGTTTTTGATAGAGGAGGTGGGATGCGGAAGTCTCAAAAGTAGAGAGAAGAACCAAAGGCCCGACCGGGAAGAAACTAGTCCTGCAGTCCCACGAACAAACAAGATGAAGACAAAATGAGAGGGATGGAAACACAAAGGAAAGAAGGTGCCCGTCTACGCAATAGAGGGGAAAAAAGCCAAGGAAACGAAACACGCGCAGCATGTCGGAGGCGGGAGATCGCGATCTGTCTCCAGTTTTTACCTCGCTGCTGTTACCATCTCGGGTTAAGAAGACCACTTCGGGACCGTTGATCCAACCCAAGTTAGAGGGCGCGCTTGTGACATGATGAACACGGATACCTTCTTGGCCCAGGCTTCCTTCCTGATCAAGGATCGTCTTTGACATTCATGGATGGCGTGCCTTCTTTGCCTTCATCAAGGTTAGGTAGTGAAGAGAGAGCGGTTCTAGCCAGGGGTTCAATATCAACCGCGGCAAAGATGAAGATGGCGACTGCTCATCGACATGTGGATGGCGAGTTGGGTGAGTTTGTTAGTAGTGTGCACTAACACTAGTGACAAGACTGGTTGGTTGCCAGACAGGCAAGACGGCAGCAAGTTGACGTCGTTCGTTACATATTCGTTTGCTCAATCGCTGTGGGGTCCTCAGGAGGAATCTAGACTTTTGAGCTCGGGGGTGCAAGAATGGATCCCTCCGTCCAGTGCACCATTGTGCTGGTAGCCTTTGTAGCCGGCGATCCGACGTCCATGGGAAGCAGAATCCATTGATCCATCGATGGCGAGCTACAACACCGTGGGGCCCTGTTTCGCGGAGAAGTTTAATATCCGGGGATCTCCCTCGAGCCATAACCTCGTGCAGCTAGCCGACGTCTATTTCAAGTTTTCGACCATGAGCCACGACTCACCTTGACCAACTATGAGTCCTCGATCGAAGAAATGATAATGGTGGAGATTCTTTCTGGAACGGAAGAGTTGGGCCAGTTGTCTCAAGTCTTCAATGCTCCAAGTGAAGATCCTCGGTCCTCTTCGGGCCCTCCCTGAAAGATCCCTTGTTGATGATACTTTCCCACCCCTTTGGTGTAATACACGAAATGTCAAAAGAAGCCCAATTTCAGCTAAGATGACAAAGGATGGATGCTTCCCCCTTCCCAAGATCGAATTGATCCTCGCTCGTGTTTCCCCCGTCTTCGAGGACGGCTCCCCAGTGCGAACCGTGGACAAATGCGGACCGGAAGCCAACGCCGGGGCTGGTTTTGGCCACCTTGGTGCAGCTCATATCTGCAGTGTAAAATGACCACCACTCTCCTCCACTTGCAAAGTATGCATCCATCACACACTATTTGATGCAGTGGTCTTCAAAGGGGTAAAGAGCATTGTCAGCCAAGATCACACAGGGCCGAGACAAGACGCGCACGAAAGGGAGGGACAAAAGATATCCAAAGAAGATGAAAAAGAAACAAGAATCTATGCAGTATCTCAGGAGAAGAGGAGGATGAAAAAGAAATGAAAAAAGACACCATCTCCGTCCATCCAAGGGCCCTCTTAGCCCTCTCAAATGCGTGAGTTCTAGAAAACTAGGGGTATTATGAACCTTGTCACTTCAAATGGTTCCAGTGCACATTCCTTCTCTGCATGGGTGTTTGGGGGTCTCTCTCACCGGAGGGGTCAGTAATTAAACTGATAGGATCTCAATATTTACTCCACACCTGATACTAAAAAGTTGATCTGTCGCACCGAAGCACACACTCCATCTCATCCAGCTCTCCGTTGATCCCACCCAAGAGGAGAGGGAGGACGGGCAAGGGGTTACATGCGCAAGGTCACGGCCCAAGTCACCACAGCCAGCCCGGACGCTGTGTTCCGAAGCGACGGCTCTCTCCCAAGGGTCGATTCCAGGCTGGTCTTTTGGTACGGGACATGTCCCTTCCGAAGGCTAGCCAAGACTCTGTGCCTGGTGTAAGCTGTGTCGAAGCAAAGGGAATGCTCAGGCTCCATTCAGGAATTTGGAGACTAGCAGCCCTGTGGAGACAGCCGATCAGTTCCTGCGAGGAAGCCCAAAAGCAAGTTGGAGGCGTTCACACCCGCCCGATTCAACGCACGCGATGCAACAGCTCACAGCATCTTGGCCTTTTTTTTTTTTTTTTTTTTTCATCTTTATTTCAAAGATCATCTTTGACCTCTCCTTATTCTACAATAGACGTGTCTCCCAAGGTCGAAGAGTACATTTGTTGGTGAATTAGAGGATCGAATTTGACCTGCAGGAGGAATATTGGCGAACCAGTGGTAACGGCCGCAGGTGGGAACAATGTGGCGTTTTTCGAACGAATGGTGAGGAGTGAGGCCCATCGCCTTCCCCGCCCGCCCTACGCGCAAGCAGAGTCAACTGATCACCTACGCTTTACGGATTGTCTTGTCACTCTTTTTCGATCAAAGGGTGTTCTTATTATTATAACGTGGCCCTGTGCCCGAGACCTCGAATCGGCTGTCGGCATTCGAAAACAACGTACAAGTATTAGACTTGTTGTAAACGGGCAGTTGTTACGCATCGATGCTCGACCCCCTTTTTTCTTCTCGATGTATGGCCAGGGCCTACCTTGAGGAAGGCTTCCCTTTTCTTTTTCCGTCTCCATGATCGAACCCTATCTGCTCTGTTCATGGGTTCGTTCGGGGAAAGCCCTTGTCTGGGACCGGCCGCAAGCGTCACCAGGCGCCCTGAGCAGACGAGCGTTTGCTGGAGCACAGTCTGAAAATAGCCTCCCTTATTAGTGGACTCAAATGTTGCGGGAAACTTTTGTTGGTCCGGGTGACTTGTCCCCTTCAAACCGTAGATGATCTCCCGCAACACCCCTGAAGCCAGGACCAGTTTGCCGGTGGATCATCAAACAGTTCGGCCTGTCATGGTTCGCTTTCGAGTATTAGAGGGAATAACGGAAAGATCCATCGACTTGCTCCCCTTTTTCCCACCGACTGGTGACTCAATAGTCGAGGGCAAGGTGCGCCAATCGAGGCGGAGCCAGTCCGTTGGTGCAGCTGGCTGGGCCGTACCCGCCCGGTATCTGCGGGAGGTCGGCGGCCTTGAGAGCTGGCACCACACTTGGCCCACCAAGGCAGGGTTCATCGTTGCAACATTTGAAGCTGGGGTGGGGAAGGGAAGGTAGTGAAGAGACCATCTTCTCTCTCTATCTTTTCTTCTTGAGAGAGACGAATCCATGCACGGCAATGTACGGACAGGTGGCCGAAATGTGCCACTTTTCGACATTGATCACTTTCCAAGCTAAATTCTCACTTGCAAGGAGTCCTGCGTGGACTAATAGATCAACCAGGAAAGCCCTGCAACTCGGGAGTTTTGACGCTGGGGACAAGGGATGGCACAGGCAGGTGTTGTCGTGGATGTATTACTTCGTACTTGAGATTGATAGAAGTGTGGCGTCGAATCTCACTTTCTGGGAGTTCGCTTTCCAGGGTGGTACAAGGAGGCGATGGCATGGGAAGCGGAAACCGAGCTTCCTCCTCTTTGAAGGGTAGCATTTTCTCTTGGGGCTTCTTCTGACTTTGAGTGCCGCATCGAAGTCTGGGCTTGGGTGATGCAAGGCTCTAAAAGCTTCCCTCACGCCCTTGGTTCCTTTGATGATGATTCGCCCGTCCATGTTATTCTCTTTATAATACGAAACATCCATCTAGTTGGGGAGATGGATAGATTGAGCAACAAGCCAAGCTCTTGAGCCCTCGGTTCCAGCTCTTTTATTCGTGACGAAGGGCTCACCGGCATCATCCGCCCTGGCGTGGTTGATGGTAGACGCTAGGCGATCAAGGAAGGGGAGGAGGGGAGGAGATGGTTCCTTCAATATTGTTCAATGTACCAACTCCTCACTCGGCTTAAGAACCTGCCCACCCTCTTCGGCGAACGGGGATACTGTTGTCGCCGATGGTAGATGGTTCGGATCTCCTCGAGCTTCACTGCGCCCACAAAAGCCACCTCGACGTCCTATTTTAGCTTCAACGAAAGGGAGCTGACTAGGTTTGTTAGCGAGGGACAATTGAGTTTTTGGGCTAAGGAAAAGGGACGGCGAGATGTTAGGACGCGAGAGTGCGAGGAGGGGGGAGGGAAGCAATGAATGTTCGACGGCCTGGAGTGCGATGTAACTCTAGTGTGCAACCGCGCCTCTGGAACTATGGGCTTGTTCGTGCTGGAGGATCCAGGAACCAATGAACTCTGCAGCTAGCCAGCGCCAATCCAGAGGGGCCAGCCAAGGGGGCTTTTGCGGGCCATAGGTACACCAACCCTTGTACGTATTGAGGGAAGGGAAAAAAACCAAGGTAGTATAATTTTAAACGGCCGTATCGATTTCCCCTTTCCTCCTGTCTGCCACTGCCAGTGCCAGGAAGCTGCAGTCAAGATTAGACAGCGCGGTCCAGCGAACCGAAGGGTAAGCCCGACAAGTGTCAGCATTCAGAGGGATGTCGTATCAATGAGAAGGGATCCGCCGGAAGAAAAAAAAAAAGGTGAATGGTTTCCCACATTCACATCTCACTCCCTTCCCATCTCGAACTTGTAATACTGGCTTCGAGCTCACGACCGACCTGCCAGCTCAACCACCGGGGTTCCCCGCCTTCCTCTCTTTCCTCCAGCCCTTCTTCCACTCTGGTTGCACTTTCACCTTTGGCGCAACTCCCAGGTCCCGCCTTCTTTTTCGAGCCTGCACCTGACAGCGCTGTTTTGCTTCCGAACCGCTCCTTCCTTGCCCTCCTTAAGTGGATGGTTGTGGGATCTCGTCGATTCCGACTTGCACCGCTTCTTCAAGTCATTCATTCAACATCTACTCGTTCCTATCTTGGCTCACTAAGCCCGCCTTGCCATTCTCCATCTAGGGTATCTAGCATCTGACGCTCTGGTACCAAGCATACCCTTTTTCCCTTTGCCTTTTCCCACTTGGTGGTGTCACTCCTATCTCCCGTCTTCTTCTTTTTCTAGCTCAATTTTGAGCATCAAGTTAGCTGCTTTGCCTGCTAGGGCCTAGCGATCAATGTTCTCCCCCGCTGTCCCCTTATGACAACCTTCAGCCTTGTGCCGTCTGGGATACTGCATCACTCGTAGACCCCTAGCCCCTCATCTCCTCTCTCGACCCGAGTCCCCAAGAACCCGGGCCTTGTCGTTGTGATCACCCACGGCGGGCTTGGCTGCGATCCCACGCTCTCCTCGACCAAGACGTTAGTCTCGTTCCGACCGAACCCGAACCTGATGGCCGAGTCCACGCCTGCCAAATCGGATGCCGGGACGCCAGGCCCGAAATATCCTGCGCCAAAAGACAAGGTCTGCCAGTACTGCGGCGTGGCCTTCACTTCATCCTCGCTTGGCCGACATCTGGACCAGTTTATAAAAGACAAGAAGCCGAAGCGCCCAGACGATGTTCACGATGTCGATGAGATTAGGAGACTGCGGGGCGGTATTACCCGTCGCCAGCCCCGAAATTCTTTGCGAGCCGGGAGAGAAACTCTCACTCCCGTTAGCACGCCCAAGCTCAGAGACTCGTCGGCAACCCACGAGGGCTTGCGGGCAAAATCACCCTTCTCTCCAAAGGAGAAGAACGACTCTGTGAATGGATGGGGTTTGAACGGCGCAGTCACAGATGCCCCGAATGGCGATTCTGTGCCAAACGGGAGGAGGCCTGCGATTCAGAGGGCCGCAAGCCGCCAGATCCAAAAGCTCAGTACGACTCGCGGAATAAGGCCGTGGATGCGGCGGATAGGGCAAGAGCAGCTGAACTTGCGCTAACGGAGCTTCTAGGCTCGTTGCGAGCTGCCAAGTAAGATCACCGCCATGCTTCCGCCAAACCTCCGGTTGTTACGATGATACTAACCGCTCTTGCAACCTTGTAGAAACCAAATCGATGCTTCTTCATCCCCATTCGACTTCAACCCCTAACGCTCGACTTCCCGGCCCTCGCACTACGGTGCCTCTGCGCGCCCCCGACCCTATTCTCCTCGACACAGTACCCCTCCCCCACCTCCTGGTCAATACAAGCCCCGGCACACCGAGAGTTCGAGGCTCTCGGCGCTTACTTTCGAGACGAGTTCAAGAATTGGAGGGTGAAGTGCGCAACTGCTACCACGATTCTGTCGGAAGAGCTCAAGTTTGCAACTAACTCGCCGCCCCGGGATATGAAGGCTGAGATAAAACAGGCAGAGGAGCGCTGCAACGAACTTGAGTCCCAGATCCAGGATCACCTCCAGTCTTCCTTTGCCGTATGGGAAAGACTGTCTACTCAGAGGCAGGACGAACTTTGGCACCTGGAGATGGCTAGGAGTGTCGGTAGTAGGCACAAAGAACTCGAGGTTATGAGGGAGGAGCGTCAAACAATGACACAGCGGATCGCTCATCTGGAGGCGCAGGTGGAGCAACTAAGTCGTTGGCAAAACCCCAAGGAGTTCAACGTAATGGCACCCCAGACCATTCCGGTGGATCCCTTGGCTCTGAATCACCTCTTGGAAGCCAGCATCAGCGGTGCCAAGGGCGTGGGCCTCAAATCAGATGATCGACATGTGGACTTAACCACGGTTGTTTCGCGAGCTATAGAGCGGTGGAGGCATGTCATCGTCTCTCAGCGCCGTTCAGAAAATAACCTTAGCGGGCAGAAACCGCTGCCGGGGCCAGCGGCGACAACCCCGGCGAGGAACACCGCCCAGTCTAGGGCTCAGCCGAACGATTCGCGACCCTCGAATAAGCCGGACACTTCGCAGCAATCCCCATCAAAGCAAAAAGTGCGAAACGACAAGCAGCCGCCTCCGAACCTGCGGCAGAAAGCCAAGCTACGGAGGCGGACACGACTGGCGATTCTTCGATGGAGGACTCTGACGCTGATGGAGACGCAGACGGGGATGCGGATATCGACAACCATATCGAAGACGTCGATGTTGATGTGGATGTTGACGTCGATGATGCCGATGATGCTGATGATGTCGACGTCGATGATGAGGGCGACGGTGATGGAGATGCAGATGCGGATGATGACGGAGACGAGGATGGGGATGCCGAAATGGAGGATGATGTTGGCTTCTCCATGTTGCAAGCCAGGCAGCAACTGCAACAAGCGCAGCAGCAGCAGCAACAGCAGCAGCAACAACAAGTACAGCAACTACAACAACAAGTGCAGCAACAGCAGCAACAGCAACAGCAACAAGTGCAACAGCAGCAGCAGCAGCAACTTCAGATGCAACACACGCAACAGCAGCATCATCAGCGGCACCAACCTCAAGATGGCCTTCATGTGCCGAGGACGAGAGGGCACATGCAGAGGCCACCAGAGGGTCCATACATGATAAGGCATACGGCAAGCATGCCTATCACTCGTGGAGCACTTACTATTACCCGAACCATATCAAGCATGACCCCACAGGGGATGCATGGATTGCATGGGACCAATGGAACAGACGGCATGTATATAGGATGAAGTGGATGGAAGGAGAAGTAAGAATCGTTCCTTTTTTTTTCTTTTGTTTCGGGCTCCCGAGGACAAACATATAATCACTTGCACCTGGGCACCAGGAACACAGAAGAGGGCTCGCAGAAACGCTCAATTCAGTTCTCGGACTTCCCACCACTTTGGAATATACTGGAACGGAGTAGAGAATGGGGGTGGTGTATGAGAAAGCATCCGAACCAAGATGGCCTCTTCTTTTTTTTTTTTTAATCTTCTCCAAAACGAAACTTTTAATGGCCAGCATTAGGGCGTTTAAAATAAAAATGGACTTGGATGATGCTATATCATTAACTAGTGCATCTAACTTGCACTTCTCGTGCCTCTTGACCCAGCTACCAAGTTCTTACATCACCTTGTCTGCATTTCAGACCCTGAACATAGTCTGAAGTGTGCGGAGGCTTGATTGCCGCCGTCAAGCTTGTGCCACAAAGGCAATTGGGATGATTGGGACGTCCCCCCTTTATGTGTATCTTCTAGAAGACCCCTGGTCGTGCCGGCCCTGTTGAACTCTAATTATTTTGTGGCTGCACGAGATGCTCACGATAGGCAGTGTTAGCGCCCTTGATTGAGCAAGCACTTTGGCCTGTTGTTCTTCGCACTGCTGGCGCATGGTTTGACGGTCAGCACACAATACCTACTAAAAAGAGAGGCATCTTGTGTCATTTCCAGGGCTAGACGAGCAATGTAGTGCACAGAAAGAGGTCAGTAAGTAACACGCACATTGACACTCGACTCCTGTTTTTGCGAGACTCTGCACCAGCGTTGTGGGTGGGGAGGCACAAAGTGATCCATCTATGACAATGGATCTGGACACAGGTACAGCCGAGCTTGATTGTGTTAGAACCAATTCCATTCGACGCACAGTGCGTGCTGCGGGGTGCCTGGTTTGCCAGCCCAGCCTTTGAGGGCAATGGCAAGAAGAGCCGGGACTAGCCTCTAGACCAATGTTCTTTGCAAGCCTCACAATAGCTTACATTTCAGAGCGGATGTCAAAGAGATAGGGGAAAGAAAAAGAAAGAACAAAACCGTTCTGTCGGGCGGTCGGAAGCACTAATCCCTTCTCACCACAGCCCGCATATCGGTGCCTTTCGGGGAGGCCGGGGCCTAGGCCAATTGAGCCATTGGTCTTAGTACGGCGCCCCGGCCTTGGTGACACCAGAGAATGAGCAATACCAATCTAATTGATTGTCACTGTCTGTTTTTGAGTTTTAGCTTTGTGCTTGTATCACCACCGGACCGATTCGGTGAGCGACATGGAGCTGGGGCCTAGCGAAAGACAGCGAGCTGACGATGACTGAGGGTTAAGTTGTTGGGGGTTCAATGTCTAAGTGTTGCCATGCTCAGTGATCTCTCTCCTCTCCCCGTACTCTTGGGAGACTAGGTGCAACATGCATGTAAGCTATGCTGAGCCATTGAGTCAAAACAGATATCATTGATGTCTCTGATCCTGTGCTTGCCTGCGTTGTTTAAAAAGACCGCACTGCACATGACAAAGTTGTAACATGTTTTCCTTTCCTGCCCTCCCTTATTAGGTCCTCCCGCCACCAGGTGGTGGGTATCTCATGTGCTCGGTGCAAGGGTGGCAGAATGGGGTTATCCCACTGTTTGCCGTTGGAGATGCAAATGGTGTAATAGATTCTTCTCAGCCGAAGCTCCATGTCGGTTTCCGGCGGACCGTATAAGAGGCGCATTTTCGGTAAAACAAAACCCGCCCACCCCCGGCGTGCCCCAGTTGCGGTGCAAAGATAAGCTGGCGCACCACTTTCGCCATCTCCTGGATGAAGCTCGTGGCTGTTGTATGGAGTGGGCGCGAAAACCCTTGCTGCTTGCTCACATGGGGGAGCACGACAGCTAGGCTCCCCCTGCACGACGTGCGCGGGACACAGGCAGGCCTTGCGCCGTTTTCTGTTTTGGAGGCAACTGGGCTCGGCTCGTACGTCAACCGCCCCGAGGTTGCCTGGAAGGCGTATCTAAAGGGGGAGAGCGGAAAAAATGTGGGATGGATGAGCGTGAAAAAGGAGGATGAGAAGGTGATTTCGGTGTCATCAAATTCATGACGGCTTTCGGGTATTGACGTCCATGTCAGTTGCTGTGGGGGTCCTCTCTTCCCTTGTCCCCTTGCCCCGGCGCATCGGTCTTCTCTCCACAGCACATGTCCGAGCTTGAATCACGAAGTCTGGGGAAACTTGCGGGACCTCCCCGAGAAATCTGATTGTTTGGGTTCATACCTGTCTCTGGGAGGCTTTCTAGGTACCTCTACATTCCCGCTTTGGGGGCTGGCTAGGATGGGGTCTAGAGATCGTGACGTCCGTCTCGGCTTCTCTTCTCTCTCACACGCTTGGCCAAGATCAGTTTGAGCCAGGCAGTGTCAGTCTTGCCAGTCTGGAGAACGTCAGCCACCCCGCGTGACATTCGGAATGTACCAGGGTTTCTAGAAGAAGTATCGCGATACTTCCCGCGTGGTTAGGCTGTGTACTGTCCAGTGACGTATACGGTACCATGCTTGAAGGAAGATGACCACACGAGTACATCGGTATACCTAGACGTCGTAGCTCTTAAGCCATCCACTGGAGTTTTAGGAACCACCAGACCATTACGAAGCCTTACAAAGTCGTTGAATGGGCGTTTGCGCTTCCTTCCTGTTGACTCGCCCCTCCTTCCAAAAGAGTGCAATTAGTTCGAACTATGTTGTCTTTGCCAAAAAGGAACTGGAAGCCTCTTGAATCTCTTTCTTTGTGGCCACAAGCGAATTTTCCCCATTGTCTCTAGCCTCTCTTTCGGTTCCTCCCTTGTGCTGCCTAGTGCCGGAGGATCCAGGGTAATCCATTCTGCCATTCTCTGAACCACCCGTTTAAACCCCCAACTTTCCCCATCGAGGTGAGGGTTCGGCATCCCTTCCCATTGTTGTGCAAAGTCGAACTTCAATTACCAACCCACTTTTTTCCCCTTTCCCTTAAACTTCCCTACAACCCTTTTTTTTTCTCCTCTCCCTTTTTTTTTCTCCTTCTCTCTCCCGAACAATTGGCCCCTCTTGCCTTGCTAGGGAATCATTATCTAGTCTCGATACATCCTCTCTCACCATCTTTTTCGGGGTGTATTCTTTGCCCGTCAGTTCCCCCAGGTCCTGAGCGAGGAGGCTTTCACGTCCGGTCGGCGTAAACCCCTCAGCGTACGCCCCTCACTGCCCCTCTAAACCACTAAACCCCTCCCCCAATCGAACCCTCCAGTGCCGATCAACGGGCCCCGATCGTTGAACAAGGGAGCGGCGAACACCACGGCACCTGTACAACCAACTTTGGTTTTTCCTCCTCTGCCTTCTTCGTCACCCTCACATCCTAACCTCGCCTCCACCTCGGTTTTCCGTCTGCGCCTCGCTTCGCCCTACGTCACCCAATTTTGTCGCCCATCGATCCCTGTTCCTTCTGGGATATAAGTTGTTTATTCAACCGCAAAATCTTTTACTTTTGAACCAGCCATACGTGCACGAGTTACCCCAGCGCACTAGAAGCCGAATTCGCAGTTCCAATGGCGCAAACCACGGCGGCTCAGAACGAGCCCGGCCACACAACGAATATGACCCTCGACAACTACCAATTCCCGGCCGACCGGATACGGAGACAGCTGAAGGAGCCGAACAAGACGCCGTTGATCTTGGTTGCCTGTGGCTCCTGTACGTTTTCCCCTGCTTTTTTTTTATTATCCTGCAAACTTTGACCCTTCTCTGGCTCGTCCTGCCGCATTCGGCCTGTGCTGCCGTCAATGATTGCCGCCCTTGCTGCCCCTCTATGCCCGCGAACCCTCCTTGCAACCCCACCAACATGCGATCGAGACAACCTCTAGGGGTTTCGGAGAAACCTGTGTGCTGACGCTAGGATTCGCGCCTGGTGCGCTTTTTCTTGGATTTAGTCTCTCCGATTACATTTTTACATTTGCGCATGTTCCCGATGGCTGCGGACTTTTGCAGGCATTCGAATAGCGCCTACGAGGTTGTTGGAGGGTATGTTGAGCTCATCTCCCCCAGTGCCCTGTAACAAGCGATGGCTCGGAAACCGCACTCGTCCTCGATGGCTTAAGAAGCCGCCTTTCCTTCACCACTACATTTCTTCCCTCTCTTTTTATCTTATTTTCAATGCCCTTCTTTCCCGTTTTTTTCTCGCTGTACGCACGGCGGTACACTAGCGCCGAGGAGCGGTTTCTAATGTTGTCTCTACAAATAGTTATCTCTCGCCGGTATCGGATGGTTACAAGGTATGCGCATTCTTTTGCTCCTTCTCTGATATACAGAAGATGTGGAACGAGAGCCAAGTCTCCGTTCTCAATCTTACGTCAACTAGAGTCCTAATGAGATTACGAAATTAGAAAGCCGGACTTGCCCCTGGACACCACCGGGTGCGGATGTGCCAACTGGCCGTCGAGCACTCTCCCTTGATAATGGTTGACCCTTATGAAGCTTTGAGCGTAGGTTCATCTTAGTAGTCCCCCTAAGGAGCTCTCGAAGGCGCCCTAACATCATCGCCTTGCCATAGTCCGACTTTATTCCCACAGCCAAGGTCCTTGACCACTTCGAGACCGAAATCGATCGAGCCATCCCCGGCGGTATCCTGTCCGCAGACGGAAAAGAGAAGCTTAAGCCCAGGATTGCTCTCCTCGCCGGTGCCGATCTTATCCAGACGATGAGCCAGCCTGACATCTGGAGTAGCGATGATCTTGAGCATATCCTGGGTCGATTCGGAGCCTTCATCATCGAAAGGGCGGGGACCGATATTCACCAAGCGCTAGCGAGCCTCCAGCCTTTTAGAGAGAATATTCACGTCATCCAGCAAGTCTTCCAGAACAACATGAGCAGCACGCAGATCCGCCTTCACATTAAGCGCGATATGAGCGTGCGCTACCGTATGATCCCCCTGCTTGACTTCTACGCCCTTCGGTCATCTAACATGCTTGTAGTCATCCCGGACCCGGTCATTGATTACATTGAAAAGACTGGTCTATACCAGGAAAGGCAACCATCCCCGGAGAGCTCAGCGGAATCCTCTGGGAGTCAATAACACCCCTTCTTCTTACTCGGCACTTTTTGTTTCTTTTTCCTCGTCATTTCCTATGGGTGTTCGCGGACTTCTTTTTTTCCTTTTTCTTTTCTCCCCTTCCGTTTTCTTTGGTTGCTATGTGGTTGGCTATTCTGATATTTCAGGTGTTCTTTGAGGAAGCGGTAGAGGCCGGTACCAGATCGTACCGCTGTCACGTCGACCATCTAGACGACGTCGTTATGCAATGGGTTTTGAAGACGACAGGAAGCGAGATATTTGATTCCATAGGCTGTAGATGCACACACACACGTACGTGTACACTGAGGACAGGAACCGGCGTAGGTCGATCCCTTTGAGTCACCAACCTGGTCCTCGATGAGGAGGGAGTCACTCGATTCCGCCCATCTGAGGTGTTGTTGTTGTCTTTTTCGTTCAAGTTCGTCATGCACCAAAGTGCACGGTATGGTATTATCAACGGGTAATATTAAAGGCATTCTGCTCCGGGGACAACAGCCAGCAGGGCGTCTCCCGTTCATCATCCTTGTTCAATCTCGCATGTCGAGATCCTTTTATTGCGTGACGCAGAAGCACACGACAACAGGAACGGCATCGTAATTGATGTTATGGAATTGTCCCGGTCCGTTGGAGGAGTAGGCGTTGAACGTAGATAGTACGCAGATTACTGCACTGTAGATGTGAAATAGGCACGTACAGTGTACCTATGACACAACTGACTCACCCCTCGGTTGTTACTCACAGCTCTTGACATTGGCTTTCCCCCTCCTTCCTCAAAGTCTGTCAATGGCTGGTCCGCGAAAAAAAAATTGCCCCGCCGCACATTCGCTCCATTATCGATAGGTTATTCTGCCCCACGTTTTGCTATCAATTCTCTCTCCACGGAACGAGGAATCACACGCCACCATACGCAACTGGCCTGGGCCTATTTTCCCCCGACTTCCGCTTCATCGGCTAGGTGAATATTATAAAATTGCCATTGAGCGCATTTTCGCCAAGCATCCCGACCCCGAAACCCAAAACGAAAAAGAATTCCCCGACTGTCGAGATCACCGTAACCATGGCTGACGCGACAACCCCGCCCCACCAACCGAGCAGGTTGCGAACCTGCAGCTCGACGAAGTCACCGGCGAGATGGTATCCAAGACCGAGCTCAAGAAGCGCCTCAAGTCACGACAGAAGGAGGCCGAGAAGGCCAAGAAGGCAGCCAGCGCGCCGGCCAAGCCCGCGGGGCAAAGGCCGCCGGCGGTGCGGGCGCCGCCGCCGCGGCGAGCGCGGAGGCGGCCGAGAAGGAGTTGACGCCGAACCAGTACTTTGAAATCCGGAGCCGCACCATCAACAAGCTCCGTGAGACCAAGAGCCCGAACCCGTACCCCCACAAGTTCCACGTCACGTACGACATTGCCAAGTTTGCCGAGGAGTTTGGCTACCTCAAGAGCGGCGAGACGGCGCGGGACAAGGTGATCCAGGTGGGCGCGAGGGTATTTACCAAGAGGTCTTCGGGGTCCAAGCTCTTCTTCTACGACGTGAGGAACGAGGGCGTCAAGGTGCAGGTGATGTGCCAGGCGCAGGAGGCCAAGGCGGATGGTGTGCCTTTTGAGGCACAGCATGAGCATTTGAGGAGGGGTGATATTGTCGGAATCGTTGGTTTCCCTGGACGGTATGTGGGATAATTACCTTCTTCTCCAAGGAGAGAAGAAGGGGGTTATACATTGGTTTTCTTTTCCCATTCCGCCAACTGCTCGCCCGAAATGGACCAAAAATTCTAACAGCGATGGCCGCATCCATATAGAACCGCCCCCAAGTCGCGAATTGCCAAGGGCGAGGAGGGAGAGCTCTCCATCTTTGCTACCGAGATTATCCTCCTCACGCCTTGCTTGCACGCCATCCCCGACGAGCACTATGGTTTCAAGAACCACGAGGAGCGCCATCGCAAGAGGTACCTCGATCTCATCATGAACGATACCACGCGCAAGACGATTATTACCCGATCCAAGTAAGCAGCCCTTTTCTGGTTCTTCATCACGGCATACAGCCCAGAGGTTCTTTTTCCCCTTTCTCTTTCGCCTCGTCCTAACCTAATTTGATAGGATCGTCACTTATATCCGCCGTTTCTTCGAGGACAACGGTTTCATCGAGGTAGAAACTCCCGTCCTCAACGCCATTGCTGGTGGTGCGACTGCCAAGCCCTTTGAGACGCATCACAACGATCTGGACATGCAAATGTACATGCGTATCGCTCCTGAGCTTTACCTGAAGATGCTTGTCGTTGGTGGTATCAACAAGGTGTTTGAGATTGGCAAGCAGTTCCGAAATGAGGGCATCGACTGTAAGTATCTACTAATGAAAACGATTATGAGAAGGACCGGAGTACAAGCTCGCTAACCCGCGCACATAGTGACTCACAACCCCGAGTTCACCACCGTCGAGTACTACGAGGCGTTTGCGGATTTCCATGATGGTGAGTAGCTAACCCGCCTGAGCTGAAGCGAAGTGCAGCTATATGTCTTCCCTCAAACTCGAGACTGATATGAAGCATAGTCTCCACGCGTACCGAGGTCCTCATCTCGGGTCTCGTCAAGGCCATCACCGGCAGCTACGTGACCAAGTTCACCAACCAGCACGGCAAGGAGTTTGAGATCAACTGGGAGGCCCCCTGGCGACGCATTGACATGATTCCCGAGTAATTCACCGTTCTTCCTCCTGCCCCACGATTCCAATCATAGAAAGTTGTGCTGACAGGGCTTGTGATTTTCAAAAGGCTTGAGAAGATCACCGGCGAGACGTTCCCTCCTGGCGATCAACTCCACACCGCTGAGACCAACGAGTTCTTGAAAAAGGTTCTCAAGAAGATGAATGTTGAGTGCACGCCGCCTCTCACCAACTCTAGGATAATCGACTGTCTCGTCGGAGAGTTCCTAGAGTCGCAGTGCATATCTCCTAGTGAGTCACATCCTGAATCTAACCAATTATGAGAGAAAGCAGGAGAGAGTGAGGGGAAAGGAGACAGAACCTCAGCTAATTACTTTCGTGCTAGCCTTCATCGCCGGCCATCCCCAGGTCATGTCGCCTCTTGCCAAGTACCACCGCGAGTGTAAGTGAAAAGGAGAACGCAGAGTCCGCAACAATAAAGCGTGTGCTAACCACGAAACTGCATAGTCCCCGGTCTCTGCGAGCGTGCTGAGGTCTTCGTCGCCACCAAGGAGATTGCCAACTTTTGTAAGTCTTTCTAAGATGGGACATCCAAGCCCATGAGCCTTTTCCGCCAGCACTTTACTTTGCGTTTTCTAACTCTTACTAGACACCGAGTTGAACGATCCCTTTGATCAGAGGCTGCGATTTGAGGAGCAGGCTCGTCAGAAGGATGCTGGTGATGAGGAAGCCACCCTCATCGACGAGAACTTCTGCACATCTCTAGAAGTACGCCCCCACCCTACCCGCGCGTTGGAATCTCAACCGGACTCATCTTGCTAATCACTTCTTGTGTTCTTTTAGTACGGCCTTCCGCCCACTGGGTATGTATTACCCGATATCTTGGACGTCCCCTTGGTCACTTGCTAACAATCTGTCATAGTGGTTGGGGTCTCGGCGTCGACCGCCTCGTCATGTTCTTGACTAATAACGTACGTCCCCCTCCCACCTGCCTATCTTTCTCCCAGCTCCCTTTTGTCCTTATCTTTTCTGTCTTCGTCCTGCATACTAACCAATGTCTTAGTACTCCATCCGCGAGGTCATTGCTTTCCCCTTCATGAAGGAGGAGCAGAAGCGGGATGACAAGAAGCTCGCCGCTGAAGTAGCCGGCATTGAGCCCCTTCCCGTCGAGGAAGTCCGTACGTTGTAGCCTAGCTATGCCCGACTGATCTACATTGACCTTGTCCCCATCATCCATCATCGTCCAGCCGTGATTCGGCAGCTGACGCTCCCTCTCGCTTAGCTCGCAAGTAAATTTGTTCAAAATTGAGAGAAAAAGAAGAGAGGGAAAAAAGCAGAGACAGTGCAAAGTAGGAGAGGGTTACCGGTCGAATAGGGGATGATCCCCATCGGTATGTGTCTGCGATCTCTCCGTTTGTTTGAAAACGGGAGTGGCACGACGACCATGGTATGGGCCCTTGCACCTTGTGCCATGTTTTGCCTGTTTCGTATTGTAATTTGGGCTGTCGTCTTCAAGGCGGAAGAGCAAAAGAGAAATGGATATTGGCCAGGGAGAGGTAGGTAAACGAGACGAGAGAGTCTTCATGTTTAGAAGAGGAAAAGCCCCTTGGTTAGAAAATAGAAAATAGAAAAAAAAAGAACAGAGTGGTGAACTACGACCTATGTACAGACACAACCCTGCCGCCTTACCGATATCAAATGCAGAGATGCACGCCTTTCCCAGTCTTCTAATATTCCCTGATATACAAACATATTGTTCCCTTTAAAAGTACACACAGCTCCGTTTTGTCTTCTGCTTGGGTTCAAAGGGCAAGCTTACCCGAGAACCGTAATGTGGGCTCATCTGTTCTAGCTCTACTTTTTATGATGTTTCTTTTTTCTTTTAGCGAGTAGCAGTCTTGGAAGCAGTAGAGGCGGCCGAGGATTTGGCAGCGGCCTGAACCCTCTTGTTAAGAGTGGCCAAGAGAGACTTGGGGATGCGTAGCCTCTGGCCGAGGATGAGGGCGGTCGTGAGGAGAGCGAGGGCGCCAGCCTGGTGGGCGGCGGCGAGGGGAGGGGAACCATGTAGATTAGGGTGGTGATGCCGAGGGTGACTTGCGCAAGGGTAACATGAAGGAGACCGTGCACGCCCTTCCTGACGTTGGCGGGGAGGGCAGCGGCTACGCGGCCGCTGCGGGCGTAGGCGAAAAGGGAGAGAACGGAGAAGCAAGTGGTGGTTGCGAGGATTCGGTGGTCAAGCTGAACGGTGCTAGGGTTCTCGAGCATGTTGCGCCACCAAAGATCAGAGCGATCGGACTTGCGAGAGTAGTGCTCGTCCCAGAGCTCGGAGGCGGGGGCGCTAGGCCGAGGCCCATGCGGGGAACTCGTTGTAGATGAGACCGGCGTCAAGGCCGGCAACAAGGGCGCCGGAAAGGGCAGTGGTGAAGACGAGGATGGCGAGAGCGGTGGCGGAGCGTCGGAGGGTAGTGAGGGCGGGGTTCCGGAGGGCGGCAATAGTCTTGAGAGCGGCAGCGGGGTCGGCGAGCATGCGGCGGTTACGCAGCACGGTGAGGGCAGAGATGAGCATCCATGAGTAGCAGACGATCGCGGCGGCGAAGTGGGTGGTGAGGCGGTACTGGGAGACGCGGGGTGGGATCCCGGAGCGAAGAGGTCGTCCTTGAGACCGGACTTAACCATCCACCAGCCAATGAGGCCTTGAAAGCCGATGAGCGCGGAGATACCAGCAACGTTGAAGGCCATGGGGAGGGAGACACGGCGGCGGGCAACAAAGTAGAGGGCGGGCAGGACGAAGGTTACGCCGATGACACGGCCCCAGACGCGGTGGGCCCATTCCATGAAATAGATCTTCTTAAACTCGGCGAGGGTCATGTGCGGGTTGAGAAGCTGGAACTCGGGAGATGCTCGGTACTTGTTGAATTCGGCGGACCAGGTTTCGTGGTCGGAAGGGAGGACAGCCCCGTGACGGGACGCCATTCGGTTATACTCAAGCTTTGGAAGGAATTCAAACGTCAGCCAATGTGCCGCGCAGCGAGGGGATGGAAAGATTGATGATGCCCAGAGAGCCACCAACGAAGAACTCGGCTTACCCGGATTCAGTGAGACGGGTCAACCCGCCAAAGATGACAATGCCAAACACGCTGACGGCAGAACCAAGGAGCCAGAGGCCAACAGCCTTGGAAGTGGTGAACTCGGGCCTCTTGCTCTTTGTCGTCGTGGTCGCATCAGCGGCAGCGGTACTTTCCGAGGCAGCTCTGAGCTGCTCCGAAACCGTAGCGGTCGTGGTGTTGAAGCGGACTTGCTGGGCGGGGAAGGCTCGGGCCTGTCGAACGGCATCGAGGACACGCGAACGGGTAGCAGTAGCGGGCGCACGCTGAACGCATTGGCGACAGACGGAGGCAGGGGCGGCAAGCCTCATGGCTAGCCGTCGCGACACGGGCATTAGATATGCCATTGTCGCGAAAAGGATTCGAGACGCTGGCGAAGAATTAGGGATAGGTGGATAAAAAGGGGGAGGAAAAGAAACAAAAGTCGAGGAAGAATAGAGTGCGTGAGGGACAGAAGGAGAAAAAGAAGGCCCACCACAGGGGAGGGTAGATGAGGATGGGCTGATGTGGGCTCCGAGCCAGTTCGGGGCTTCGCGATGGGGATAATTTATGGTACGAGTTCCCAATTCAAGGGAAAAAAAAATGGGGTGAAATATTAATTACTAAAATTCTCATTGGTTCCACCTTCCAGGAACAGCGTGGTCTGGGCCGGAGCCAGTAGCTCTCAAGGTGGGAAGGTGCAATTGGCCTCTATTGGTGTACCGTACTGGGCCACGGCAGGAGCGATCCCAAAAAAAAAAAAAAAAAAAGAGCAAAGAAAATGTTCACCGCCCTTGAACCCCACGTCGATTCCCACCGGCAGAAAAAGCTACCCTCCAGGAAAAAAAAACTACCATTCCTAGTACCTCAAACGTCGGTCGCCGCCTCACCATATTTTTGAAATATCGTGACACCGCCTTGCAACATCCACACCGAACCGAAACGGCTGACAACAGTCGCGGCGACGACATAAACGCCACGAAAATGGCAGGCCGACAAGCTCACGGAAGGGCGCCCACGGCCAAGCCGTTGGGGAAGCGGGCAGGAAAACTTCAACAGAACCAGCAGAAGAAGGCGAACTCGAAACCCAAGGTTAAGGGTGGCTCGCACGAGCGAGCTATGAATGCTTTTGAGATCGCCTCCGAACAAGTTCGCGGAAGCGAGAAGAAGTCTGTGCGGGATCGCCTCGTGGACCTTGAAGATGAAGCAAGACCCAAACATGGGAGGGATTTCGATGAGGATTCTGAGGACGACGAAGAGGGTCCACAGAGGAAAAGGGCCAAGCCTAGCCGAGCCACCGGAGAGAACTCGGATATCGAGGAGGGTAGCGACGACGAGGGAATCGGTGGAGGCTGGGCGGGCTTGCTGATGACGACGAAGACTCAGAGATTGAAAGTGACGAAGCCTTTGGAGAGAGCGATGAGGAGGCGTTCCAGGGTTATGCCTTCCGAGGGAGCAACTCCAATAAACCCAAGGATGTAAGTATCCATGCCTTATCTTCTTTGAGATCTCTTTTTTGGTTTTCTTTTCTGTTATTTCCTTCTTGGTCGAGTGTTTGCTAATCGGCAATTTCAGGGTGATGAATCTGGCGACGACGATGACGACGACGAATCTTTGGGTGAGGATGCCATCGATTTGGCCCAGGCGCTCGACATGGCGGACGAGGAGTCCGAGGAGGAAGAGGGCGAGTCCGGCTCTGACGACTCTGAAGAATCCGACGACTCAGAGGAGGAGACAGATTCCGACGACGATGGTGTGGAGGACAAGGATGCCCTCAAGGGTTTGGTGGCCAACTTTGCCGGCGTTGACTCAGATGAGGATACAGGCAAATCAACCAAGCCCAAGATTGGACTCAAGGACTTAGGGCTCTTTGGTATCAAAGATGCTGGGATGAAGAAATCTCTCAAGCTCATGACCAAGGAGGAGAAGGAGACGAGACCAGGCGCGACCAAAAGCTCGACGTACCGCTGCCAAAACGTCAACAGGATCGCATCGACCGTAAAGCTGCATACGAGAAGACCACGGAAACGCTCGATAGGTGGACGGAAACCATCAAGCAGAATAGGCGGGCGGAGCACCTTGTTTTCCCGCTGCCACAAGAACTTCCCACAGCGGGGTTAAGCAACCAGGAGATGCAGCCACTCAAGGCAGTCGACGCCAAGTCCGAGCTCGAGAAGGCTATGTTTTCGCTTCTTGATCAAAGCGGCTTGAGTCTAACGAAGGATAAGAAGAACCGTCTGCTCACGGAGGAGGAACATATTCAGCTTTCCAAACAGGCGCAAGAAGAGCTGATTGCGGAGCGGCGATTAGAGCGAGAGTTGCAGTCTCGCGAGGCGAAGAAGATGGCGCGGCTCAAGAAGATCAAAAGCAAGGCCTATCACAGGATCCACAGGAAACAGAGAGTTAGGGAGGAAATGGCGACGAGAGAAGCCATGGTTGAGGCTGGCGAAATCGACTCTGAGGGTGAGCGGGAGGAACAGGATCGCAAGCGTGCCCTCGAGCGAGTGGGCGCAAGGCATAAGAACAGCAAATGGGCCAAGTCGGGGTCCAAGGTCAAGAGGGCGGTCTGGGATGACGACTACAGGGCCGGGCTCGTAGACATGGCGAGACGAGACGAGGAGCTCCGGAAGCGTGTCGAAGGCCGTGGTGCTGACGACGGTTCCGATGCCGAGGAGAGCTACGATTCCGGCAGCGATTCTGGCGACGACCGAGCGAGGCTCCGGCGAGAACTCGAAAAGGCAGAGAACTCGGACGACGGCGCACCTGAATCGAAGTTGATGCAACTCAAGTTCATGAAGAGAGAGGAGGACCGCTTAAAGCAAGCCAACGATGAACTTGTTAGGCAGATCAAGAAGGGTCTCGACTCGGATGGTGGCGAGGATGAGGAAGAGGAGGAAGAGACTGAAGTGGGCCGGAGAAAGTTTGGCATGGGGAACGCTCCGGCCGCTCTTGGTGCCTCCTTGGCCTCGGGCAAGACCAAAAAGAAGCAAAAGGCGAGCGCGGATAGGGACTTGGACGCCATGGATGAAGACGAAGATGTCAATGACGATAACGCTGGCGTCACGAGAGAGAGGAGGTACGTTGTGCCAACCAACGAAATCGCGGGCGCGTGGTCAACGGCAGAGCCTCGCCGTAAGCCCAAGAAGAACAGCGAGCCTCGCCGAAACGAGCCCCTAGACCTCGACTCGACCATCATGATTGCCGAGAACCCCAAGCCCGCAGCAGCCAAGGCGAAGAGAAAGCCCAAGCTAGCCAAGGGAAGCCGTCGGTCCAGTTCCTAGAGGACGGCGGCGACGGTAGCGACGCGGATTCGGAAGAGGGCGACGACTTGGAGCTCCCGCTCGCGATCCGCGATCAGGACCTCATTGCGCGAGCGTTTGCAGGCGATGATGTTGTGGCGCAGTTCGAGCAAGAGAAGGAGGAGCTAGCAGAGGAACAGGACGACAAGGTGGTGGATAACACGCTCCCCGGCTGGGGCAGCTGGGCGGGCGACGGGCTCAACAAGCGGGAGCAGAAGCGCAACAAGGGCAGGTTCCTGACAAAGATTGAAGGTGTCAAGAAGAAGGACAGGCAGGATTCCAAGCTTGACAAGGTGATTATTAACGAAAAGAAGATTAAAAAGGTAAGCAAGGAACAACAACACCAACCCCTCCCCCTCCCCGTCCTTTCGTTTCACTGTTGCGAGCATCACGTTGAAGCTCTCGCGGCACTCTTCAAGAAACAATCGCTAACCAGCCGGGATCTTCATAGAACGACAAGTATCTAGCGACACAACTCCCACACCAGTTCGAGTCCAAGGATCAGTATGAGAGTACACTGAGGCTGCCGATGGGAGCGGACTGGGTGACCAAGGAGACGTTCCAAGGGGCGACAAAGCCCAGAGTTATTGTTAAGCAGGGCATCATTGCGCCCATGTCACGGCCCATGATCTAAATGGCGTTCTCTCGGGATTGAGTTCATGATGGGAAAAGCAATAGATTTGTCTGTTGGCGCAGCCGCGTTACGCGCCTGTAATCGACGTCCGTTCAATTTCCATACCGCATATCTAGGGTGTCTTGTTTTATCTTTTTTCGGACCTAGTTGAATAGAAACATTGGAAGAGCTACTACGTAAAATAGGTTTACATGTCTTCTATCTTTTTGTTTAACCTGGACCACCAGTGATGAATATGCGTGTGATTCATCACGCACACCACCCCTTCAAACCCCAGATGCGGGCGGAAGCTCGAGGCGTGCGCGTGCTCTCTCTCGCATAACCCTCCTTCTTTTCCTTTCTTTTTCAAATTTTTCTCTTCTAAAAAACCCTTACTCTCAGACACACTTGTTCAAGTGGCGGACACGATGCACCACATCTGCACCTCGCGCGCATGAGACCTTTCGAGAAAAAAAAATAAAAAAAAAGGAAATACCTCCCGGATCGCGCTACGGAAGCACATCTTGCCGTGAAATCTTGCCAAAAGATTCCACGCCCCCAAGTGCATTAGGCGGCATGAACTGGTTTTTCCTGGGCCGCGTGGATTTCTATGTTTTTCGCTGAAGCCAGCGGCGGTGATATTTACCTCGTACGTGGGGATGTGGGCCAGCACGCCAAGGATTCATGCCAAGAATAACAGGGACTGCAGGATCCGCAACACGCCCAACTCAATCTGAACCTCCATCCTTCCATGGGCAAGGGCGTCGAGACTTGATCACAGCGGTCTATTTGTCTTCCGCACAAGAGATCCGTGTATAAACACAGCCCAAGAGGAAACCGAAACGAGATCCCCCACAGCATATATATGCGGGTTGGTTCAGTAAAATAATACTAAAATTACTACAGATGGAAAATAAGAACACGAAAGCAATCATGACACTAGTATACAGAGAAGAAGTATGGATAAAAATCCCCAGAGTATGACAAAAGAAAGTGAAAAGAGATAGTAAGGGAGACGATAAAACAAGGCTCTCCATGGGGGTTCCTTCTAGGATCAGGGTTCATTCTAAAATGGACCATACTGTGGCCCGGTTGCGTGGACTGAACCGTATTTACGAAAATGGGTTGGCCGGCTCCCATCTATGACTGTACATGTAGTGATAGGGAGCCGTGATTCAAGGTTTTGACGCACAAGCGCCGCGCTACTGGGGATACGCTTGCGGCCCCCAAATTTGCCATCAAACAAGGGGCCATTCGAAAGAGGTGTCTAGTTAAGAGACAATCTTGACGACCTTGCCCGCATCGAGCGAGGGGCTGACGTAGAAGGCGAGCGCAATAATGCAGTAGAGGCCGAAAAGCTGTACAAGATGCGTGAGTGAGCTGAATTCTCTCGCCAAGAGGGGGAAAAGCAAGTCGGAACTGAGAACAGAGGAAGGAAAATGGGTCTTGGTCTTACCATAGCGCCTTCGAGGTAGTTGGAGCGGCCATCTTGAACAGTGTATGTAACAACCATGACCGAGAAGGCAAATGCGACAACGGAAACTAGGCACAAATCATGAGTACATGTCGTTTCGCTTGCGCACCGACAGGTGCGGCCAGAAAACTCGACCCGACATGGCGGGTCGAGTCGGCCCATCGGGGAACTTACAAGTTTCAAAGTGGAGAGTCATGGGCTGACCGATGGCCCAACCAAACATGACGAGGAAAGGAGTGACGAGGAGCGCAATCTGGATGCTCGAGCCGATCGCGACACCCATGGCCTAGTACACAGGAAATAGCAATTAGCATACGTCATTTACAACCGTCAAGGCAAGCCCTCAAAGTAGAACCTACCAAGTCCATCTTATTCTTCATAGCCACCATGACAGCCGTGGCGTGCTCCGCTGCGTTTCCAACAATGGGAATTAAAATGAGACCGATAAAGGTCTTGCTAATCTTGGTGCTTTCGACAATGGGGTCGATGCTGGCAACAAGATAGTCGGCGCAAATGGCAACCACGACCGTGGTGGCGACGAGGACAATGATTGCCGGGACAAGGCCCATGCAGGGTTCCTCGCGCTCGCGCTCCTCGGCTTGCTCGACGCTGTTCTGGGAAGCCTCAGGGTCGTGGGACTCGAAGTGGCCGGGGCCGTCAAAGAGGTTGTGGTGAGTACGGAGCTGGAACCAGAGGTAAAGACCGTAGAGAATGAGGAGGATAATGGCTGTTCCACGGGACAGGAAGAGGATCGGGCCTTCCGTGTCTTTGCTATCGCCGGCATCGAGGACGTTGTAAAGCTACAATAGCAGGGGTGCGTTAGCTCGACCGAGATCGACCAGTAGAGGGAAATACAGGACCTCTCGGCCTGGGAGGAGAGAAGGCAATAAGTAGGGTCGGTGGGGCCTTACCGTGGCGGGAATAACGAGGGACGCAGACGAGAGAGCGAGCAGGGAGCAAGTCGTCTGGGCTGTTCCCGAGGGGAACTCCTGTTCCATGCCAGTGCCGTCGGGGTTCCGCAAGTTCCAGATTCCCCCAAAGAAGAAACTCATACCCAAAACGAGAAGCAGGTTCGAGAGGATGGACCCTAGCATGGAGGCCTGGACAACCTCGATTTGGCCATCGCGGAGGGCGACAATGCTGACAATCAGTTCAACGGCGTTTCCAAACGTCGCATTCAAGAGCCCGCCCAAAGTTTCACCCAATCGCATGGCGATTTCTTCCGTCGCAAAAGAGAGGACCGCGGCGAGGGGATGATGGCGAAGAAGTTGAGGATGAAGACAGTGTTGGCGTCCCATTTTAGCTCGCCGGCGGCGATGGCGACCGGTATGATGAGAAGCAAAATATTTACATAGCCTGTCACATTCGCGCGAGCGCGCGCGCCAAGTTAGCCACGAACTGGGCCTCTCCATCATCGCACACAGAGGGTTGGGGTTGTATGCGCCGCGGCGACGCGCATTTGGGCGAAGAGGGAGAGAGAACTCACTGCTCAAAATGGTGACTTTGGTAATGTGCCAGGTGGAGGCGGAGTACCTGACGAGGGGATTGGGGCTTTCGGTGCCGGGGTGGTCCTCCGGCTGAGGAAGAACTGCTTCCAGGCGCTGGAGCCGGAGGCGGAGCCATTCGTCCAGTCGTTGTGGTTACCGTTGAGGAGACTGGTCCTCTCGCCGGGATAATCGTCGCTCGATCTGCTCGGCATGGCTTCGCTCAGTGTGCGGCTTAGGGTGCGACGGAAGTTTACGTTGGCTGCGAAGTTGAGAAAAAGCGCAAGGCTTCTGTGTCAGTTATAATCGTTCGCAAGGTGGTGCGAGATTAAGAAATGTCTCGCGAGGGCGCAAGACAAGGAGTAGGCGGTATTGATTGTTGTGGTGGTGGGTCGCTGGGATAGAGGCAAACATCGGCTGTCCAAGGCGGCATGTAATAACAAATAACACAGAAAGAAAAGGGAGCGAATAGCAAGAGCTAGCGGGGGCGGGGAAAAGAAGTAGAAAAGAAAACTCAAAGGGGTTTATTATAAAAAATGATCAAGGATGGAAACGAGGAGGAGATCGTCAAAGTCAAAAATAAAAACTAAAGAAGAATAGTGGAGTGAAGTGAGAGGCGGGTTTTGTGTGTGGAGATGCAGCAAGATGTGTAGTTTCGGTCTCTGTCAATTCCTTTGCGCGCGCGACGGCGTGATGAGTGACGCAAGCACAAAAACGAAAAGTTGTGGCAGGCTCGACTAGGCTCTTGTTCCCTAATAACCAGATTTGGGATGCAAGAAGAGGAAGCTAGACTAGGCTGGACTCGAGATTGAGGCGCGACACGATAACGTATACACACCGGCTGTGCGAAGGAGCGGAAGAGAGGGAAAAACAGAAAAGGTGAAGAGAAAAAAGAGAGCCAGGCCAATGCGACGATGGGATGGGGTGTGTTGGGATGACAATTATCACCGGATTGTATTTTCCCTGGAGCGGAGCGGCAAGGGGGCTTGGACCAAACCAGACCAGGCCGGGACCAAGAGGAGACCAGGTTTGAGGGGTGCGGGTGAAGGACGAAGGACGAAGGGTGAAGGGTGAAGGGGGTGTGCGTGTTGTGTGTGTGCTCCAAGCTTCAAGTTTGAATGCACTCTTGAGCCGTCTGTGTGTTACTCGACACTGCAACCAGCTTTACCGAGAAACGAAACGATGAATTGATCCAATGGGCCAATTTGATCCAAAAGAGAATAGTACTTACCCACCATGTCTGTTTTGTGGCGTGTAGCACCACGATAGCTTGGCAACTGGACGGAGATGAAGAAAAGAAGAGAGGGAATTTGGCGGATAGAAAGAGAGAGAGCGATAGACGAAACTAATTTCAAAAAGAGTCCGCTCTCAAAGCGATTATGTTCAATGTTCCGATTTCCTTATGACAAAGGAAGAAAAGGCTCTGCCAACTCCAAGTCGACTCAAGAGGAAAGAGCCGTCGACCTTGTCTTGGATCTCTCGGATCTTCGCTGCTTCGTGTTTGGTGGAGAAGGGGGTGGAGTAGCTTTGCAGAACAGTCCCTACAGCACGCTCACTGGGTGAAGGAGATGGACACAGCAAGCAGCAGGTTGAAAAGATCACGTCACTTTCGGGAAAAGACTTGCGCTGGCTATTGCGGTTCAGCGTACTTCGTACGTTCTAGATCAGAATGAGATCAATTCCCAGTCCAACGAGAAATCTCACCCCCTGGCTCGAGCTCGCGGGAAAGGAGTGAGAACGAACTGACAAACGATCGAGGTCCCCTTGGTCGAACTGTGGGGAGGGGGTCAAGGGGATGAACCGGTCCAGTCCAAACAGGTGACAAGGTCCAGCGAACAGGGGTCGTCCGCACCGCTCTTTTCTCGAAGCGTAGTGGATATTAAACCCAGAGTCTGCCGTAATGCCTCTTTTCGGAGGGGCGTTCTCGCGGAGCTGAGGATGCGCGCTGCGTTATTTGGCGGGCGGGGAAATATCAGATCTAAAATTGAGGCAGTGCGGTTTGCCAAGAGGAAGCAAGCCAAAAAAATGTGCGAGGGAAGGAGAGCGAGATCTCCGTTTGCTGTGCCAATCTGCCAAAGAAGCTATTGCACGTTTCTCGAGAGAACCGAAAGAGAGTTATCGGAGTGGGTCAAGAGGTGATTTTTGTCTCGGAGCTCTCAACTTCAAGATGGGGCTCAAAACAGGGAGAGAAGAGAGAGATAGATAGATGGGGACACTATTACGCAGGGAGAATGCACCAAGTTGATAATATATGAAAAAGCAAAACACGAGATCTTATCCAAACTCTAACCAGGGAAGCTTAGCGAGTCCTTGGAAGAAGGGGAAAAAGAAAGGAATATGGAGCCATGACGGCGTCATGCAGAAGACATGAACATGAAAGCCCTCAGCTCCAGTGCTCCCTCGTACCGAACTCCAAACTCTACAAAGCACCAAGCTTCCAAGCTGCGAGTACGCCTGCATTGAGGTAATATGGTCTTTCCATCAGATTGATCTCACCCTCTCAGTCAGCCTCAGGCGTCTCTCGCCCTCTTAGCGCCTTCCCTTCGAGGCTCCGACGCTCCTCAGCCACGCCGAAACTCTTTTTCCCTTTACTGCAAGAGGGCGGGGCTCAAGGCAGCAAGGCAGCAAGGCAGCAAGGCAGCAAGTGGACCGACAAGAAATGCCTTCAGCAACCTTGACATGGATCTTTGTAGTGTATTTGAATATTACCGGGTAGTCGAGGAACCATTACAAGAGAACATTGAGCTTGGAGCTTCCCCAATGCACCCATTGTATTCTACTTGGTATAGACAGTGCACCAACACTGCACTCTCATTCCTAGTCCCGGCGATCAACTCCGTCTTTTCCTTCTTGTATTACCCTTCAATTTTTCCCTTCGTCAGTGCTGCTCCTCCTCTCCTCCTCTTTCCCCCACACAACCACTCGATGCAAGCGTCAAATCAAGCACCCGCGCAGCACTGCCTCAGTCTAGCTCGCCCACGCGGCATCCACATTGGATCGACCTAGTGACAGCACTCCGCTCCCCTCCACCCTGTAGCCACCTTGTAGCCACCTTGTAGCCACCCAATTACCGCTCTCCTCCTTCCTTCACCTTTTGTTGCTTCTTTCCGATTTTCCTAGCTCCAGACTTCACCTCAAGATCTTAATGCACCTTTGTCCTTGTGCTATTGATTTCGGTATTTATTTGGCCTACTCTGTGCCTCTACTTGATAGTACCCGACTCAAAGTGCCAGTGGAATATCACTTGGCCTCGATGTGAAGGCTATGTAGTGTATGCTTGGCAGTGCGTGAGCAAGACAACACAAAATCAAAATAAGGCGGCCTTTGACATGGTGAGGCATCAACAAGCAACGATACTGGCCTGGCCTGGCTTCAATGTTCCAACTGCTCTTCCGAGTCCAGTCGACTGGGTCGCACAAGATTGGTCAATGCTACCACCCCCTTGATCCGGTGGAGCTTGCACTTTCCCGGCGCCAAGCGTGGATCCCCCTTCAGCATTCCAGGAGTCGGCGGCCTCCCAGACGTCACTCCGAAATCACGCTTCTTGTGTGGATCCCACCCACCCCTTCCCTTTGCCTTGCAACCTTTTCCACCTTTTCCACCTTTTCCCACCCTTTCCACCCTGGCACCCTGGCACCCTGGCACCCCACTCCACTTCCGGTCCACTATCATCGAGTGCTCCATTATCAACCGTCCGTCACTTGAGAGCTTCTTCTGCACGCTGGCCGGACTGGTGAACACAGACAGCGCGTGCCGCATGCTTGTCTCTCTCTCTTCATCACTCTCTCACTCTCTCCCGTGTTTAGATGTCATGAGATGGGATGCAGATACAATTTCTCTCAAGTGATAGATGCTTTCAAGTAACGAAAGCAATAGGTCGACGGTGATATCCACAAGAGCCGGCGACCGCTGCCCACCAGTACATTCAACCAAGTAGTGTACTGCATATGCCGCCGTAGAGCCACCGCTATCCTTGCTTCCGATCTCGAATAATCCATCGAAGCTTTTTGGCACCCACATGGCAATATTCAAACAATGGATCCCACTCCATCTCCAATCCCACTCACACCTCCTTCCGAGCTCTTGTCTGGCGCCCCCATCAAACAAACCCCTTTCCCTTTAAAAAAAAAAAAAAAAAAAGCCACTCTTGGCCCTTCATTCTGGTCCTTGCACCCAACGCTTGTGCGTGCAGCGGCATGGGAAGTTCATGAGTTCATGAGATAGGCATCCATGCATTCCACGCAACGGCCAAACTTTCGCCCAACCCCCAAGATCAGATGCGCAATTCCGGCACCCTTTGTTGGCCGGCCCGCGATTTCATTTACACGGCGATGCGCCGCAATATGCTCCAGTTTCGGCGCCAAGTCAGCTCAAGACAGGAAAAATACATTGGGCATGGAGGCTCCAAGAAGAAACAAAAATTTAGGTGCAAGATATATTATGAAATATCATCTACTCCTCGCCACGGCACCGAGGTCAAGGAGGCTTAGCTACTAGTGTAGTTTATACAAAGTTCAACGTCGCAAGGGAGCAAAGTCTGTCTCAGCAGACATGTCAGGAGATAATATAGGAAACCTCTGCTCCTGAAACGCCAGAAGAACCTCAGGTTGGTACGAGCCCCCTTTCCAGACGCAAGGATCGACAGAGCTCCACCCCGGTTGCCATGACGTAACTTCCATCAAGGGGTCTCAAAGCCCCCAACTCCCCAACTCCCGAGATCAAGCTCCAATTGATCCGCTGGGGGAGGGGAGGAGCGTCGTCGCACGACGAAGAGGATGGACGATCGTTGCTCGAGCAGACCTCCGATATATCGCGCAGAAGGATCTCCGGAATCCCAACACCCACCCATACTTGCACTTGCACTTGCAAGCCCAGGGGCATTCCTCGCCAATCACAAAGGGTTCGGCCATGCTAAGGAGGAGGAAGAGGTGTGATAAAGATGTACAATTATGGATGCAAGGTAACTAGCTAGCTCGTCGGAAATATGTACTGTACCACCCAGGCCTTTCCCTTTCCACACCAACGCCCAAGAGAGTTCACCGCGAATCAACCATGGTGGCTTGGAAGCAAAACTTTCCCCGCAGCGTCTGCAAGAAAAAACCCCGGCCCTCCAAAAGTATGCATGGGAGTGTGGAGAGGCTGGGAGAAGGCGAAAAGATAATAGGGCGAACAAAAAAGGAAAGAACGTTAAAGAGAGCAAAAAGTCACCCGCCTCCGCGGGTTCCATTGTCCAGAGCTTCCGGAGCTCAGCCACCCCGTCCTCGTCACGATTATGCTCCTCCCATTGCTGCAGACATGTCCCAACACGTTAGTCAACTGCCCTACGGTGCAAGACACGCCCCTTCCAGAAAAAGGAATCTTTTATAGGGCGGATACGATGTGAGAATAATGCGGTGAGACGTCACCACATGTGTAGTTTTGGGAGGTAAGAAAGTGCAGGGGAGGAAAATGGAAAAAGAAAAGGAACCAAACGTGGCCGTCGCCGACGATGGATATGAGAACTCACCGGCCGCGTACGCCAGGTACCACGTCAAAGATGCTCCACCGTCAAGCCATGCCGGGTTGAAGGACGGGCTGTTGAAAAACTGCCACGCCTCGTTCGGGTACGCCAGTGCGTAGTTGCCGTACACGATCCCCTTCCATCCCCGCCGATCTGGTCCGCACGTCCGTCGCTAAAGTACGTCGTCCATTCCTCGAGCACAAACTCCCTCGTCCGCGACAACGATGAGGCGGCGAGGAGAGGCAGCATGTGGATACCCTGGATATACTCCAGGTTCGCCCCGAAGAACGTCGTGTGGTCCGCCTTGTTCTCAAACAGGATGCCTGCAACCTTGTTGTTGATAAATTCCGGAGGCTGCACCGCGTTATCGCTCGTCATGAGATAGTAGTGCTGCACCGCCCTGGAGAGCACGGCGAGTTGGAGGTTTCCGCTACATCCCCGGCTAGTTAGCGACCGGGCCGATGTCACGACATTCTTTTTCCCGTGGGAGGAGGTGAAGAAGCGGGGCAGCGGAGCAGCGGAGGATCCGGACAGTGAAAGGACGATGGGGGCATAAGAAGGGGGTGGCTTGGTCTACCAAACTTACCGGGCCGCCATCAATGAGTCTCCCGTTACTGTGCCCCACATCTTGACAGCGTAGATACTCATCACATCCTCCGAACTCGATTCTTGGTTCTACATATGGCCGTATTAGCACTTCTCTTTCATTTCCCGACTCCAGGGTATACCCCATCCAGGGTAGGAGAGGGCAAGAGAGGGGTGGGTGGACAAGTTCGGCACCACCCTCTCTTCCTATCTTTTACCCCCTCCCCTTTTGGTCAAAACTTACCTTGCCGTCCATGCTCGCGTATAGCCCGGTGGCCCAGCTGTGCCCGTGGTACCAGTCAAAAGCGCGAGACTCGGGAAAGTAGCTATCCTTGGCGCTGGGATTGGCGTAATCTCTCACGAGCATGTTGATATAAGCCTTGTTTTGCTGCGCCCACGCCGGGTCTAGATGCCCGATGATGGCCCCGCAAGGACAAAGTAGCCCCAGTGGAAGTGGTGGTCGTTATAGTACGTGTTGCCAAAGTCCATCCCGCTATTGCCTGTCGTGTAAGTCGACGAAGAAACCACTCCGCCCCAGGCGCGTTCGTAAAGGAGCGGGTACTGTTGCCTATTCTCCACAAACGTCGCAAAGGCCTGCTTCAGCTTTTCGAGCCCGGCTTGGGCCAGCGCCCGATCCTCCAACATGTCGTTGATCACGTAGAGAATCATGGCAAACTTGGCCAGCCCCTTGCCGCTAAAGTACATGGAGTCGAGGTTGGTTTGATCAATCATATTCTGCGAGACCTCTTGCTGAGCGGCAGCGCGGATCGCTGACTTGGCCCCTTCCGAAAGCTTCACTCGAGACTCCCCTTCCGGCGTGTAAGGTGCGAACCCCATGCGCACAGGCATACGGGGCTCGACCATCGTCCAGCTGGTGCCGAACACGCCCGTTGCTATGCCTTTGGTGGTCGTCTGCATCCGCAGAGATGTGGCCTGGGTTTTGGTATCTAGGTCAAATGATTCCACATGATGGGGAAGAGCAAACATCAAGAGGGTCCCGTTGGAGACACCGCGGGGAAAAAGGTGAAGCTGTAGCTGCCCGTGGTGTCGTCCACCGATCCCGAAAGCTGAACTGTCTCCGGATACACTCCAGCAGCCTGATCGAGAGCCCCTTCGGCACCACCGCTGTCCTTAGCAATCTGAATGGTGCCGTAGAACGGCCTCGTGGCCTCAGCATTGCCATTGTTGATGATCCTAAAGTCGAGGTCCTCGCCCCCGACTTAGTCGCATAGAGCCACCAAATTTTGCCATCCTCAAGCAGAAATTTGTACTTTATGACTCCATACTTTGGATTCTCCGTCGCCTTGCTGACGGTCCTAAAGAAGACGTTGGATTGAATTAGAGGGGTAGCTCCGTTATACAATCCGGTGACGAACCCCATTCCCTGGACCAATGGGAAGGAGATGGCCGGCTCGCTGTTTGCGCTGGGTCGAAGGCGCACAGTCGCCGACATGGCCGTGATGCTGTCCGTGGTAAGAGTGGTTCCCTGGCCGAGCTCCTTGGCGCTCATGATCAACGACTGGATTCCAACGGGGTTGTAAAGAATGCCGCGGCACCAGTAGGCGCCTTGGGACCACCAAACACGCGCTGGTTCGCATCGGTATGCGAAATGGCGAGCCCAAAGCTTCCCGTGGGCCCATTTCCGCCCACCCAGGCTACCGAGTAGGGAAAAGTATAAGTGGGCGCTTTCTGGTCCCCCAAAAGAAGTTGGAAAAGAACTTGTTCGTCTGGAGGGGTGGCCCTTGCGCTACTCCAAGACGGGGTACTGGGTGGTCGTCCCTCTGCGCAATATTGCTGGGTGGCGGCCCGGAGTCGATGGGCTCTGCGAAAATGTTCGCGCTGATCATGGTCTCAATGCCCGGCATTTCTGACACTGAAGTAGGCTCGGATGTAGGAGAAAGAATCGAGGTTGGAGGCTCCACGGCGCTCTCGGTAGGCGACTTGGTTTCCGGATCACCCGCCTCGTCCACTGGCAGGCCGGTCGTGTGCGGCTCCTTGTCCGATAGAGTTGGGAGGATATGGAGGGTGCAGTTGGACGCCGTGCTTATTTCCACACTCACAGTTTGGTCGGTAGGGAAATCTATACTTCCCGTAGCTCCGCCGTTGGTACGAGTCCGGGTTAGACTCGATAGAGAGGGTACACTTTGGGTAGATGACGTCTTTCGTGGATCTCCGCCTGAGGCTTGTGAATTGGTGATGGTTTTCAAAGAGGTTGGGCGATGAACCGCAAAGACGGTCCGGCGACTAGTAGTGACGGTCACGGTCACGCTTGAAAAAATAGTTGTAGTCGTGGTTGGCTCAACGACCAAGGTCTCAATTTCCCGATCAAAGGACTCAGCTGTCGTAGTTGCCGTGGCTGGCTCCGGGTCTAAACCACCCCCACGGTCGATTTGGCCTTGGCCTTCCGCCTGGTCTTGGGCCGTGGTAGCCAAAGGGTGGCCTCGGACGGGCAGCAAAGCGCCCGGGTGGCCGGTTACGAAAGTTGGGTGGCCCGAAAGCGGGTTCCGGCTCACACTGGCCGATGAGGACCTGCCCCAACGTCAGCAAAAGAATCCACAACGCTGTATGCCCGTGATTCATGGTGATGGGAGGGCCAAAAAGAACAGCAAGTAAAAAACACAAAGAACAAAGAACAAAGGGCAAAGAAGAAGCCCGAGACCACAACAGAACGTGGGCACTCGTGGAGGGATGGCACCTTAATAAAGAAGACAACTTTCTTCTCCCACCTTCCTTTCTTTTTCCTCTTCTTCCCGTAGCCCCAAGGGTCTTCTCTCCAAACTTCGGCATCGAAAACTGGAAAAAGGAAAAGAAAGACGCAAGAGGGGTAAGCTCACGAGAGCCAAGGCAGCTGTCCACCTTGGGGCGCACATGGTAAACGGCCCTTCATTTCCCCACCCTATCTTGAGGTCCGGTTGTTTGCGCCATCACGCTTCTTGTACACACCAATGCAGGTGCCGGTAAGAATGCCGTCGGATGACGCCTCCAAGGGGCCTCAAGACAGCGGGATAGCCCAAAAGAAAAGCATGTTCATGAAACGTAAAAGCGCGTTCTCATGACTGCTAGTCTCAGATTCAGCGGTTTCACCGTGGCTCTGGTAGACTTGCTGTGCAGGAGGCTGCGTTCATCCACCTTCACCAGCCAGGGGCATGTCTTACAATATACGAGAGGTCTGGCTAACGTACCTTACAGGAACCACTGGACCCTGCGCCGGGAAAAATAACGCAAGGCTAACGGCCTCGAAGTGAAACCAATAGACTCAGGTACGGGGCGCTTTTGTCGGCGGACTCCTTGCTCTCTGCCCTCTTTCTTTTCTTTTGCAGTGGCAGTGGCAGTTGTGGCGAGGTGGAGCGTAGGAGACAGCTGCAAACCCCCAGAATAAGAAAATAAAAATAAGCCAAACAGCTGTCAAAAACGGTAGGACGTGAAGCTGCACGAATATGTATACAGGGTTCGAGAAGCAACCATACGACTCGAGCATATAAGGCGTTGGCAAAAGGGTTGTTGATGATAATGATGTCGAGAGCGGAGAACGAAGCTCCCCGAGCCTTCCATTTCCAGCAATGAGCATGACAAAGGAAAAGAGCTTCTCGCATTGGCGAGAAGTCGCGCCCCACCAATGACATACATAGCTACGACAATTTCATGTACTTGCAGGTGCGGTGCACTACAAAGTTGGCAGGATGGGAGCTGATCAGCAGCATCAGTACATCAATGGCCAGGCCGACTGTCTGGTCCGGCTGGGACCTGTGCTTCTTCTTGCCGTGCTGGTGATTTTCATGGATCTATGGTCGATGTCTTCAATGCTGCGTTTCTGAGCTTGCATGGTGCTTTGATACCGATTGATACAAAGGCAAGCTCGGCATCTGGGGGCTAACTACCCGCCCCTCCGACCAATGGGATAGGACGTAACGTTGGCTGCTCCAGAGTAACACAGAATGGTGAAAATCTGGAAATAGCAACGAGGATGACTCGAAGGCGGAGTTCGGCCTCCTCCTAGCTCGGAAAACCCTTCAATAGCTGCTCTGCGGGGATGCGATAATAGCGACGATCCATTGATTGTCTGCAGGGGGATGACAATCCCACCCAGCACAGACTAGACTGGCTTAAGCCCGGTTTCAATGTTCTCTGCCAGTCTGGCGACTCCCGGAAACGCACCAGCAATTTCAACTGCATGACGTACCTACCATTTGTGAATGATATCTCCACCCTTGGAAGTTTTGCTAAAATAGAGGGAAAAAACTTCTCTCCCTTCACTCATGTGTGTCCTTTCCTCTTTCCGTCTAAGTCACTTCCGTTATCTTGCCAGTCTATGAGAGGTAGTAGGCCGGCGGTGTAAGGAAATGGAGACTTGTGAGAGAAACAAGTCTAACAAACCCCCGCATGTTCGCAGTAATATTCCTCTCCCTGAGGGAAGAACGGTGGGAGTGCCGAGGTCCACTGCAAGGGAAAGTACATGTAGGCATGGGAGCGAAATGCCCCGCGATCAATTGATGGGTATTGCCCTCATTTTGCGGCACCCATTGTGGTACCCGTGCACGCTATGTTGCCTGCCATCTATCCATTGTAATCAATGGGAACAATGACAAATGTCCCCACCAATTATCCGGAGGGCGAGTTTTAGACGAGGAGAGAGAGACAGAGAGAGGCGGGGATCGATGATTAGATGATTGGAAGGCTTGTTAGCTCAGGGTCAGATGCACCTGTTTCACGTTCTATGCACGATTTTGTACTAGCATTCACAAAGCTCGTAATAGCAAAAGGTTACGGCATATCTTCGTAAACGAAGCATGAAAAGACTCATGTTAAAACGCTTCCAAAGAGGAAAAAAAAGAACGCAGCAATAACTAAATTCGTAAACTCCGGGGTATCATATTCTCCATCAACTCCTCAATGCCGATCCCTCCAGGGCTCCGTTCCCTTCTCCAGCCACCTCCCCAGTGGCCGGCCGCGGTTGGAGCGCTCATCACTCCCAGCCGACGGCCTAGTCCTAGTGCTAGTCTATCACGCCCCCAGGCCCCACAGCCCCATCGAGTATCATCGCCGCCGCCACCACCACCACCAAGATACCATAGATGAGAGACAATCTCATTGTCAAATCGGCCATTGGCTTGGCTACCCCTTGCTCACGCGCCTGCTCTTGTTATTCGAGATGCTAAAAGGATCACTGCCGATCTTGTGCAACAACTGGCGCGTAGATAGTCCGTCTTGCAAATTTGCCGATCTCTTCTTCAGCGGCGAGCCGTTCTTGATCGAAAATCGATCGTCTACCACGCTCCCCGCTCGTCGTGGGCCTGGATCAACGAGTTTGGTCGGTAGGGCTGATGGAGTCGGTTTCGTAATCTTGAATGGGTCGGCCATCGTAGACTTTTGGGATTTTCCGCTCCGGAGAGATGGGAAAGGCGGGGGTCATCGCCAGCTCTGCGACCTCGAGACAGCAGGGACTCGTCTGCTTCGTCTGCGCGCTCCTCTTGTGGGCGAGTCGAGAGTTGCCTCCGGGAGCGCCCGACGGTCCTGTGTGGGGAAGCATCCAGCTTGGGCGGTGGCCGGGCAGGAGGGGGAACACTTGCTCTTGAACTAATCGCGAAGCGATCGAGCTTCCCCGTACTTCATCCGCATTAGGATCGCAAGTGATTGGAATATGGGGTTTGGCGGCCCGTGTTTTTGGCGCGTTTGTCTTCCCCACGAGGCTATAGGGGTCGTTTGCCACGGCTTCTTCTAGCGGGTCAAGTGTTTCTCCTCCGCGCTTCATTTCTTTGACCTCGGAGGGCACCTCTTTCGCGGGTACTTTGTTAGAAACAGATCGGGATGCTACTCCTCCTTCTGCCTGGCGCACACGCTTAGTAGGGGCTTTCTCCTTGATGATTTTAAAGGGGTCCGCTTCGATCCCGGGTTTCGATCGCTTCCGTCCCTTGCGTTTACTAGCGGCCAGCTCAGCGTCTGCGCGCTCCGCTTCCTGGCGGCATCGCAGGATCTCAGGTTCCGACAACACCCATGGTCGATCGAGGACGGTAACACGGAAGGCGCGTCTCTTCTCCCAGAGAAGGAGCTCCGATTCGGTAGAAGGTAGTAGGTGCGCCCGCGCAATTTTGAGACCCCTGGATCGATGGTAGTGGGTAATGGTCCCTTTGACGTCCACCACGCAGCCGACTGCAAGATGGGAAAACTCGGAAGGGATGGGCGGCCGAGGGCCGAGGATGCTGCTGTCCTTCTTGGCCGCCCGCTTCCCCGTTTTCAGCATGAGGACGCATTCGATGTTGACGCCGCTGCTGTCGTCGACGGTGTAGACGCGTCGCTCGGCATAGTCGTCAATGGCGACAATCACACCCACAACCCGCACAAATTTTATGGGCAGGTTCTTGTAGAAGTGCAAATCTGGGGATGCGTGTCAGCCAAGGGAGGAACGACACAGCGGGAGAACTTGTCTGATGTACCTGGAAATGCCGGATAATGCCTAAGATGGGGAATGTCGGCGACCCTCAGGAAACACCAGGCTTCGTGGGTCGGCGCTTCCTTGAAGCAGTATTGCGGATAGATGGATGGGTTCGTTTGTTTGTTTGCCATGGCGTAGCATAATCATCTCGGTGCGACGTGGCGGCGCGAGGTCGAGGTCGTCGCCGTTGAAGATTTGGAGAAGGGGCGAATTGAGCGATGACCGTCTGATAATTAGGTAAATCCCTCTCGATGGGTATATTCAATTTCAAAACGAGATGGATGGTAGCCTCACAACGTCGAGGTAGTTAGGCACCCAAAACGTTGAAGCGTGAATGTCAAGACACCACATCACGGCCAATTCAGTCTTTTTGGGGCCAAATTATTGTTTACATTCACTGTGGCTGGCCTTCGGAGCAACCGCTCTTCTTTGGGCCAGAAACTTTTCAGCCACCCGTACAGTGCGTAAACAATACACTGTGCGGTCCCGTCGCCGCCGCCGAGACAGGGAACACATGCGCTTCCAAACTCAGTACAGAAATCGTTCGACCCCGCGAAGGACGCACCGGTGATCGGTGATCGGTGGTGGTGGTGGTGGTCGGCCGGCAGGAACCCAAAACAGTCTCCCTGGACCATTGATGACTGTTTTCCTCCACGGCTTGTCGATGGGCAAGGGAGGAAATCCTTGTCAGCGTACCTTGGCCCCTGCAGTGTCACTTTGCAGCTGTCCCTTTTTTCTTTTCTATTTTCTGCTCAGGCGACCTTGAAGTAACACGTCTCCCCTCCCCTCACTTTGCTACTTCAGGCTGGTGAACTAACTTTGATCGTTGATGTGGGGTCGTCTGCCAAGTCCACGAACGAGAACTCGGTGCCTCAAGTGAAATCTTTCTCCCAATTGCTCGGCAAATCGGGGGTCCCTAAAGGGCATGGAGGGGTTTTCGCTCGTACACAGTGGACGGTGGGCCAGCTTCCGAGGCAACTCCCACGGCCATGACAGGGCACAAGATTTATTGCCCCCCCCCCCCTCCGGCCCCCGCGGAGGGCGGTGGCATAACTTGCGTGGACCCGCGATCTTGCATGCTGCAAAGGGAGCATTCCGGTAAACGCATGTGGGCTTCGCCTCAGAAGCAACCGCAGAAGAGTCAGAGTGTCAGAGCGAGATGGAGAAGCATCACGGGTGCGCAAACTTGTCCTCTTTGGTTGTTGCTAATTAGGGGGACCAAAAGTCTTCTCCTCTTTTTCCTTTCCTCCCGGCTGTTTCCCTTCGCCTGGCACCTCCGTTCAGGCGTTACACAGCTGATGTTGCCGTCTTCCATATACATTACTGGTGGCCTGCTGCTCGCATATATGGGCCACGAGTCCCGCGCCAGGCCGTCAATTTCGAGTAAAATAATAAAGAGGCCGGGATGCTCCAGATGTCCGCACACAGAGTCGTCTATGCAGGTTCGCACCGACTGTCATCGGGGTATCCGTCTGTCCGTAAATGATGTGAAGGGCCCGCTCCGTTCCCTTTGCATGGCTTTACTTTCAAAGGTGTCGTGTCGTTCCGGCTCAAAAGTATTTCGGTGCTCCTTCTGCGATAACCCTGATCTGGGCCGCGTCCGCCACCTGCTGCAGGCCCAGCTTAGTTGGATTTGGCCGCTTGGCTGACCTCTCACGCACCGCAGGGGATGGAAATTTTTTCTTTTCTTCGTTTGCTTCTGTTGTATAAATTTTCCATCCGCATGGGCAGCTGTGGCCAATGGCGGTTCACTGTACGCACACTGTCCCGGGTACATCTTCCCAATGCAGTGATGCATGACGAAGGCGGGGTATTTTCCTGTGTAGTGGGCGAATCGAGATGGGGTATTATCAACTCGTCTCGAGAACCACTTACATACTTTCGAGGAACCCATCTTTGACTCATAGTGGGAACCTCCTGCTAACGGGCCTTGCCACTACAGATTTTTAATGTACCTTATACACTGACTCACACTTAGCCAATTGCTTCGAGCATGTCTTTTTTTTTTTTTTTTTTGCTCTTCTTTCCAATCCACCGACTGTTTAAATACTCTCCGTTCAGCGGAGCCCTTTTTCAAACCAACCCTTAGACTCTGACTCCAGTTTTTCAAATACCAAATCTTGCTCTTCAACCCCTCGCTTCCCCCAGACGAACCCAATCCCGTACTTCTAACATATACACGCTCCCCGAGATCCAGTTGTGGAATCCCTCTCGTTACCAGACCTCTACCGCATCACATAACACCGTCGCCATCATGTGCGGAGGAGACGCGATCCCCAACGGTGCCAATGGCCATGCCAACGGCGAGACTGTTACCAATGGCCAGAACGGCACGACCAACGACCTATCCGGCCATAGCAGCCACCCCAAGCCTACTGTTCGTCTCTCTCCGGTTTCCCGGCTTTCCCAGCTTTCTTACCCCGCCTCCGAAGTTTCTATATTAACCAGCTCTGGTCTTTTCTTCTTTATAGGCCCCCGCCACCAACCCTTACGCACCTGTCCACGATGCGCTCTCTAACGTGGCCAGCTACAAGCTGATCGAGTCCACTCTTCGTGAGGGCGAGCAGTTTGCCAGCGCCTTCTTCGATACCGGTTCGTTTTCTTCCACTTCCCTCGGGTCCTCGGACCTCGATACCCAAGCATGAGGTAACGGTGGCTAACGTATTGCGCAGAAACCAAGATTAAGATGTACGTCCGAGAGTGAATAACACTTTTTAAACTATACAAAATACTAACAACTGAGCAGTGCCAAGGCTCTCGATGAGTTTGGCGTCGACTATATCGAGCTGACTTCGCCTGCGGCGTCCGAGCAGTCCCGCAAGGACTGCGAGGCTATCTGCAAGCTCGGTCTCAAGGCCAAGATTCTCACTCGTGAGTTACATGCACCACAATCCATAATTTCCCTCTTCAAAACTAGCATTAGCTAACTGGGTTGCCCTCCTGTAGACGTCAGGTGCCACATGGACGATGCTAGGCTCGCTGTCGAGACTGGTGTAGACGGACTGTAAGTCCCTTTTTCATTATCTCCTCGGAGAGGCCAAAAAAACAAAATGGAATCCCCTGCTAACTTGTGGGTAGCGATGTTGTCATTGGCACCTCGAGCATCCTCCGTGAGCACTCTCACGGAAAGGATATGGAGTACATCATCAAGACCGCCGTCGAGGTCATCAACTACGTCAAGTCCAAGGGCCTCGAGGTCCGTTTCAGCTCCGAAGACTCTTTCCGAAGCGATCTTGTCGATCTCCTCTACCTTTACAAGGCCGTCGATAAGGCCGGTGTACACCGCGTTGGTATCGCCGATACCGTCGGTTGCGCTACTCCCCGCCAGGTCTACGACCTCGTAAGGACCCTTCGCGGCGTTGTTTGTAAGACTTCATCCTATGAATCGTTAGTCTCTCTGCCGTTCGTACGAATTGCTAACAAAATTGGCCCCTAGCTTGCGATATCGAGACCCATTTCCACAACGACACTGGCTGCTGCATTGCCAATGCCTACTGCGCTCTTGAGGCCGGTGCTACTCACGTCGACGTTTCCGTTCTCGGTATCGGTGAACGCAACGGTATTACTGTAAGTTTACAAATGTTCACAGCATCTCGTTTCGTTTCGATACTAGGTTTGCTAACTTTCAACGCAGCCCCTCGGTGGTCTCCTTGCCCGCATGGCGGTCAGCGCCCCTGAGTACACCAAGAGCAAGTACAAGCTTCACATGATCAAGGAGGTAAGCCGGTCGAACCCCACCTAAATAATATCTTCGCAAATCCAAGTTCAATTTCTAACAGTGTGTCAAATAGATTGAGGATATGGTCGCCGAGGCTGTTGCTATCAACACCCCCTTCAACAACCCTATCACCGGTTTCTGCGCCTTCACCCACAAGGCCGGTATCCACGCCAAGGCCATTCTTAACAACCCCAGCACGTACGAGATTCTCGACCCTGCGGACTTCGGCCTGACCCGCTATGTCCACTTCGCGTCCCGTCTCACTGGCTGGAATGCCGTCAAGACCAGAGTAGCGCAGCTCGGTCTCGTCATGAACGACGAGCAGTGCAAGGAAGTGTATGTATCCCCCACATCCGTGAATAAGCACCTCCGAAACCGCACCATTGATACTAATCATACTTTTTTGGGTAGAACCGCCAAGATCAAGGCTTTGGCTGACATCAGGCCTATCGCTATCGACGACGCCGATTCCATTATCCGAGGATACCATCTTCATCTTCAGGACCAGCACACGGTCCAGAAGACCACACCTGCCCTCGAGAACATCGATGCCCCTGTAGATAGCACGGTGCTTTCTGCCGAGACCGCCGAGGCGCCGGTACCTGCCCAGTAAATTCGCTCACACATTGGGAGCTGGGGTTACTGGCGTATCGAAAGCGTAGATCCCGCGAGAGGATCTCGAAATATATAATGACAAAAAGAGCATGTCCCAGGACGGACCGAGCGACGGGGAAAAGGGTGGACCTCAAGGAGCACAAAAGTGAATCGTTCACGGGGAATCTTTTTCGGTTCTTTTTTTTTCCTTTTCTTTAATGTAGGATTAAAAGCAAACAAGTTTCCGGGGTTCTGTTTGCCCGTTGCAGCCACTGGCGCAACGGATTTTGGGATCCTGGGCGGGTTCGACAAGAGGGAATCTGCGACATGTAGCGGCGTTTTAATGCATTGATGCTTTATACAGTTCCAAGAAAACTGATGAATATTCCGTTGTCCATTGCTCTTACATTTATTTATATCAAGTTCGTATCATATCTTGTACAAGGCTCGTAAACCCCCAAAAGCAAGAAAAAGGAAAAAAGGAAATCGAAGAAGACAGGGAAGAGACTGTTGCAAAGAAGGCAAGTGTGCTAGCGTTTGGATCTCCCCTCACCCTTTCCCTTCTTTAACCTTGCCGCGGCGGCTTGGAAAGCTTCCTCGGAAGGCTCCTCTTCAGCGCGCCTCTTCTTGCCCTTGGCAGGCTTGCTCGACGCGCCATACTTGGCCTCGAGGTGGTCGAAAAAGCCCTCCCTCCTTTGCTGATTCCCCGGATGAGGGCGGCCAGCGCATCCTCGGAGCCCGCCTTGGCCCCCTTCTTCTTGGCCTTGGGCTTCGCGTCCTTGGCCTTCTTTGCCGCCTTGCCCTTTTTCCCGCCCCCTCATCGTCGTCGTCGCCCTCTTCCTCTCCCTCATCCTCGTCGTCTCCACGGCCGCTCCCAAAGAGTTTATCGTGCACGCCGAGCTCCTTGGCGTACTCCTCGGCCTCGTTAGCCTCTGCCTTGGCGGCCTTGACGCGGTCGGCCCTCTTCTTCTTGGACTCCTTGGTGTAGGCGGGGTAGGCGTCGACGTCGCCGGCGCGGATGGCGGCGTCGATGATTGTGCGAAAGCGGGCGTCGTCGGCGAGGACGTCGCTGAGCATGACGGAGGCGTAAACGCCGTCCATGTCGCCCTGGGCATCCTCGTAGGCGGCGAGGAGGTCGTCGCGCTCCTCGTCCGAGTTACGGTAGGTGCGGGCGAAGCGCTCGATGGCGTCGGGGGAGATTGCGTCGGCAAAGAGCTCGCGGTAGTAGGTGGACCAGTCGAAGCCCTCGGCGTCCACGATGGATTCGGCGGTGGAGCCGGTGGAGTCGTAGCGGTGGCGGCGGGCGGGGTCGGAGAGGATGGCGTAGGCGAAGGCGATGGATTGGAAGGATTTGTGGGCTTGTTCTCGCTCTTCTTGGGGGACCTTGTCTGTTGGGGGGTGAGGACAATGATCAGGTTAGCCTTCATGTTTGTACTGGCGGGCCAGGTTGTGAGGGGAGGGGAGGGGGGAGAGGGGAGATGGTTAAACGACGGAGGTATTCGTACCAGGGTGGTTCTTCAAGGCCGCCTTGCGATAGGCGGACTTGACTTGGTCGGCTGTCGCATCGCGCTCCAGGCCGAGGACCTCGTAGGGATCGATGGTCGGGGGTTCCGTGTCGACGAGGTCTTCCGCTGGAGAAGACATTGTGGATGGAGAGGAGGGGGTAGAGGGATCAGCGACGTGTGAAGGGGGGAAAACGTCGTTGATGGAGAAGGGTGGGTGGTGGAAGGCGGAAATATTGGGTGGGAGACGCGGTTGACTGACGAAGACGCGTTAATGAGGCTCTGGTCGTTATCGATAAGAATTGTGTCGGGGCCTTGCTTTTTCTTGGTGTGGAGGGGTTGATCTGCCCGCACCACGTCCAGAGCTCGGTCCACCCAATCCGTCATTCCTTGTAGCACAAAGCCATTGAACCGAACCAGGGCTCTTGAATAGCCATACTCTGGCTTCGGCTATCTCCAGGTTATCAATTGATCCATGGTTTCTCCTTCCAATTGAACTTCCTTAAGCACCCTCCTAACTTTCTCTTTCCTTTGTTCCTCTTACCCTTCCCCTTCTACAAGAAACCATGCCCCCGTCTTCGAAAAGGGCGACCACAAGGCCGTGCTCGAACACGCGCTCAGCCTCGCCGCCCAGTCGCCGCCCAAACCAACAAACTACCGCGTGGGTGCCGTGCTTCTAGACCTCGGTGCCAGCGGAGTCGGCGTCACCGAAACGGGGTACACGCTAGAGCTGGAGGGCAACACGCACGCGGAGCAGTGCGCCCTCTCGAAGCTCGCGGCGAAGCTGGGGGTAGACGAGGGCGCGGGCCTGGCCGCGGCGATGGAGGGGCGGCCGCACGCGCTGTACACGACGATGGAGCCGTGCTCGTTCCGGATGAGCGGGAACAAGCCGTGCGTGGAGAGGGTGCTGGAGCACCGGGGGTGGATCAAGTCCGTGTACGTGGGCGTGGTGGAGCCCAAGGTGTTTGTGGAGGAGAATGATGGGAGGGCCAGGTTGGAGCGTGCGGGGATAGAGGTTGTTCATGTGCCGGGGTTGGAGGAGGAGATATTAAAGGTTGCCAAGGCAGGACATGTTGAGGGCAAATGAAACCGTGCTAGTTGAGAGGGATCAATGGGAAGGTCCCTGGATGGCAACTGATGCTGATCGGAACCCTCTTGTGAAGCTAAAGGTGCTTGTCACGGCATGGATGAGATGGCCTTCTTCATGTGAGCGCCTGTATATGAGCGATTCTTTCTCTAGAGAGTGTTCGGAAGAAGTGGTGGATCTTGGAACCAGACCAAATTCCCCGAGCTCTTAGGGTTAGGTCATAAGCTCCCCGGCACCCGGCCGAATACAGAGGCACGACGAGCAAGAAGCTGGATAACACGAGCTGATCTCTTTGGTAGTCTCCCTCGTACCCGTAGATATGGCCGTACAAATGTACAGTCCCTAGCAAAGCGTCGATGACCAGAAATTCCCTCTTGATGTTCTTCCGGTTGCAACCTGGAGCTAGTAGAAGTTGCCGTTTAGTTTCAACAGTAACATCACAACTCTGGAACCTTTGTTCCTTGTGCATGCTGGAGAGGAGAAAGTCACATTCAATGGATGGGAATACCGAGTGCTTTGTCAAGGGCGCATTTGTCAGGCTCAAATAGGACAGGGGGATTCGCCTTGTACCAGATTTGAGCTTCAGGTGCCCGTTGCCCGCCTATAATATCCTTCTGCCAACGTGCAGCATCTTCAATATGCAGTTGGGCCACCCCTGTTCAGCGATCCCGGTCAGCATCGTATCTGGGCACTCCGTCATCAAGGAAAATCTTCTCAGCGTAGATCTTGACTGACCTCGTCAAGCTGGTTCCAATCACTCATACCGCGCATTCGCCCCTCCTTTCCGGGACCCGGTCGGCCGCGATTATGTTACTTGACATGCAATTGAAGATTTCTGGGCGGCTTGCATGTTCTATAATGGAACGACAGAGACTCAAATGGTGAAAATAAAACGCCCATAGAACAGCCACCGGTTTAGAACATGACAGCACCAGTCTGGAGCTCCTCACTCTACCTCACCCGTTCCTCAAGAAACATATCCAATGGAGGGTCCCGTATGTCCGTGGGAGCTTTCGCTGTCCCTTTGAGCGTCCACAAGAGAAGAGTCCTCCTTGCGGAGTAGGGCCATCAGCTGAGATGCCGTCCCGAGGATCAAGTCAAGTCGCACAATAAACCGATCGCGCCATGTTTAGATGCAATATTAGGCGGGAGGGGATTATGGCGTTCCTCTCCCGCCCGAACCCGATCATCGGCTCTATATACCAAGGGCTTGGTATTAGCTCTCACCCCGGGAGGATTTATCCGACAATCACTCTTTCAAGTCGCGGGCGGAGAGCAGCGCGGCTCTTGACCTCACCAGAACCTCCTCCGACAGACTTTCTTGTCTAGTCAGTAAACTTCATCATGACAAAACAAAGAATCATCGAAGATTGAGTGCTTCGAGGCTTAGGCCGGATTTGGATATGAGAGGGACCGCTTTGGACGCTGCAGTCGCTGGGAGCATTAAGAACGGAAACCCTCCGACTCCTTTTGGAAAATCACCAACGCCATGTGGCCGATGGTGCTACAAATACCCGGACGACGATTTTGGGGCCTTTAATATACGAGTCTCCGAGATGAGCATGCAATGCAACCTCTAGCGTTGCGCCGCAATATATCACCTCTGTTAATACATACACGTATCAATCGCAACAGCACGGTTTCCCAGCTTCCACAGCCTGCCTCCCCCCTGCCCTGTCCTCCCCGCGCGCGAGAATCCTGGGCGCCGAGAAGCGGATATATAGGATGGAGCAAGGCGCCCGCATTTACCTCTCTCGGGAAGCTTGTCTCGCTTTCTTTCTTGGACGAGGTTCGCCTGTACTCTCCACACTATAGCTCTGCTCTTTCCCGCTAGCAGCTTCTTCCTCCCGCAGACGCCTCTTGTTCCTCGTGTAAAACAAAACTACCGCGCAACAATGGCTCCCCAGCGAGGCCCAACCCTTGGCCGCGCTCTCGTGGCGCTTCTGAGTCTCTCTGGCGCGTATGCTCGTAGTGCAAAATGCCAGCCTCGCGCTGTGGGCGACCCGCAGCTCCTTAACCCGGACGAGGTCGAAGACGAGTACGACTACATCATTGTCGGCGGCGGGACGGCGGGATTGACCGTCGCGGATCGTCTGACGGAGAGCGGGGAGTGTAAGCAGAATTGCGCCCTGTCCGTCGGAAGCGGAGGTCAACTCTCTTGTTTTCCTAACACGCCATCTTCTTAGATACCGTTCTGGTGATTGAGTGGGGTCCTACGGTAAGTGCGCTTATGAGAAAGGGGGGAAGGAACAGAGAAATTTCTTAGCTAACTTCTCTCTCCGATGCACAGATAACAGCACCTCGGTCAGGACCATTGCCGGCGGCGCAGGTGCCTTTGCGAACCAGAGCCACCTCTTCTCCTTCACCTCGGCCCCGCAGACCAACCTCAACAACCGTACCACGGCCGTCATCGGAGGTCTCATGCTCGGCGGCAGCTCCGGCGTCAACGGCCTCCAGGTCCACCGTGGCCACAAGGACGACTACAACCGCTGGGCCGGCTACTTTGGCGACGAGGAAGCCTGGGGCTGGGACGACCTCTTGCCCTACTTCAAAAGGCGTGGCGGTTCCATCCTCCCAACGAGGACACGGCCGAAGCGCTCGACATCAAGTATGATGAGAGCTACTGGGGCAACACTTCGGACGTTCACGCCTCCTTCCCTACGTTCAACTGGCCGGGCTTGAGTAAGTGGCCCCCTCCTCATCCCCCTCTCTCTTCTTTTCGTCAAGTCCGTAGAAGAAAAAGAGAACCAAGCTCTAACTGATATCCCACACGTAAAGGACTCGAGATGGAAGCCTTTTCCGAGATCGAAGGTGTCGAGTTCCCTCCCGACTCCGGCGCCGGATCACCCGGCGTATACTGGTACCCCACGTCGGCCGACCCCAGCACAATGACCCGCTCCTTCTCCCGCACCGGCCACTTTGACGGAATCGCGCGCGAGAACTACAACGTGCTCACCGACCACAGGGTCCTAAACGTGCTATTCGACGAGGACAGCGCCTCCGGGGTGAGGTACGTCGCCAAGGGAGCCAAGAACGACACCGACGCCCGGTCCGTCAGCGCCAGGAAGGAGGTCATTCTTGCGGCGGGCACGATCCACACGCCGCAGATTCTGCAAGGCAGCGGCATCGGGGCCGAGGCGCTGCTCGAGTCCGCGGGTATCGAGCTCAAGGTCGATCTTCCCGGCGTCGGCTGGAATTTCCAGGACCATCCCCTGGGCGGGGTGCTTCCTTTGACGGTAAGCTGGAGGAATGGGGAATCTCCCCATGGCCGTACCTTGCACAATGCTTTCCAAAGTAGAAAAGAAAACCCTTGGATTCTGACGGATTGTCGTGTTAGTGAACGGTTTGCCCGTTTACCCGCTCCCCGGCGAGCTTCAAAGCAACGCCACCTTCCGCGAACTCGCCCAGGCCGAATTCGCCGAGTCTCTCTCCGGTAAGATGATAATACGCCGCCCCCCACGCACACACATACCAAAAAGAAAACCCCCGTCATCCTAACCGTAGCGAACAGGACCCCTGACCATCGCCTCCGGAAACGCCGCCTGCTTCCTCCCCTCCCCGTCATCGCGCCCGAGGCATTCGAAGACATCGCATCCCGCTTCGAGGCGCAAGATCCCGCGGCGTACCTCCCCGCCGACAGCCCCGAGCCCATCGTCGCGGGCTACGCGGCGCAGCAAAAGGCCATGGCGGCAGCCATGCGCTCCCACGGCTCGGCCTACTACAACCTCTTCCTCCGCGGCGGGGGTCCGAGGGCGCCCTCGTGTACCTGCACCCGGCGTCCCGCGGGACCGTGTACGTCAACCCGGAGAACCCGTACTTTGCCGAGCCCGTGGTCGACTACCGCGCCATGAGCAACCCCGCCGACGTGGACATCGAGGTCGAGTTCGTCAAGTTTACCCGCCGGTACTGGACCGAGACCAGCCTGAGCGAGTACGGCCCCGTGGAGACGCGGCCGGGCGAGGACGTGCGCGAGGACGAGGACCTGAGGGCGTACGTGAGGGCCAACGTCAGCCCGTCTACTTTTCACCCCGTCGGCACGTCGGCCATGCTGCCGAGGGAGCTGGGTGGCGTCGTTGACCAGGCTTTGCTCGTGTACGGCGTGAGCAAGCTCAGCGTCGTGGATGCTAGTGTCATGCCTGACCTGCCGGGAGCCTATACGCAGCAGTCGGCGTTTGCCGTTGCCGAAAAGGTGAGCTTTTTCTTTTCTTTTCTTGTTTTCTTCTTCCTTTTCGTCTCTTTCCTTTGTGTGCCTTTTTGTCGCTTTACGCTGTTTGTCCTTGACCCATCACGACAATCGAAAGGCATGCTAACGATTTTGTGTTAAACGCAGGCGGCGGACTTGATCAAGGCGCGAGCTTAAGCGTCGTGACGTTTAGGGTTAGGGGCCGATGTACAGGCATATTGAAATCTCAGAGGATAATCTATGTTGTCGACCGAGTCAAACAGGAAAACCTAGATTTAAGAAATTAGATGCTATACTTTATTCAAGCTTGGCCAGAAAACCGAAATTGAAATTCCGTCCTAAATTGCCTCCATCTTTTTCTACCGCAAAAGATTACATCTCTATCAATGATTTTGGGGTAGGCGCAATGTGACTGTGAATCTCTCTTAGTCGATCCCCGCGGAACCTGAACGGCACTCCCGGATTTGGTTCAACGCGAGTGGAAGGGGCCACAGCGACCTGCAACTACTCGATGCAGGACATGTAATTTCCCGCATCGCTCTATTCTTTCACATTCCCAGATACAAATCAATTGAAAAGGAACCAAAAAGAATTCAAAAGTTAAATCCTCCCTAGATTGCCCGCGTGCCCGCGTGCCCGCTTGCCCCCTGCCCAATGCCCAAAACCATTCTCCTCACCGGCGCCCCCCCACGCCGCCCTAGACTGGTCCACCCCGCTCCTCACCACCTTTTCCGTGCCCATCGCCTCGCTCGCCGATCCCGATCCCGGTCCCAGCTTCCGCTCCGGCTCCGAGTCCGGCTCCGACCCGGCGTCTCCTTCCTCTTCCACTTCCCCTCCTGCGGCCCGAAACCACCACGACGCCGCCACCCAAGCCTCCGCTCCCCTTCCCGCCTGGCGCTCCCTCGCCCTCCACAAAACCCGGTACCCCACGGGCCTAACCCAGCCCTCCTTCCTCTCCTTTCTTCACCCAGAGCCCCCACCCAACGCTCTCGCGACGCCCCCATAGAAGAAGAGGAAGAGCGTAGCTCCCCTCAACGCACAGAGACAGCCTTCTCCAAAGCCAATTCTACCAACACTCCCTCATCATACACGAGTCCCAGCCCGCCCCAGTCCCAACGTCCTCTTCTTCTTTCTCTCCCCCTTCTCCTCCACTTCCCACCTGCCCGCCGCCCCCAACCCCAACCCCAACCAACCCCCACTCCACCACGCCCCCTCGACCTCCCCAACTACCCCCAACACCACCGACCTCTGCGCCCTCCCCCACCCCCGCCACCGTCTCCCTCCTCCTCGGCGTCCTCTCCACCTCCCTCAAAACCGTCCCCGCCCGCCGCGGCCCTTCGCCCCTTCTCCTCCTCCTCGAGGCCCTCGTCGGCGACGACACCCGCTCCGCCTTCCGCCTCACCCTCTGGCTCGGCCCCTGTCCGTCCCCGCCGCCCCCGGATACCGCCGCTTTTCTCGCCCACTCCGCCCCGCGCTCCCTCTCCCTCCTCGCCCGCGACGCCGCCGCCCTCCGCCCCGGCGACGTCATTCTCGCCCACAACGTCGCCGTCGCTACTTTTCGCGGGCGTGTTTACGCTCAGAGCGTGGCCGCCGGGGTCGGTACGAGAATTCGCCTCTTGTATAGAGAAGAAGAGGACGACGATGACGACGACGACGACGACGAAGAGGAAGAAGGCGGGAGGGGAGAGGCTCAGCAGCGGGGAAGATGTCGAGTGGGGCATTACTCGTGGCAAGACATGGTGGTAGCCGGTCCGGTGCATGCCCAACTCGGGAAGACGAGGAGGGTGCGGCGGTGGCTTGAGATCTCATCGGCCGCAAGCCCGAGGATGGCTCTGAAGACGACTCAGATGACGAGTTCCCAGACGATACACTAGAATGAGCGAGAAGCCAGCGTATTGTGCATTATCCCTCCCTCCTTTACTTGGAAAAAGCCAGCGGTTCACTTTGGAGAGTAATTAGGCGTTACACCAAGACAAAGTTTGCGAAGAGTGCATCGACGGACCTTGCCATCATGTCTTAGGATAAAAAGTTATTATGATTACCCTACATATATGCCCAGTCTATAAAAACTAGCCTAGCCGCCAAAATATCAACAAGAAACCAAACAAGCTCATTAGAAAACGATAAGGATGGCAAATTGCTCGGGAGAGGGGTATCTATTATACACAACACAAAACAAGCGGGGGATGCAGGTAGCTCACGAACTGAGCAACTCCCCTTTCCCCCATTAGCGGAGAGGGAGGCAATGCAAGAGAGAAAGAGGCAGCAAGTCTCGGAAAAGGGGAACTACCAGAATCTGTCTCCCAAGACGTTCCTTACTGCTTTTCTCCCCCATTTGCCGCACTCATACTCCGTTCGGTTCTTTTCTTTCTTTCTTTAACTCCTTTTAAACAGCGGCAGGTGAGGCACCCTTGCCCTTGATGCTCTTCCAGCTAAGAGCGAGGGACAAGAAGAAGGCGATGCCAGTACCGGCAACAGAGATGTAGAAGGTATTCCTCAACCCCGTCATGTACGCCTCGAGCACCATGGGGATGGTATCTCCGAGATTCTGGCTCTCGAGAATAGTCCTCACTTCTGAGGCGCCGCTGTTGATGAAGATCAAAGGGTTGATGGACTGGCCATTGGAGAGGGGGTGGGCTTGAATCTCGTCGATGAGGCCGTTCTGGAAGAGCGTTTGAGCCACGGCAATGAAGACGGCGCCACCGAGGGCTTGGCCAAACTGCACGCAGGCAGTGGCGACGGGCACATCATCCATGCTCATGATGGTTTGAATGACGAGCACGCCGACCTGGAAACCAGGACCTATACCCAAGCCGCAAAGAACTTGGTAGCCGAACCATTCTCGGAGGGGGCTGTCGACATCGAGGGTGGTGAGCATACCAGCTCCGACGGTTGCCAGGACCATGCAGGGGATGACGACGGGGTTGTAGTAGCCAATGTAAGTGATGAGTCCTCCACCGATCATGGACGAGATGACAACGGCGAGGAGGAGGGGAATGAGCTTGATGCCAGCCTGGACGGCCGAGTCGCCCTTGATCGCTTGGAAGTAGAGAGCTAAGAAACGAAACAAAGAATTAGCACTCTATCCTTTCTTCTTGAGGGCTAGACCTCATGTCATGAAGATGATTGGTTTGGAAAGAGGGGGCAAGTTAAACATACAGAGATAAAAGATGAGAGGGAAGAAGGCCGCGCCAAAAACGGCGCCAAAAGAATGGCCACCACGACATCCTTGTTCTTGAAGAAGCGAGGGGAAGCGTGGCGCGCTCGCCCTGCCAGATCTGAATAATGACAAAGACGACCATGCTGGCGCCGAAGCCGACAAAGAGGCCAATGATGGTGGCGCTGCTCCAGGCGTGCTCGGTGCCACCCCACTGAAGGGCGAGGAGAAGCATGATAACGCCGGGGATGAACACGGCGGTGCCGGGAGGTCGAGCTGGAGAACGCGGCGGATGAACGAGATGTTTTCGGGGTTGTTATTGCGCTTGATGTTAAGAATGAAGAAGATGGCAACCATGGCAAGACCACCGATGGGCAGATCTAGTGGGGGAAGACTCCGTTAGCAAACTCGTACACATCGGCCGAGGGAGCTTGAAATGTGGTTTCACAAGCCAGTTGTTGAATGGAATGCCTTACTGATATAGAAGCACCAGCGCCATGAAGCGTGTTCGGTGAAAACACCACCGAGAAGGGGACCGGCAACACTCTACGCAAGTTGGTTAGCAACGAGATTCAAGGTGGCTTTTCTGGTTGGCATTCTTCAAAACTTACTGCAATACCCCACATGCTAGAAATAACACCAAAAGCAAGAGGTCGTTGTCTCAGGGGCACTAGAGGGGTTCTCTGTTAGCGTATGCCCTCGCTGCAGGTTTCGGGGGTGCATCGATGCGAGACTTACTAGAGTTTGCTAGAATAATGATACCACCAGAAAACATGCCCGCAGTTCCAATCTATCCTCACGCGAGCCAAGTCAGCTTCACCCAGTCCTAGACTATTCCCGCGGGCAGACGAGTGCCTCGGGGGCCAAGGAAGACGGAGGAGTTTCATGCTGCTGTGAACAGCGGGTTCCATGCACTTACACCAGCGATGGCACGGCCAACGATAAAGGTGGTCGAGTTCTTAGCCACAGCGCAAATCAAGCTGCCCACTTCGAAAATGAAAACGGCACCCAGAAACGCCCACTTGATATTAAAACGTTTGTAGATGTTACCGAACATGGGCTGAAGGGCCGTCGTAGTGAGAAAGTAGGCGGAACCATCTACAGTGACGATTTCGAGGTTAGCTCCGGTTCCGTCAACCAGCATACAAAAATTCCAAACAATGGGGCAAAGTGGATTGGTGGCATCGCCGCCCGGCACTTCTTGGCTCGCGGCTTGGCGATCAGCGCCGTATGTCGGAGATATGCGAAGGCTTCCCACTCCGGGGTCGGGGTCGGGGAGGGCCTGACGGCGGGGAAAATAACTTACACCAACCCTATAATTCCAGGGTCCAATTATTAGCAGGCTATTCCGCGAGAAAGATTTTGAAAAAGTCTCAAGGAAGTAGAAAATAACATACAATGTCCTTGACACTTTGGAACTCGGCGGTGATGGCACCCAAAGCAGGCGCAATGATGGTCTGATCGAGAGCAACGAGGAAGATGACGAGGCACAGCGACCCAATGAGGGCCATGAGCTTCGCGCCCGTGAGGTAGCTAGAGGTGTCTTCTTCTTCGCCATTTTCAGCCGCGTTGGCAGTCTCGCTTTTGGTCGAGGCGGCCTTTTCGTTCAAGGAAGAGCCGGGGCGAGGCTGCTCAAGGGAAGACTTTTCGTTGGCGGCGTCGGGGACATCGTCGACGCGCGTCTTGGCCGAATTCTCTTCGGGGATGACGGTGGTGCCCGGGGACTCTTTTTGAAATTCATCGCGAATGGCTCCGGGAGGGAGCTAGGGTCACGAAGGGGGTAGTTGCTTCAAAGAGGGAGGGGGAATCGCGTATCTAAGGGGCCGAGAAACAAGCAAGTGTATTTGGCGTTTTCTTAGCTTATCTGGAGGTCGAGGACCAGAATATCACAACCGTGAGAGTGATCGAGGATGAACAAGAGGAGGAAATGAAGGAAAGAGAGGAGAATTCCGGTGGTCTAAATATACAATCGACCAGGCGGGAAGCAAGCTTGGCTGGCCCTAGCAAGGGCGGGCTGGTGGCACCGTCCAGGATGGGCGGAAATAGGAATGGGGCCGCCAGGGAAAACTGTCAGTCTTGCTTTTCTTTTCTTTTTCTTTCTTCTTTTTTTCTTGGGCACGAGGAGCGAGCAACGCGAGCCGTCTGTCGGGTCACTCCGGAGCTTGCGGAAGGGGGTGCGGAAGGGGTGTGCGGAGGGTGTGTTTAGCGAGACGGAGGGAGCATGGGGACGAGCATGAGCAGGGGGCCCAAGATTCTCGCAGGTCGTGGGTTGGGTTGGGCTGTGGAACTTGGGAAAGCAACCTGGTGCCTATGATCACGAAGTAATATTTCTTGTTCAGAGGTGCACGTGTAGAAAGCGAGATACGATACGACCAGATACGAAGGATGAAGAGGCTGCCTTCCTTTTTCTCTCCGGGCGGAGAGGAGAGACAAGCAAACGCGTAGTGCAAGGGCGACCCAATGGGTTTCGTTTGCACTCGATTATGTTTGGAACGTCTTCAAAAGATATGGGGCACTTCAGTGGGGAGAACAAACTCTAACCGCTTGAGCTCTCCAAGCCCCTTGAGCATCTGATTCTGTCTACACTATGATGGTTCGAGGGCGAAAGGGGGAGATGGAAGCTATGGCGTGTGGAAATGACGGAGATGGGTTCCAGGGGGTCGTCTGACAAGGGGGCAAGGTTTCTTTCCCTTCTTCCCTCTCTCTTTTCCCCATCTTCTTCTGGTAACTTGAATACAATGATCAAACTATGACAGATTCACAAGCGCCAAAGAATAGACGAGGGCAAACTAAAAAGACGGAGAAAAGGGTGCACCACCAAAAATCTTGAGATCGCAAAGGGGCCCCGGGGCAACAATGCGCCGGCGGCGTTCTCCTCTGGCGAGCCTGGAACGGAAAAGTGTGTGCCACCTTTGCGCGTGGAGCGGGCGCGGAATGAGTATTATTAATGATACAAAAGAGGAATAGACGCAATGTTTCAAGCTTTTCAGGCGCCACAGTCGCGACCAGAACAAGTAAAACCAGTGAGCAGTATTCCCAAGTTTGAAGAAAAGCACTCCTAGTCTGAGCAACCCGCTGGGAAAATTCCACCCACCGCACATGGCTCATACCCACCTCGTGTTTCTGACACGAGCATGCCATTGTTTTGTGGGGGCCTTGACTCAGAAAGCAAAAGAAAAAAAGAAAAAAGGAAGAAAAACATTTCAAGGGAACAGAGTCAACCATGGAGCTTGGAGCCTGTCATACACGCCCTTACCCCTTTTAGCAGTTAGTAGCAGTTAGCTCGAGCACTGCTGAGGTTCCAGAGTGGGCAAGGTCCACTCCGCCCTGCCCTATCCCTGCCCCCTCTGGCATTTGATTTTGTCTTTGTTTCCTTTCAGCCAGTCCCGACATTGTTCGACAAGTGATACTTGGTACTTTGGTAGGGTGGCATTAGGCGGAGCGACCACTTGTTTGGCTCGGACAGCCAGGGCAGTTGCGCACCGGAAATAAGGGACGAAATGCACAACCCAGAGATTTGGAACCGGCGCAAGTCGCAACCGTCGCTCCGTGATCTTGTGTTCTTCTTCTTCTTTTTCTTGCGCTCCTGTCGGTACTTAGATCCCGTCCCCGTGCTGGAGTCGATACAAGTATTACCCATACCTACGAACACTGAAGTGTACCTCATACTTGAACATAGGCGCCGTGGGCACCGGGGTACACACTTGAAATGATAATATTTTGCGCCAGGGGACGGCAGTCGGCGGAACTCCACCGACCTCATCAATGGTCTCATCACAACTCCACCCGCTCCCCCTTTTGTCCCGATTCACTCCGGCGATATCAACTTTGACCGTACTTGCGTGAATCTGTTACTCGCGCATATATAAAAAAAAAATTTCGAGCGAGAGCGGCTAGAACCAAGGCAAAGAGAAGAAGACAATCAGACGCAATAATCGGGAAAATCGGTTTCCGATTTAGGCCAGAGCATGCACTGCGCCCGTGCAAGTACTGCACTTTTCAGCCGTGTTTTTAGGTGTGGTGCTGCGCGATGCAATAGAATTGTGTGGTGTGGGTGTGGGGGTTCTGTCGCGGTGAGGGACGGAAATAAAACGTGAGCCTTGACAGGAGACGATTAACTCCTAGTGTGGAAACCTCGTGGGTCCGGCTTGGGTCGGTGGGTTTCGTCCGCGGCTCCGACAATCATCGGACTTAAAAAGATTATCTGGTTTTCCTCACCCTCCATTTCCCGGGTTTAGGCGAAAGGGAATCAATCCTATACTACCTCTCCCTGCATCGAATCGACAGCGAAAATTTTCTCTCGTTCACGCCCCCTGTCCTTGCCCTCCTTCCACCCCCCTCCCTCGAAGAACGAACTCGGCATCAGGCTGTGCAGCGAAACGCTGCTCACTGGTCTTTGGATTCACGATCACACTCATCTATCAGAGAGAGAACAGGTAATATGAGCACGTTTACTTTCAAAGACGTAGAAATCGACATGCGGAGAAATTGTGGGTTTGGCCCGGGGTATCGCTCGGGATTGACCCATCCTCAATTGATTGAATGCAAGGAGATCCATAATAACAACATTCATGTTGAATCATTGACCAACTCTAAAAGATGAGAAAACTGGGGGACAAAGAAAGAAGCTTTGAGTGGAGTCATCCACAAAGCACCCTTCTCTAAGCAGTCATAACCCTCGATCGATCACCCTAATAATAATTCTCCAGATCTTAGCCAATGCTTGTGATCGTTCAGACGAAGGGGAAAAAAAGGATTAAAAATAAAAAATAAAAATGAAAATTACCTGTACAATACAAGCATCACAAAGTAGCCAACTCTGGCTGTCTTCGGATCCAACGGGAAACGCACGTTTGATCCTAATCATTCTCTTTCGACGCATGTCCGGTTCAATGCCCCTCATCAAACACTCATCACCGAAAGAGTCATCAGCCATGATGGCAGATTGCTCGTGTTGTATGGTTGCGTGCGTGCGCCGCGTGTGCGTGAGCCCAGCGTCTTGGACAGGCACGCATAGTTTCTCCTAAAACCCATCGGCGGATCGGAGAAACCCCGCCGACGACAACTGTCGCGAACACCTCAGCCACGTGTGTTATTACGAACCGAGCATGCTGGGGGTTGAGAAGGCGGCTCAGTGGGAGTGCTTGGCCAGGCCGTGTGTCCCAGGCAGCAACTTATAAATCAAGGTCTTGGCGAGCCGGGGTGTGCATCAGTCCCCCTGCCCTCCAATGCCTGCACGGAGGATTTGGTTCGGGCTTTGGCTCAAAGGAAAACCAAACGCGAACAACTGACAAATTTCTCGGACTTTGAGTTGTTCATGGCCGAAATGCCCGAAAGGATCTTGAGCGCAACGGCGATGAGCAAATCAACCATTTCCCAGCGGGGCTCGACCCCATCTCCCTCGTTCGACACTGCGCGTAAGCTGTTGTTGATTTGATGGCCATGGTCTTGGCCAGTGGAGTAGTCGGCTGACGTGAGCTGGGAGGAGATCCATCTGCAGAACAACCTCGACAGACCAGATCGGGTCGAAAGCTAGAGACACAAACCACCTCGCTGCATAGAGGACTAAGAAGAAAAAGGCCCAGAGCGCATTCAATAGACCAAATTTTCCTCTGGGGTTTACTTCGCGCCGACTCTCGCCACAGATTTGGAACGATGGGACTTGCGACTCTCCATTCTTCAAAGCACTAAGGCCACACGCAAATCCAACGGCTTCTAAGGCTTCACCATCGAACTGACCAAAAGACAAATCGGATTCACTCAGGAAGGACTTCTTCGAAGCCGGTGCCAGGCCATCCCTTATTTCTTGTGCCCCCAAGTTCGCTCGTTTCCCCATGAGCTCCTAAGCTTAGTTTGAGTTGTTCTCATCCTTAGCGTTCAATGCCTTGGCTTGCGTCTAGCTCGCGTATTTCTCACGAGATGTGCTCTAGCTACGCTATAGCTGCACCTCCACCCCAAGGTTTGGGAGATCGCGTCCCTGGCTAGGCTCCCTTCAAGCTCTTACTATGAACCTTCTAAGATGGACACTCATAGGTGTCAAGCTTCTTCCCGCGGCTCGCCACGTACTGGCGCTGCTGCGTAAGCGGCGCCGCGTAGGCCTCATCCCCGATATGAGGACATGCTTGTGTCCTGTCTCCTCGCCATGGCGCCATGAGTACGGTTGCTTGTCACGATTCCATCTTTCGCTAGCGGGCTAGACTCCTCGTAGCAGAATCGTCTCATCCACTTAAGGACAAATTGGCCGTCCTGGGATCAGTGCTGCACAAATCATAATTGTTAGACCCACAATAGCGATAAACCCATGTGCCGACCGAAGCCCCCTTTGCCGGCTGCGATCCACTCCTGGTGCTGTTAGCCGGAAGGCGAACATCTCTCTCCCTCTTACCCTTATCCATCCGCAGGTGGCTGTCCACGATCCCACGCACGCTGTGGGTTGGTCAATGGCACTATTCCTGCATTCCCATTCTGCGCCGCCTGTGCATCCCCGGAAATTCTGTGTTTGCTCGGCCGCATCTTCGGTCCGAAGGCGGCAGCCCGTGCAGGTGTATGTACGGGAGTGTATGTATGGGAAAGATCTCGTGTCTTCCAGTAGGGGCTTTGCATGATAACTTCTTGCGGGTGAGCCTACAAGAAAGTCATCGTATAAATATCTGGAATGCCCAAGACTCCGATTTTAAATGGCATTTGCTAATGTTTTATAAGGGTAACTCGTCAACAGCGAATGGTGCAGAGGACAGAGAAGGTCCCGGTTCCTCTGGCATGAGGAAGTTACTCATGTACAACGTCCCCCAGACGCGAAATAGTCTTCATAGTTTCGCTTCATATGCGTCTGTTCCACAAATCGCTTGCCCAAGGTGGCCATACGTAGCTGTTTGTTTGTAAGGGCGTGGTACTAACAATACGAGATCAGACTTGTACTCGTCAGCCAGAGAAAACCAACTTTCAGCAAGGGCTCCTCGGATATCAAAATGATTGTTGATGTATAGTCTTGAGTGGTCATAAATCTTTTGAGCTTTCCTCGTAGATTTTTTGCCCGCCAGTTTCAGTTGGTGCGGATGCTTCATACGTATCCATGCCGGAGGCTCCGTGCCGTTGACGAGTGGCTTCTGAGATTCTCGCCCGTGGGCATCAGACCCGCAAGAAAAACAAACGACTCGAGTGCTCCGGGAATATATGGCGGCCCCGCCGACTACTTCCACCGACATCGCCTGCGTCCATGCTTGAACAGAGACCCCACCTATGGAGATTGATATGCGTAGGTGTTTTCAAGCTCGATCTCGCAACCCAATCGATTCTTCATCCACTTTAGGATGGACTTTCCTAGCCAGACCAGTCATTTTCTGCCTTGGATATAGAAGAGTGGATTCTCTTTAGGAAACATCGCACTTCCTCGCTCGTTCTTGCTGGATCCATCGTTGGACGCCCGTTTCCAAGATTAGCTGAGCACTGCGACTCGCACCTGCCTCTTGCCTCCTCTTCCTGCCTGGTCCCCCACTACGCTCCTCATCCCTAGTCCAACCAGTTTCGTTTCGTCTCTATCTTAGGGCTTATAAACAAGGAAGATTTTCGTGAGACCTACGCGTAGCATTCACCTGCCAACAATTACACCATAACCGAATACCCTATTAAGGTGCTCTACGTTTTACTTAGCATCGCATCGAGTCTCACTCTGGGCTTCTTTTCCCAACTCCTCTGCGGTCTCGGGCCCAACAGCTTCCTGGGCGACGTACTCTAGCAACGACGCTGTTCACGATGGGGCCAAACTTTACACGTGCATACATACGTGTGTACATACATTTTTGCGCATAGCAACCTATCTGAGGAATGGTAACTACTCGAAGACACTCATCATATTGATCACAACATCAAGGCCGAAGGACCAAGAAAGACCACCCCACATTTTAAAAACAAAGCCGTGCCTCCCTCTTCTCGCGTGTTTTCTCATTCTGTTTCGTTCAAACATAGTACATGGAGTTGCGAATGTTCTCGTGCACCTGCCACCTGCCCTTGCCACTAGGGCTCAGTGCGCCCCGATGGATACGAGCGCGCTCGCACACGATGTCGGCGTAGTATGCTGGAGGACAGATGCTGACGGCCCGAGTAGCGCGTCCAAACATGTAGCAAAGGTCGTGGGTCAGCGTCTCCAAGTCGTCTGCCGCGTTTCTTCCGGATCGGGGGTGAAGATCTCATCGAGGAGAACTGTGTAGTGCGCCGGACGAGCCGTTCCTACGAAAGAGAGCAGTGTGATTAGTACTTTTTCTTTGGGGGAACCACCAATCCCCATAGGAGCTGCGCATGGGTTAACTAAGCAGAACCTACCTTTGATGGAGTCATGGGCAGTGAGGAAAAAGTCCCAGTATCGGGCCTGGGTGACGCCACGGTCCACCACGGTTCCCGGGCGGATATTTCCTGTGCGCGAAGTGTGCTCCGCGCTGGTTGGGTAGAAGCGCGTGTGGTGCCGCTTCACCGATACGATGAGCGCCAAGCGTGGGGGTTCTTGTACCTGGTGCGGCATGCGGCTCGAATCCTGGGCAATTCCTTCTCGAGGACGAGGGCGAACTGGCCCTCTGAGACTCCGTCGCGGTAGATGACGATGTTTTCCGGGAGCTGGCCGTTGTTCTTGGCCTTCCACAAGTCGAGGCGGGATTCGATGGCACCCTTGAGCTGCTCATCCTCGCACACCTCTTGTCGGCTCGTGTGCACCCACGCCGTGGCTGGCCACTGCCCGAGCTCTTTATCGATGCTGGCAACGAGACCGACTACGCTGGGGGCGGCGGCCTCTTCTGCGGTGGCCACGTTGGTGGGGTGTACGACGTCGTATCCCACGACCATTGTCTTGCCGTTCTGGACGAGCCCGATGGTGTCGACGAGCTGGTGGTTGACACCACCCATTTTCAGGTTCCACTTGAGGGCGATGTTACCAAAGTAGCCCGCCCGTCCCTTATCCTTGCTCGCCTTTTTCCAGTCCATGCAGACGGTATGAATGCCAAGATCCACGTCGCCTACCCTCTTGATTGCTGCGTAGAGCTGCGTATCCTTACGGGGATAAACACGAGCAAAATCTGGACTCGCTCCTCTGCAAGCCTAGCGAGCGCCGTGTTAATCTTCCCCTGCGCATGCGGGTCTCCGGGCCTAATCATGACACGCGTCAACCCATCCGTTGGGGTTTCGTCCATCTGCAGCCCGCAGTTGTTGTTGACCTGCGCCCTAAATTCGTTGGTGGTCCGGATGATCTCGCCGTCGGGCGCCTGGATGCTGATGGCGACGCAGCCCCACCGGGTGATGGGCCTGCCGGGGATGGCGAACTTGAGGCCGCTCATGTTCCAAGCTCCAAAGGATGGCTTAAACTTGGGCACCGCGGCCCTGGGACCCTTGCCGCCCACGCCGGGCTTGTAGCAGAGGGTAGGTGCGGAAAGTTCACGTCCATGGACGGTTAGGAGGCCCTTGCCTACCTTGACACCAAAATCTTTCTGTAAAAGGATGCGTTAGGACCCTCTGTCTTGCTTGATAACAGATGGGACGGTGAGGGATGGTACGTACAAGAAGAGCTGCGTCGTGCTGCAAGATTTCTTGGCCCTTGTTCATGATGGAATGGTAATTGTCTCCAGGCTGGCGGCATGCAAATTCAATCATAGCCTGAGAATCCATCTCGTTGAGCTTAACCTTGACAGGGGCCGGCAGGATGCGGCAGAACTCGGCCGGAACAAAAGTTGGTTTAATAGGGGTCCCGACGTTCAAGAGCGGCCAGTTGGTGTTGAGACTGGCACCGTATTCTATTCGACCCCGACACGGTTAGCATTCCAAGGGTTCCTACTTGTTTCCTGTTGAACCGGCTTCGCCGCTGCCTTGTACAACGCGCGCCAAAGACCGACAGGTGTAACCATAGTATACGGGTTCTAGCAGGCGTCGATTCAACTTACTTTCTTTGTAGTACTGTGTCACAGTTCGGTAGGTGGGTGCCACATCGTTTGGCAAAGACGTCAGGAACATGACCTGCGAAGGGCCTGGGTAGGGCGTGTCCTCAATCTTCAAGCCCTCCACCTGCATCCCGCGGCCGGACTCGAGAATTCCCATCATGGTCTTTTGTCGCTTCAGATCCTTGTCGCTGGCGCCACCCCTGAAGCGGTACTCGACGCGAGCGCGGGTAAAGATGCGGGAAAGGACGGCCAAGTCATCTAATGAGTTGCATCGGTCAATGTTGAGGCGTCGGAAGATGTCCTTTACTTCGGCCTCGACTCGGAAGACGCCGTGCGTGACGTTTGTGTTGAGGAGCAGTCGGCCGGTCGAGAGGCGGACACTCTGGAAGTAGCCACGGCAGATAGCCAAGACGGTAGGAACCAGGAATGTCTTCTCTTCGTCCATGTCATACCCACTGCCCGGCCCACCCGTGGCGCCGGTCTCGAAAAACCGACGAGAGCCGACGACGGAGATGGTGCGGTTCGTACGGGCGGTGTGACCGAGCACGATATTGAGACCGTCGACAACATCCTCGAACTTGGGGAAGCTAGAGTCGTGTTCCTGCATGGTTTTGACGTACTTGGCCATGCCGGCGAGGTCGAGAAGCCTCGGTCCCTCAAAGGAGACAGAGTACATGTCTCGTCGGGAGCGCCCTTCGGTGGTGATGGGCACCAGCATCGGGTTCTGGGGCAGGTTGAGCTTAGCAGTGGTGACAATCTTGGACTTGAGCTCGGTGGCGAGGGCCACGCCCGCGTTGAAGGTCTTGATGAGTTCCACAGTGGCCTCGACGACCTGGGCGAGCTTGGCGCCCTTGAGGGGCGGGGCCTCGCCTTTTTCGCGTTTATTCTTTTGAAGCTTCCTGTATCTGACTCAGACGCCGAAGATTCCGCGTCGAGCTTGAAGAATTCCAGGTGGTAAAGGTACAGGTCCCTATCAGCCTTGAGGTCAAGGTTGAAATAGTTGGCCCACAACTTGACCCGAACGCCCCGAGTGCCAAACACGGGGCGATAGGGCAGTCTGTGAGCAATCTCCTTGCTCACGGACAGGGACGACATCTTGCCCTCGACGCTCAAGAGGTCATTCTCGAGCTCGTTGGTGGGCTTGTCAGGCTCCGGGAAGCTAACGTCAAGGGAAAAGCCCCCTCGAGATTAGCATGACAACAACAAGGGTGAAAATGCGAGTACTGAGCAAAGGGGCGAGGGGATATCAACTTACGTGATGGGCAATGACTTTTGCTCAAATGTTCGAGGGCCCACCGCCGCGGCTAAACCCACGCCCACGGCCACCGCGATCACCACGATCACCTCGGCCACCGCGGTCGCCAAAACCGCGCCCGCCCCGGCCGCCGCCCCTACCTTCATAACCGCCACGACCGCCGTCGTATCCACCGCGGCCACCATCATATCCACCACGGCCACCCTCGTACCCACCACGTCCACGGCCCCGACCATCGTGACTATCACCACGTCCACGACCACGGCCATCTTGGCCATCACCACGTCCACGGCCCCGGCTAGAGTCGTCACCGCGGCCTCGGCCACCTCCACGAGGCGCGCCATCGCCACCACGGCCCCGAGGAGCACCGCGGCTTCCACCTCGCTTTCCCGGTCTGAACCTCCTCCGCGATCGGCCATGATAATTCGAGTTTGACTCACAATGGGGCAAGTCTAGAGCCAGACGCTGCTGAAGGGTTGGAAATTAGCAGTGGCCAAGTCCCAAGAGCTTGAGTGTGTGGCGGGGGTTGTAGGGGGCCAAGTACACCGCAAGTGTGTGTGGGATGTGGGTAGAAACAAGGGGGAAAGCGCGAGCCGAGATTCGTCAGATAAGTATCAGATCTCGTCCCCGGACCTAGTACAAAGTAGGTTCCCACTAAGCTGGATTTAGTGGGGGAGCTCACGGGGAGGGCGGCTTCAAATTTCAATGTTGAGAAAAAAACAAGATAGACCACTTGCCTTGGGATTTAGAAAAGAAGAAAAGTGGGAAAAGGAGGAAAGGAGAACAGTCAATCAACAGGGTTGACGAGCGTTGATCAATTGCCTCCCAAACAGACTGGTTATTTTAATTCTTTTCACTGGTTGACTGGCAGCGAAGGGGCGAGTCTCGTGGGTTGGAGCTGTGTGGACCCCGGCTCTCTGCTTGGAGACGAGGGGAATGTTTTTTGGCAAGGAACATTGAAGTTGGCCTGATGCATCCGCGGACTCCCGCCTGGGCAAGAGGGAAGAAGGCAAAAAAGCAAGGAGGCCCAGCAAGATTCGCGCCCTCCCAAGTTCTCCAAGGTTCTAAGAGAGAAGATTGAAGAATTGCGTATCAATGAAGAGCAGTGGCAAGCCCTCACATAATCACAAGCAGACCTAACTCTAGGCCAAAGCAAATATCATATATAATAAAGAAAACTTAGTGTTTTCTAGTGTTGTCAATTGCCTAATAGCAGAGTGAGTTGCACTTCTTAGATCAAAGAATGTTCCTATCACTACGAGCCCAACAAACATCTCCAAAGATTCCAACAAAATTCCAGCTTCTGGAGTACATGTAATACTGCATACATGTAGGACAAGGGGAGCTTCGAGCTTTGAATTGACTGGACAAGGGTCCAGCCAGTGGCGGTCCCAGGACACCGGGAAGGTCACATGGTGAATACCTGGGTTGCTGGAATCCTGGTCTTCCTAATTTCTCTGGCTCCGGTATACACTATTATGATGAACGACGCGAGCGACCGCTTAAACTGCGTTGTATTATCAGTGCATCAAACTCAATCCAGCCAAGGCAGAGCTTAAGATAGAGGTCACCACGTGAGCCAAAAAAAAAAAAAAAGAGACTGAGTTTCATCGATGCTTAGCTTCTTGGGTCAGGAAAGAGCCTCTCTTATGTTATTTCGAGTTGCTTTGCGGCCCCGGACACGCATCCCTTGGAACGGTGAAGAGCTCAATACTAGTCCGTCCGGAGTGTCCCGTGAAGAGCAAGGAATGAGCCCATGAAATCCAGCACTTGGGGAGGTTGCCTCCACATTGTTCAGTATTATCACTCTGAGCAGGAAAGAGAGAGAAAAGGGATGGGGCAGGAGCAAAGCACATCCAACCCTCCCTTGCCGCGCTTAGAGAAGGTAGTTATTCGACTTTCTCGCCGCTTTCTTCAGTCACCATCACCAGGATAATATATGTACCAAACTAGGGAGGCTGATGGGGAAGTAATCGCCATCAACTTCCTTCGGCAATGTAACTTGATACCCAGACTTACTGAATACCAGACCGCAACTCGCCTGGTCGCATGGTTTTACGGGGCTAATGAGGCGAGGCTTGTCTAGGAGACCAAATCACGAACGAGGACTAAATCACGACCGAATCCTCCAACCAAAGGCAAGGGTATGGTTACAATGCCCAGGACCTCGAAATCCGCCCATGTCGGCACTCGTGTGGCCATGATAGCAGGGTTCTGATCACGGATCGAGAGGCTGGGCTCGCAAAGGGTGGTATTTACCTTGCATCCAGCTTAGAGGGTCGTATATGGAATGTAGTGTATGGAGGGAGGGTGCGTGATCCATCTGGACTCCCACCCACACACCATCAGATGGATGAAGCCCAAGCATTCCCCTCAAAAGAGGAAAGAAAAGTCGAAATATTGAGAGCCAAGTGTCCGGAATAGGCAGTGCAGCTATTCTCCTCACACTTCACCTTTCGTGCTAGTGTAGATGCTCATGGCGGCCTCATCTGCCAAAGGTGGGCACGCTCCAAAATTGTTGGTTTGAACGAAGCCCCGTTTGAAGCTCAGCAAACGAAGCTGTCCTTTGGGAGCCTGACATCCCGGCCTCTTCGCCGAAGACGGAGAAGCCTCCAGCTCGGCAGAGAAGGAAACGGGTGCCTCTTTCAAATGATGCTCTCCGCACTGCAGATGCGAGATTCGCCAGATCAAGAAAATCCGATGTCACGAGTTGCCCAACGGAGCTACCATCATGAGGTCATTCGCCAAGCTTTGTCCACGTTGGCCGTTGCCCGTTGGCGCAGCCCCGACGCCAAACCCCCTTTCCTCTCCAATACTCGCAATGGAGCAAGACGAAAAAGAATCTGATACCCCGCGGGGCTCGGCGCGCGTGCCTAACCAACACGCCGGACGGCACGCTGGCCGATTGAGGCAGTGACAACCGGGCGAGATCATCCCGGAGGCCCAGCATGGCATCCAAGGGAGGCCCAATAAGTTCGGCAAGAGGACACAGGCTCCTTCGCTGGTTCACCTTGGTGAAATTCACCAGAAAGAAGAACGGCAGAAGGATCTTTGGTGCTAGGAGTGGCGTAGCGGTGATAATGAATGTAACGTCAAGCAACGGGCAGTGGGACAGTAGAATCGAGATCCTTCGTAGTTCTGTCTCGCTGTCCCTTGCGTCTGCATCAATAGTACAACTAGAATCCCATCAGAGAGAGGCTCTTGCGGAGAAGGGTTTCCGGATCATCGGAAGTAGGTCCCTCTAGGCCCACCATTCTTGGGTTCTCTCCAATGTTCGGCCGTGATGACAGGTACCGAATCGCATCAATGCGAGGTGCTCGTGGCTTGAGACTTGCGGTGTGGGGGTGAAGGAATCCTGATCTCTCCGATATGGTAGGCTGAAGTCTCGCAAAGTCTAAAAATCTCAGGTATTGCCCCGCTTCTATCATGCATCGGTTAATGTGCCACATGCCTTTGGAAACAGTTTGGGGGCTGGGTATAGCAGATTTCTGGAACAACCATCTCGAGTTTCGGGAAATAAGATATCGCAAGAAGAAGAGAAAGAATAATAGCCCTATATTTTATTCTCAACCGCCTAATCGAGTATGTCGTGATACTAGTTAGTTGAAGGCCTCCGCAGACAGGGGCCAGCTCCCAGGAGACTGGATAGGCGCCTCCTAGCGTCGATCTATTGCTCAACTCCCTCTTATGCGTGCTAGGTCTGTCATCCGGGCCTGTTGTTGGCGCCTCCCAAAACGAATGAATTGATCTGCGTGCTTGAACGGAAGAAGCTTGGAGCCTGTGGATGATTCAGGTTGGTTTTGGGCCTGGCGCTAGCGATGGAGGCCTTTTGTCTGTTGGGTTGGGGTTGCTTTGGGAAGGCACAGATCTCTCGGTGCGAAACTGGAAAAAGGGCCTGGGCTTCGCTGGTTTGTGGGTCCATGGTAGAAGACAACGCGCAGGCGGTAACCTCGTTCAACTCCCAAACTCTCCCATGTTCCAAACTAGTCTCTCCTTGCGCCTACTACCCTACCCCCGCAGCCTCCCAGACTCACAGGATCGGTGGGGAAGTTGACGCTCCCGGAGGCTTAGTCCCAAGCTACCAGATTGATTAACTCGTTCGATTGCTTCCATACTCTACCGAGGTCGTGAAGGCATCACGCCTTGTTTTCCATTCCAAAAGGTGCTTTTCGTCCGATGATACGCAAGCGGACGGCAGATGCCCCTGGATATGGGAGCCTTTGAAGATAGCATCGCCACTTTGTCCACTTGACACGTCGGTCAGCATTCCTTGCCATGAACGTGGCTATAACCTTGTAATCGGTCCATCTTCATCAAACGATTGTAAGCACCAGATGGATCTAGCAGGTGAGGTAGCTAGCATCTTGACGAGGATAAGGCAGCGTCGAAACCGCACCGAGGAAAATATTCGGTCCTAATCAACTCAGAACCAATCGATCACGGGCCCCTAGCATCTTTGCTAGGTTTCCGGGCTTTGCTTTTGCTCCCGCGCTTGCTTACAGGAATTGGCTCATGGCCCTTGTGCTTATGTGTTGTCAGCTCAGCACTGGCTATTTACAGCATCGCCTGGGATGGCACATGGCTTAAACGTTGCTGGGCTGGGCCAGCTCGCCCAGCTGAAATTTCGGCGTTGCCATCAAGCTGTCCGCCCATCTCGTTGGCTCTTTCGCGAGGCCCAAAATAAGACCATCACCAGCCTAGAGTAGAACAAGTCATCGATATTGAAACGTGCACGTATAAACAAGACACCATCAAAAATCTAATATTCGTTTGGGGCGGGTGTCATTTTGCCCTCTTAGTTTCATGAGCGGACGAGCGTTCTTGGCTATTAGTCGGCAGGATTGGCTACATGTAGATCAAATGGATCCAGGATTTGATCCATTCCAGCGCTCGAAGGAGTCTGGTCTTGGGTTTGGGGTTGGTTTTGCGAGTTCAATGTTCGGTCTGTCATGCGAAAGCCCCTCTGAGGGAGCCCTTCCCAAGCTAGCAGAGCCAAGTGGCGGAGCGCAGCGCGTGCGTGCGGTCAGGTAGGCCCTCCAAAACCCTGTGCAATCCGATCAATGTTCGGCCGCAGCATTGTTGAAGTGAAGCCAAACCCCAGGCAAAGCCTAATAATTCTAATTTCTCCTTCGAGACGAGGGTAAAAAAAAGTTCCCCATCAATCTTTCAAGTCGCGCAATTTCGAGCTCGCAGATGAATATATCACACCCGCATCGCTCCTCTTGAGTTTGGCCCTCTAGTCCTCAATGACAACAAACACATCGATGACCACCAACCCAATACAGGGATTCGCACTAAATACCACCAAACACCCCCACCTACCATCACTTTGACGTTTTCCATCTTCCCGCCATCAACATTCCCGTCCTCATCATCTTGATTCTTCCAGTCTCTCTCTAGATAACCCCTAAGCGAGAATCCTCCGCGACCAGGGGGCTCGTTTGCATCCCCCTCCCCGTTGTCTCCTCTCCCTCTCTTTATTGTCTCCATTGGCCACAGCCACATTCCCCGAGCAAGCATTGTAGCCCTGGCGCGGATCGCTCGATTGCCGGTGAGGCAACCCTCAAAGAGCCAAGCGTTCTCTTTTTATATATAACAAGAGCGAGACTGTCCTCCATGGGAACCTCGTGCTCGAACCAGAGCAACCCGGGGTCTGAGGACGACCAGAACGTCACGTTGCCCAACGTCAGTCTAAAAGACGTCCCGAACCCTAACCCTCACAAGCGAGCAAGGACCGTGGCCATGCACACCACTTCGGACAGCCGCCCAAGCCCTTCCTCTCCCCGCCTGCCTTTGTCTTCTCTGGCGAAGATGAGTATTTTAGGACGCGGCAGGAAGTGAAAGCTCGGGAACAGTCCATGGGCTTTGATCACGCCTGCACTGTTAAATCCAGCAAGAATGAGAGGCTGGCCAACACTATCATCCAGGCGCTGAAGCAGCTGGACAATGAGAGGGTCTATCGGCCTGCCGAACCCCGGGTGGGCTTCGGCGGACAACGTCACGCCCGGGTTGCTGGCGACCACTTCTTGTCAAACGTCGACCTAATAGACCAAACGGATCTTTTCCGCGTCGCCCAGAAGATGCCTAAGGGTGCACATCTCCACATCCACTTCAACGCCTGTCTGCTTCCCAACGTCCTATTAGAGATCGCCAAGACCATGGATCGTATGTTCATCACAAGCGACCGGCCATTAGTCCCAGATGATGACTACCTCAGTTACCGGGCTTGCGAGATCCAGTTCTCTCTTTACGGCCAGAGCAGGAACGGCCCGGAAACTTGTTCACGAGCGCGTACGAATCAAGGCAGACCATGCGCTTCCAAGAGTTCCTGAGCACATTCGCCTCCAACTATCCTCACGCGAGTGTAGATGACTGGTTTAAGAGCAAGATCGTGTTTGATGAGGAGGAGGCGCACAACCATCTTCAGACCTGCGCAGGGTAAGTGTTCCTTTCTCTTTCTTTTCTTCTCCTCCCTTCCTCATACACCAGGCCTCGACGTGGGCTCGCGTGAGGGAACCCTAGTCTCTAATGCGACTTTAGGATCTGGCAAAAGTTCAATGGGAGGACGCGCCTCATGAAGGGACTCTTTAATTATGAACGTGCGTATCGCACATATACGCGGCTTCTCCTGGAGGACTTTGTTCGAGACAACATCCAATACGCCGAGATTAGGCCAAACTTTATGGAAACGAACCAGCTCGTCACGGATGATGCGAGCCGCAACATTGATAACTATGGGATAATGGAAATCATCATCGATGAGTACCACAAGTTCCAGGCCCAGACCAAGGATTACTTTGGGGGCTCAAGATCATCTACTGTACCCCTCGAGTATTCTCTAGGCCCAAGGTCAAGTTTGCGCTCAACGAGTGTATCAAGTTCAAGAAAAAATGGCCACAGTGGATCGCTGGTGCGTTCTTTCAAGTCCCCCCTCAAGCCCCTATCAAAACTCTATATTGACATTGATGCCCCAAAATGTAGGCTTTGACCTTGTTGGAGAGGAAGGGCAGCCGAATCCTCTCCAGACCTTTGTCCCCGAGTTCCTTGAATTTCGGGCGCAGTGTGAGCGGGAGAATCTCGATATTCCATTCCTCTTCCACTGTGGAGAGACGCTCGACATCGGCACGGATATAGACGGAAATCTCGTGGATGCCCTGTTACTCAATGCGAAACGAATCGGACACGGGTTTGCCCTAGCACGGCACCCCTACATCATGGAACAGATGAAGCAGCGAGGGGTTTGCCTCGAGCTTTGCCCCATCTCGAACGAAATCCTAGGCCTTGCGCCACGGGTTAACGGCCACGCAATGTACACACTTCTCGCGAACAATGTCCCCTGCACCGTGAGTTCCGATAATGGAACTTTGTTCCGGTAAGTCATCGCGAGGTTTACTCTTTCCTCCTCCTCCTTTATTTCCTCTTCTTTTTCCGCCCTCTTTTCGGAGGTATTCGCATCGCCAGTGCATGTCGACGTCGATATGTTTGGCTAGATCTTTTCCACTTTCCAAGACATTTGTTCTCCGCTCCTACGCCTCAACCAACCGGGCTGCGGCATCACCTAGAACTGGAGAATATTTCCCCTCACCCCCACTTTGCGACAGCGCATATCCCTTCCAACGTTTTGCAAGTTGGGTGAAGACGGTGCTGACCAAGCGGAAATTTACCAGGTCGACGTTGTCCCATGATTTCTACCAAGTTATGATTGGAAGGGCAGACATGACGCTGCACGGCTGGCGGCAACTCGTTGAGTGGAGTCTGCAGCACTCCTGCATGTCCACTGAGGAGCGACAAGGTGTCTGGAGGAAATGGGAGGTGATGTGGGACGAATTCCTCGGTTGGATCATTGCCGAATATGGTAGTGCCACGGCGGCGTAGATTCCGTCAGGGCCTGAGCGGGCAAGAAAGCCCCTTGAGTAATGAGGTGAACTCGGGGCACGAGGGGGTTGGTGGCGCAGGCGCAGCAGCGATTCTTGCTTTCGCGCTTTTTCACCAGAGGCGCCTAATGGTTCGCGATAGACTTGGACGATGTTATGTACGCTTTTATGCTCTTTTCACGTTTGGGATACCCTAGAGATGAACTTTTATTTCCTTTCTCTGTTCCCCACCATCAATTCAAGACAGAAATGACGATATCCTCGACATGCATTCAACGAAGATAGCCCCCTTCCGTCGTGGGGAGAAAAAATTCAATACTACTCTGTTCCAAATACTCTTGATGCCCGTTTACAGAGCTCTGCACTTTCCCTCCAGCCCTCACTGATCAGTCATATTCTAGTCAAGCTCTCTCAAGGTGATAAAAGATGCAGCTTATGCCGTACGCACAGTTCGTCCATTTGCCGCCCTGGACAACCAACCCTTGCAAGATGCACAACATGCAGGGTGGGCACTGGTAACTGCCCAGGAAGCGCCCGCCTGAAGGAGAAACACAGAGAGACAACTTCACTTTGGAAGCCAATTCGACGTCGAGATGCCCTGGAAAGCAAGCCGTACAGTCCAAGGAAGGGGGAAGAGGTTTCTTGAGTGGTTCGTTGCCCCTATTTGATATGGATGGATGTGTTCAAGGTTGTCTCCAGCCCAAACTAAACAATTTTGCCCCCTCGCCTCGGGCCGCCTCGTAACGCTACCCCTCGCCCCGCGCACCAGCCATCCCGTGTAACCCATCGAACCCAATGAAGTGGATCCATATCATCTTTTGAACGCACTTGCGCACCTCGCGAAGTCGACAGGCTTTGGTGGGGTGGGCGTTTGCATCGCCTCAGTGGCCAGCCTTGGCACCTCAAACCGCCCCCATGACACCGAAATCTCCAGGCGCGCCATCCATCTAGACCAACGGCGAAAAAGCGGATACTTTTTTATTTTCTAGAGAGGGAATGAAAGGCGAGAAGCAGCGCAACGCGCCGCCGTCAGGCTGCATGGGGTAATGGATCAATGCGCCCATCCCATCCAGATTTATATATTAATCATGGGCTGGCGCACATTCCCGCGGCTCAGCCTGCTGGGGGTTGGTCTCTTGTTTTCCTCCTCCCTTGCCCAACTTTTTTCACCTCTGCTTCTTTGATGCCAGACTTTCCTCTACTATGAGAAAGAAGATTTGCGCGAAGAACGAGGAGACTTTGAACACATCGTCTTGCGTGCCTCTCAATTGAAGCTTTCTGCTCGACTTGGTGATAGGCCCATTTGAGCTCTCAGAACTGATCAGAGCTATCCAGGCTAGGAAGCACCGACCAACGCAACGCAATACCCAACTCCACAGGGCTCTTCCCACTGTAACCTCCCAGCGGCAAGCTCGAACCTGAATCCTTCAGAACAGAAAAATTACACCGTGCCCGACCCCTTTTACCAGACGCCGTGCCGCGTGTTTTTTCCTCTCCTTCCTTTGCGTCTTTGGACCCTCTCACGCGCTCACCATATCCACTCTTTTCCTCTTCCTCCACGAGGAGGTAGGGATAGACGAAGCGAGTCCACGATGTCGGACGGAAACATAGACGACCGCGATGCGCCATGGTTTCCAGAGAACAAATTCGACTGGCGCCTCGATGTGGTCACCCTGCTCGCCGTCATTGGCGAGGCGAGCATGGCAGAGCACTCCCAGGCCATCACCGCGTCCGCTTTGTAAGTTCATGTTGCGCCCTCCAAAACCCCCTTCCCGTATCCTCTGCCCCACCCATTTGTCCAAACCACAACCTTTGCCTCTAGAGTCTCCCCGTTCCACCTGTCCTACTGTTCTCCGCAATAATAGTCAAAATGCACCACGAACCGGCCGGAGTCTGGTTCAACATCGGGCAGGGCCAGCTCCGTTGCTTCCTACTTTTCAAAACTGCTATCCTTTGAAACGAACATGGACTGACCCCAGCCATTTTAGCTGCTTGCTCCCACGGTTGCTCCCCGCCCCGCAGGCTTTCCTCAATGCCTCGCGCCCGAAACGACTGCCAGAAACAAAAGCCATCGTGACGGGTGTCTATAGCGGCGTCACCCTTGATTCCGTGTCCTTTTTCGCCAACATCCTCATTCCCCTCGACCTGCCCCCGTACGCTTTCAAGGTATGGGAGATCAAGCACGTCAACCCCCACCGACAAAACAGCGCAAACTCCAAGGCCTCCAGCCAAGCCCCCACCAGCTTCTACCAAAAGCTCTTCAAGCGTGGGCAAAAGCCCAAAGTTGAAGAGTTGGAGCCTGATGTAGAGATGCGGGGGGACGGCATTCCCAAGCGCGCGGCTGAGGCTGGGGCCACCGTAAGCGTTGACGCGGAGGACGAGGACCCCGCGGCGGGCGGTATGCGAAGGCGCAACACGCTCAAGGAAAAGGTGGCGGAACAGACAAAGAAGGCGGCCAACGTCATCATAGCCGGCGATAAGTATAAGAGACCCGCCGTACCCGCACAGCTTTTCAGCCCCCTCCACACTCACTTTACTGAGCTTCCTCGTATCTCTTGCGATTCTTGCTGGCGCCATTTACTGGCGCGACGGGACCGCCATCCTCGCTGTCTCCCTCATCAGCCTAGCATCCTCCATTATTGGTTACGCCTCTTGGTGGCAGCCCCAGCTCATGTCCACCCAGGGCGCCGAAAACCGCAAGCTACCGGCCGGCGATATCATGATCCGTACACGCGAGGGCGCCTTCATCTATATCAAGTGCGACGAGAGCGTCGCACGCGAACTCTTCTCCGGCACCGAGGAGTGCAAGTACCACGTTAGCTCCCGATTCCACGACGCCCTCATGGCCGCCGGCACCATGATTCTCATGTTGTCAGTCGTGCTCCTCGGAAATTGCAAGTGGAATTCCCAGATTTTCATCGGCGCCAGCTACATTGTCCTCAATGGCTTCTATTGGGGCATTGGCATGCTCCCGAAGCGCTACTCTTGGAACCTGAACCGCTTCGAGATCCGAGATAGGACGCCGTCCGATGCCCAGCGCGCCCATGAGCGAGTGGACCTCCGGCAGATTCCCCCGCCCCCAAATCCGCAGCCTCTCTCGCCTGAGCTCAATAATTGTCAACTCCAGGAGAAACACGGTCAACAGCAGGCACGTCAGGCCCTCACACACCGATACGATCCCCGAGGTGCCAGCGGATCAACAAGCGCCGCCAGTCAGCGAAGCTCCCCTTAACGTAAATTCTGACTCCCCGAAGCCCGGGCTTGCTTCACGAGGACATTGTGGTACGCCATTCGTGAAGCTGGGAGTGCGGACTGGGCCAAGAGGAGCAACGCTGCACCTCAGACAGCCATTTGGGACGCATGGCTTATACAGGCGGATCGTGAGGCGCGCGCTCAAAACCGGGTCTGGACTGCCGTCACTGCTAAGGATGAGATGCTGAACCCAGAAACCCCCATATAATACGACGTGTCCTGGCTTGTCACCCTCATCGCGTCAGATCCTGCGAGGGTGCAACCTGTTTTACCTTTCCTTTCTTCTTCTTTGGGTCTTCTTTTTCTTCTTTCTTTTTTGGGTGCTTCCACATTGCAAAAGCGTTCAAGCGAGCGAGTTTTTCTTTCTTAATTACAAGGCACGGTGTCACGTAGCTAGGAAGTTTGGATTTCTTTCCTTTTAGTGCTCTTCATGGCTGGAAATTAATGAAGTTCGCAAAAAATCGCATATTTGGGATATCACGGGAATAAATATTTGGTCAGAAGATCCTTTTTTCCTCTGCTTCTTCTTCCTCTTCGAGAATAAACACGCATTGTTTTATAAGAAAATTTAAAAAGTGTAACATGACGAATCCTGATGCTTTTGTCTTCTCTACACTCCAAAGCCTTCAAATGACTCGAGCGGCAGGTAAAAGAAAAAAGTATATACATCTAGACAACGAACCCCAACTCCGGGAGAGAGCAGTGCCTAGAGGGCCATGCTCTCTCAAAATTGAAACCTTAACCCGACTCAACGATCCGGGACGCCACGGCTACATTCGCCGCTATCTCCATACACCTTCAATAGAGCTCCAGAAGGGGCACCAGTAGGGCGATGGGACTACGATTCTCGTAATGAGTCCAAGTTTGATTCTAGTCCTCGAACCTGATGCCCGCCCTCTGGTTGAGGTCAATGGCACCCGCGCGGAAGCTGCCGCGCTTCATCTTATTCTTCTGCTTGGTGAAGCCATTACCCTTGACTACCGCGAGGTCGTCAAAGATGCGTTGATCATATGCGCTGGGAACGTATTCGCCGTGAAACCTGTCATCGACCTGGCGGCCCTTCTTGATGCGGGAGAAGGGTTCGTTTTGGGGCCGCCTTCCCTTGGGAGCCGGGTCGGGAGGGAGCGGGGGTTGGCGGTGGGGTCGGGAGGCAGAGGCGGGTTGGAGATGGCCTCAACGGGCGGAGATACCTTGCCAATGGTCACCGAGGAATCGGAGGCTGGGGCAGCCTTGGAGGCCTTGGAAGCCTTGTCCTTCTTCTTTTGGGCAACGACGGCGGCAGGAGTGGCCTTGATCCCACTATCAGAGTCGGAGGAAGAGTCGGAGGAGGAGTCGGAGGAAGAATCAGACGAGGAGTCCGAGGATGAGGAGTCCGAGTCGGGGAGAGGAGTCTTGGATGCCTTCTTGACCTCCTTCTTGGCGTCTGAGTCGGAGCTGTCGCTATCCGAATCGGACGAAGACGAGTCGGAAGACGAGCCCGAGTCAGAGCTCGAGGTGTCGGAGTCGGGGAGAGGAACAGCGGCCGCCTTTTTGGCAACGGCCGAGGAGTCGCTGTCAGAATCGCTGTCGGAGCTGCTGCCCGAACCGCTGTCGGAGCTGCTGTCAGAGCTGCTATCGGAGCTGCTGTCGGAACTACTCTCCGAGCTGCTATCGGAGCTGCTATGCGAAGATGACGAGGACGACGAGTCAGAGTCCTTCTTGGTCACCTTGGCCTTCTTGGCCTGGGGCTTCTTCTTCTTCTTCGAGCTAGAGTCGCTATCCGACGAGTCGGAGTCGCTCGACTCGCTGGAGGAGGAACTATCCGAGGCCGGGGCCTTCCTCTTCAAGTTCTTAGCGGGCGGGGCAGCCGCGACAGGGGCCGCGGCGGGAGCCTCGTCCATTTCCTCGTCGCTCGAGTCGCTGTCACTGCTCTCGGAGCTTTCGTCGGAGCTCGAAGACTCGTCGTCGCCATCGCTATCCGAGGAGCTCGAGGACGAGGACGCCGCAGGCTTGCTCTTCTTAGCGGGGGCGGCCTTCTTGGCGGCCTTTTCCGGCTCTTTTGTGGATTTCAGGTGTCAAAGACGTTGACTAGGGAAGGGAAGCGCCCTTGGAGCCGGAGGAGGCCCAGCCCTTGCTCTTCCGCTCCTTCTTCAGGGCATCATGGGCGGCTGTGAGAGAGCTATCGGAGAGGAAGCTTTCTACAAGGTCCAGGAGCTGGGAAGAGGGCGCGGCAGCCGCTTGGTCGGCGCTCTTGGACTTATCGGACTTTGTCTTTTTCGCCATGGTGACGGGTGGTTTGGTAGGTTGCGACTTGGCGGAGGAATTGTTGGCGAAGAGCCAGGAAGGGGGTCGCGCCTTCACCTGTCATAGACCCGTGGACCGGGGTTTTTGTATTCGGCGTCTCGAAGAACGAATGGCTACAAGCGCCCAAGGTTTGGGGTAAAGAGTGATGTAAAAGGAAAAAAAGAAGGGCGACGGCAGAAAAGACGCTCGCAAAAATGCCTTGCTGGTTACTTTTTTACCCTCGCGATGGGCGGTGACTACCAATTCAATGTCTGCGAAAAAAAAAAAAATTTAGGACCAGCCCCTCGAAAATATTCTACCTGTGTTTAGCCGTCCTTATCTTATCAGCCCCACCAAAGAAGTTTAAGGGGTGCAGGGACCATTTAAGTCAGGGACATTATGAAGCTGGGCCTGTTGGAGCTCTGGAATTGATTACTACGACAGTTTTGCTGCAGTGATCAGCTTCAAGGAAAATAAAAACAAAGAACCATCACGATCGATCTTGCCTTAATGGTCAACCTTGAAGCCTGAACAGAGGGCACCATTTCTACCTTACGAGTACCCTATTGATGGTTCCCCAGTTCTATAACCAGGCCCCAAATTATAGCGAAACCCGTATCTCGGTAGCTAGCGGATCACTTAGATTGACCCTGGCGGTTTAATCCGTTCCTTTTGCCTTAGCAACGAGCCGTGTCTGGAATTCAATCAACAGCCGATTTTCCTTCTCCCTCAAGAGACAGTCCAGCCGCCTCTTCAAAAACCGCAATAGTCGCCAAGATGAATGCGACGAAACGGAAATTCAATGCCATTATCCAGGGCATTGGAAATAGGCCCTCGTCACCGGCTAGCAACGCTTCAAAAGACGAGAGCCCGACGCCTCGAGGCTCGATTCCATCAGCACCATCAACTCCGGGCTCCATGAGTGCCGACGCAGACCTGCTGTCGAAGCGCCGCCGTGTGGGCATCCCCGGCTCGACGCTCGAAACAAAGGGGCCCACCTCGATATCAAACGTTGTGCTGCGAAAATGGAACTCGACCAAGAAACAGCCCGAGGCCCAGCCCCAGCCGAGGTACTGCCCAAGCGATCGCGCAGAGCTCTTAAAGCGCCTAGCAACTTTCAAGAGCTCGTAAACTGGGCGCCCAAGCCGGACCGGGTGAGCGAAGTGGAATGGGTGAAGAGGGGATGGGTCTGTCGTGGGAAAGAGCGGGTACGATGCGTCCTGTGTAATAAGGAGCTTGTTGTGGGATTGAACAAGAAGGAAGTAGACGGGAAGGAGGTATCTGTTCTTGTGCCTTCGGAAATTGGTAAGTTCCTCCACTACGAGGCTCTCTTGTTTTCTCCATCTATCCGTTTTCCAATGGCAAGGCGGCGCTAACCGTGACTTAGACGAGAAACTGGTAGACAAGTACGCGGAGCTCATCGTCGAGGCCCACCAGGAGGACTGTCTTTGGAAAAAGCGAGGATGCGAAGACTCTTTACTACGGATATCATTCAGCAACGCGACTGCTAATCTCGAGTCGCTCCGGGCCAGATACGACGAACTCTGCGCGAGGAAACCGTTTCTTCCCTATGAGTTCAACCTAAAACTTCCGGAAGAGATTGACGTTGACGCGCTTCTATCGCAGCTCCCAACTGATTTCTTTTCAAATCCGCCACCACCCAAGGATACCTCGGACCCAGCATCACCGAACAGAGCGGCTCTTGTCCTAGCACACATGGGATGGCAGGGACTATCCGACCCGCGCATAGGCGCAGTGCCTAACTCGGCGTCATGCCACAGTTGCTTGCGGCGACTGGGATTATGGATGTTCAAGAGCAAAGAAGTCGGCCCGGACAACGAGGTTATTGTGCCGGCCCCCATGGATCATTTAGATCCAATCAAAGAACACCGCTTCTTCTGTCCCTGGAAGAACGCCCACACACAACAGCTGTCGAGCTCGCGGTCTAATGCTGATCGCGATTTCCCGGCCTGGAAACTGCTTTCTCAATCCCTCCGAAATGAGGCGTACCTAAGGGGGTGATCAACGACTCCGCAAAGGGAAGCAAGGGCGTGAACAAACAGAAATCTGGGGATGCTAAGACTCAAGCCACGCCGACGACACCCACCCGGGCGGCAGGCACGCCAGTGGCAGGGGGCTTCGACTCTCCCAGTACCAGTAGCGTGTTTGCCCAGGAGGATGGTGATGACAACGCAGCAAGGGATGCAAAGGATAAGGAGAGGTGGGCGCGGCTAAGGAGGGTAAAGAGCCTGTTCGACCCGAAGGGCTCGAGGAAGTTGAAGAGGGCGGCGAGCCGTCCAGGCACCGCAGTGTCAACCAAGTCCACAAAATCAACAACAGGCAAAGATCAGAATGAGACCCAGTGAGGTCAACGATATGGGCGGTGAACCGAGCGAGGGCAACAAATCAAACAATCTTAGTAAATGTACATCAAATATTACACAGCGAGGGTTATGTTAGCGAGCGATGATCTCCTTGAAACAAGCTGCCATTTTCTTTTTCTTTTTCGGTTGAATGACCCCAATCGACGAACCAAAGTCGCCTCTCGTGACCCGTGCGCGATTATTTCTTCAACAAAACCGCGCCTTGAATCAAGTCATAATGATAACAAAGCCATGGATGTTTTCCTCGTTGTGCTGGGGGAGTCAAGGCTGAGAGGGCCAGTCACAGGATCCTTGGCCACGGACGCTCGACTCAGGGAAAATATTGGCTTGGCAAAGATGCGAAAACTCGACCCGTCGCCGCCCTAAGGGGCGACTAATAACCCCTTCTAAAATTGCAGGTACATGTCCAAGTCATAGAAGTAGGCTCAGCCCAGAGCGTCCCTTTTGCGTTTCTGCGCCAGTGGCGCGCCACAAAGGCAGTCGGATCCCTGGTAGACTGGGATTAGATTAGACTTTCCTGCGCTTCTGCAGGGGGCCAGCGAGATGCGAGATGCAAGCTGACCAAAGAATGTCCAGATCCAAGCGCCATGTTCCTTTTTCAGTAATCAAGAAAGTGGACTCGAAACCATGCGGGGTTGTATTATTGGTGTAGCCAACTTTCGTCCCGTTGTTGTCTCACTCCCAGCTTCGCCAGAGATCACCAGAGAGTGACCGAGGGTGCGGAGCTTCACCTCCCTGATGATCTTTTCTACTTCCTTTGTTCTACTTGTAGTATTTTCTCTCGCCGACCAAAACAGTATTCATGTGGATACCTCGGTACTTTCAAGTCCTAGATATTCATGTTTCTCTTCAACAGTGATGAAAGAAGAAGAAGAAGAAGAAGAAGAAGAAAAGGATTCATTCTTTTGCACGTCGCCCATCAAAGGACTTCAACAAGAATCGCATGAGGGTAGCAGCAAGAGTACCAGATGGGACATGGTCAACCTGACCGATAGTTTCCGCTGCGCCTCAAGCGCGGAAGTGAGAAAGCGGAATCAGGGGAACACACACCCCCATCATATCATTTAACTCTGCCTTTTGATGCGCACGGCTGAACCAAAAGCGGGTTCGGGCGCCACCTCACGCAAGGGCATACGACCCTCGTTAGCGTTGCTCGCAAGCTTCTATATGCTGTAAGGTTATGGGTACCCTAGCCCAGGTACCCTTCTCCCGACGCGAGCATCACAATCCAGGAAGTCGGAGGCGGGGAGCGTGGGCTTGCTGGTGCGGTTTTGGGCAAGGAGCGCGCCCAGCAGGTGTGCTTTTGTGGGAGAAGGCCGCCGCTATCCACGACTAGCTCCAATGGTAAACAAGTTCTCTGGCCCCCTGGTTGCCCGTAATATCGCCTCCCTCCTTTTTGGTCCCTTATTCCTCTCACTTCTGCTCTCTTCCTTGCCTGCCCCTGTTTGTTAGTGCCATGTTGAGCCTGCCTGCCAAGAGAAAGGGAGACCAATGTGGCTCCACGATGCTGTCTGCATTGGAAGAGAGAAAGGGCGCTTATCCCCCAAAAGATAGACGTATATATACCCCGAGTGCCTCTCCTAAACACCTGACAGAGTCAAGGAAAGAATCACTACCCGGAAATACACTTTCGTTAATACAACCCATTTCCAGTCCACTCGTTAATACTCTTTATATTCTTTTCCGGAACAGTCCGATCGCCTTCCAAGCCTCTTAATCCTCATCTACACACGCAAATCGATCAAGATGATGTACTCCAAGACCCTCGTCGCTCTCGTCGCGCTCGTCGCCTCCGTCGCTGCCGTCCCCGGATGTGTCCCGAAGCCCAAGTACGAGCCTTGCGGTGGCTTGACTCCCGTCTCTCCCAGGGATACGGGATGTAACGAGGGCTTCACCTGCGTGTCCGACCCGAGGAAGCCCGGATGCGGTCTGGCCTGCGACGAGCCCGGTATTTGCGTGCCCGATGATGTTGCCATCTGCGGCGGCATTGGCGGCTTCACCTGCGAGACCGGCCTCGTCTGCTTTGACAAGCCCGACGACAACTGCGATCCCAGCGAGGGCGCTGACTGCCTCGGCATCTGCCTCCACCCCCTCAGAACGGCCCGGTCCAGAGGAGGATCTAAGCGACGACTAGAGTCGGCGACAGTGAGCCACAATTATGGCCCTCTATCATCGACGAAAATGGAACTCGACACTTGGGAATGGCAGATGGCTTCGCTACGGCATCTGTCTCAGTTAATACTCCCGCACAAAACAAACCTTTAATTCATGGTCCGGTTAGCCAGTTGATATAATAGACCAAGTCAAAGCAACACTTTTTTCTTCCCCTTTGAAAGACACAGCCTTTGTTCCTCTTATCTACAACGAATGTAACATTATGATTCCCCGGTAATAGAGAAAAGAAAACTCAAATGCCATGTGCTGAGCTGTTTACTTCCTGAATTAAGTTTGATGGAGAAATCCGGTCTGTTTGAACAAAAGCTCCTTGTCTCCATCAATTGACGCTTGCCTGTCTGAATGAAGATTCGAATGAGGATCGAAGTTCGCACGTATTTAAGGTTATCAGTGGAAACTACAACCTTGTTTCCTTTCGGGACTTGAAAAGTGGGGAGAATGTCTCCTTTTGCAAGGTGCCCCGGTCGCTGAGTCAAAGAGATCTTGGATGGATCAAGACAGTCAATTGATCCAACGTGTCGGCGGGCATCCAAGCCAGTGCTCTCTGAGCCTCTCCAGCCTTGGCCTGTGGTCACCTGTGGCTGCGGTGTGGCTCACGTAATTCCAGCGACCGCCAAGGACAGGTGGGCAGGCTTCGGCATCATTCCAAGCCCCAAGCCCCCAAGCCTCAACCCCCAAGCCGCGCCCTCAGTAATGCCCCGCAATACCACCCCACCTTCCCGGCCCCAAGCTTGGTGGTGTCTCGCAAAGAACGAATGACGCACTTCCCAAGTTCACCTCGTGCCTTAACTTTCCATTCCTCTGAAGCCAAAGAAGGCAGGTAAAGCTATTGGAGTAGCCCACCCCGCGCAAATCTTTGTCTCTGCGGTGTTTTTTTTGTTCACAAGCCATACCTATCATTGTCTCTCTTCCCTTGCACGACTTGCCCGTCAGGTTTTACGAAGCTTTCTCACAGTCTCGGCGGCGCTGCAGCCAAACGGCCAGGCTCGTTTCACCCGCCCACGCCTATTTACCACGACCTCGGGTCCCGTGGGTGAACCAAGGCTTTCTCGCCCTGTGTTCCTGCCCGAAGCTCGAGCCCTGTCCTCGAACGATTCATCGTCGTCCTTTTCCGCTTGCCTCGAGAGCTAATCGCCAATGGTCCTCAGCTTATTGACCAACGAGCCAACAGCCCCCTCAATAACTGCCTAAGCGAGCACGTATACAAACTCGTTAGGCTCAGCACAAGAGCCATACCTCACCTTGGCCAGATACCAAGAAGTCCCTCCCTCTCCCCTTTAAATATCTATCGGCCAGAACAGGCCGTTGATAGCAGCCATGCCGGTAAGATGACATCTTTGCAAGCGCGTATTTGTTGACGCGCCCCTCCGTCCTTTTGACACTACTGCATCATACATTATCCCCTCCTCCAGCTTGAAAACCGCCTCCAACCAGCGCCATGTCTCGGGCAGCACTTTCGTCCACCATCTCCCACTACCGGGGATATCTTCACCATGAGCAACGAACTAATAGAGCATCGTATTCTTCCAAACAGAAACCCTACACGGCCGTGACGGTCTCTATCGAGAACCTCACGAGCGAGATATACGAGGAGGAAGATTTGAGCGGCATCCCCGAGCTTGTGGAAGTCATTATGCTGCAGGCTTCCGGTCCCACCGAGGCTGCCCGCGCGATCCGGAAAAAGCTCAAGTATGGAAACGTCCACCGACAAATACGAGCCCTTGTGCTGCTAGACGGCCTCATTCAGAATGCCGGCTCCCGCTTCCAGCGTTGCTTCTGCGACGAAGCGCTCCTCGAGCGACTGCGTGTGTGCGGAACCTCGGGCACCTCCCACCCTGAGGTGCGGAAAATGCAACGAGCTCTTTAGGAGCTGGGCCCAGTTCAAGAATACAGAGGGGATGAAGGAGATCTCTTCGCTCCATAAGGTCAGTCAAAACCAGCTGGGTCTCATCGATCTCGGCGTGCGTCTTGAGTTTTGTATTAACCCTGTTTTCTTTTTCTCGACAACAGCAACTCCCCAAGAGAAAGGCGGCCGTCACCCAGGAACGGTCCAAGGTTGTGAGGAGACCGAGAATCCTTTTGATAACGACGAAGAGGAGGTCCAGTCCCCCAAGAGAGGCGAATCCTCCCGGTCCTCGAATCCTCCTTACGAACAGAATATGAAGGCAGTTCAATCGTTCTCGTCCCAAGGTCACGGTCGTTCCTCGTCCGATCTGGGTCCTTCTTTGGGTCCTCCTCCAAGGACAAGAAGAAGAAGGATAAGGATAAGAAGTCCAAGAGCCGCAAGCCTTTCAACCTGGAGGCGGAGAAGGACCAGATGAAGGCCACCATTGCCGAATCCTCGATTTCGGCGACGAACCTGATGAATGCCCTCAAGAGCATTAACCGTGAAACAGAGCGCATCTCGGATAATCAGTCGGCCGTGCAAGGCTTCAACTCGTGCAAACAGCTTAGGCGAAAGATTTTGCGTTATGTAGGTGCACCCGCAGCCACGCTCGCCATGGATGGGCTCCGGGCCATGCTAACATGAAAACCCCCAGATCCACCACGTAGAGAGCGAGCAATACCTAGGCAGCCTGCTCCACGCCAACGACGAGCTCATCCTAGCCCTGATGACGTTCGAGCAGCTCGACCGCTCCATCGATGCCGACAGCGACTCGGAGGATGAGCTTGCGGAGCAAGCCCACCTCTACCGAAGTATGACATTCCTTTTTTTCGCGCCTTCGTTTTCGTCTGTGCCGTAGCTCTAACACATCCATTACAGTGGCTCAACTTCGAGGACGCGAGTCTAACCCCGCGTCACCCACGAGCCCGACGCCTGATGTCGCTGGGCTCAGTATCAGCAGCAGCAGCCCGCCGCGCCCCGCGCCTCCGAGACCATCGGCGAATACCAAACCCACTGTCCCGGCGGTGCCCCAGAGGCCACGGTACACGACGGATGACGAGAGTGAGGAAGAAGATGAGAATGATCCATTCGCAGATAGGAATGAGTCTGTGAACTTTTAAATCTATGATATCTCTGTTTAGCAGGGGCCTCGTGTATCGCAGCAGTTTTGGGTCGTGATATTTTTTCCTGTCCCCTCCCCCATCCCTTCTGTTTTGTAGCTCTTCTACCTTTGACTTTCTCTTTTTCCCTCTTTTTCTTTCTCTCTTCTTTCCCTCTCTCAACTCTCACCGCATCCATCATCTCCTGTCTCCCAGTCATGCATCCCAGCCTTGTTTCGTTTATTGGTTTCTTAGTACAACCACCCCGGATACAGAATTTTGATAGAGCTGGCATTGCTACTCGGCGAATTTAAACGTGATAAAACCAAAGGCATCTATCCTTCTACCATTTTCCCCCTCTTCTCTGTTGGCTGCAATCATTCGATCCTATGACCCAGCGACCATGTATGGAGAATCATTGGTTCGCACCTATAGCATCGAACGTCGTTGTTGGGGGCCAACGAGGTGCAGAGTGGACTGATCAGACACACCGAAGGGCGATCAAGGGCCAGACTAACTTGCCGTGCACACGATGGAGGAAGCGAGTTCCTCAACAACGCAGTTGGTGCAGATCAGGCCCCCAAACGGCGCCGACGCAACCGATGTTGAGCGCGCGCGCAAGAGGAGCGCCAGACGGTGACGGAACGCCCTTTTCCTGTCTCCCGCACCTCGCACATCGAGGGAGAGGACTTTGACCACCGCTCCTCGTCCGGCCGAGATAAAGAATGGCCTGAGAAAGGAGCCTAGATACGCCAGGACGGCGCGAGTCGCCCCTAGGGGAAAAACCACGAATTGAAAACAATTTGGAGAAAAAAAGTGTATGCTCAACGGTTATGCAGGGGAAGGGGAAAACGCACGGGATACTACGCTTCTTTTGTTTGCAAGCACGTCAGTCTGTGTTGTGCATGGGATATGGGCAGGAGATGGGTGTCATTGAATGACCTGCAGCGGCTAGTCCGCCCAGTTTTTTCTTTGTTTTTTTGTTTTGGTCTCTTTTGACTGTTTTATGGCCTGCGCTGAGGGGGAAGGGCCGCTGCATGTAGGGCCTGGCGCTGCACGAGATAGATGTACGGTTCCTTGATGGTTGACGTTTCTAGTGGAGAACAGAGAGCTCGAGGCCTTGAGGGTGAGGGGAGAGGATGAGAGGTGATGCTGGTGGATGTTCATGGCGCATGGCGTCGATTTCCCAGCTGGAGATGCCCAGACCGAGATTCATTGCAAGTCCGTGGCTTCAATTTGTTCACATATTACTATCATTTTCTCAATCCTCCCTTCTAACCGTTGGGATAATATTTATTTTCCTTCTTCATCTTCCAAACGGTGCATGTAGTGTTTTTACAGAATTTCTCCTCCCTCATTCCTCATCCCCCTCCTTCTTGTTTCTTTCTTTTTTTTTTTTTCCCCTTCCTCTATGCAAGGCAAAAAGACCGGCAAGAGGTGGGAGGCATGGCGAAACCCGGGTCTGGGTCAAGATGGGACCGGGTCCCTCGAGCGTCCGCGCGCCGTTGGTCTGCATCGACCGAATGCAGCGACATGCAGCACCTCTCAACCTTTGAAGAGGGAAATATGGAACGCGATCTGCGGAGGGCGAGTTGTAGGGGCGGATGGCGGGGCCCTGGGACGGCCGGAATGCTCGTGTGTGCGTCCGTGGTTTGGCAAAAGGGGGATCATGAGGGAGGGGTTGGGCTGGTTGTTCCGGTGTACAAGGGGATGCCCTGAAGACGAGGAGAGCCACAGGCACCGAGAGAGCACTGCGCACGCACGGGGAGGAGGAGTTGAGGCATTGACATCGGGGCAGCACAGGCAGACTGCACAGTGCTCAGGTCAACTACGTGCTGGCTCGCTCAAAGTGCCAGTTGGGCCTGGCACGGCAATGTGGAGGACGTATGCAGTACATCAACAAGCTTGGCTGGGGGCATTTAGGGGACCAGGCCCCGCTCGCGCGCTCGGTGTTGAGGATCGAAGACGCCGGCCTCAACCCGGGATCGGCCCTGCGGCGGAGATCCCCTTGAAGAAAACGGGCAGGGGAGCACGGAAACCGGGAATTGCCTTGGCTACACAAAAGGCACACTCACAGAGACCAAGGAGTTTCTAATTTGTGAAGGAAAAAGAAGAAGAAAATAAAAGAAGGCAAATCGGAGGGGGCGTGCATTTTGGCCTGGCCCTCTTCCACATTGCTACTTCTGTCCGTCTTACATCTCCTCTTCGTTTTGTAGGGTTCTTTTCTTTTGTAATCATAGATGTTTTTTTTTTTTTTCTGTCGATCGTGTGTGAGCCCAGCCTCTCTTCTCTTGCCCTCTTCAGACACGCGGAGGATGGCGCGAGGAAAGATGGGATGGGCTTGCTTGCGCTCGGTCGGTGTTTGAGAGATGTTCAGGGACTTTGTGCAGGATAGATGAAGTGTTTTATAAGACGAGAAGCAGAGAAACAACATTTGATGCAGCAATATGCACACTGCGTCCGTTTGGGCCCTCTCTTCCGCTTTTTATTTCATTTCATTTTTTATTTTATCTTCGCTTCGTCGTTTGGTGGTTGGGCTCGATTCTGTTTCTGTTTTTTAATGATTATTTTCGTGCCCCCTCCCTCTCACTCCCGCCCCTCCCAACCGACGAGGGGGTGGTTTTGGGACTGTGACGTCTGAATGACATTATGAAGAGAAGATCACAATAGCCAACGAGGAAACATTCTCAAGAGGATCTGCTCAAGTCGAGGCCCGCAATCTGGATGTATATGGGCGCCGACATGGCCCTGTCCTGCAAAGCAGAACAGACAACGCCGCGTCTGGGAGCCCTGTCCCTGCTCCTCCGGAACCAGAGAAGCAAAATAATAACCTCCGTCCGAGACTGCAAGGCTGCTAGAGAATCTCTCAACGTCACTAACGGGTACCGACGACACGGCAAGAGTGCCTGTCTTCCCCGCTCCTTTCACCTTCCTCTCGCTCTCTCTCTCTCTCTCTCCCTCTTCACGCCTTTTCTTTCTCCCCCTTTTTTTTCTCTCTTAGAAGCAGATAGAAACACCGCAGTTGATGACCCACCAAACAGATCCTTCAGAAGAACCCGCTCGGTAATTTTTGGGGGCGACTCGGCCTCCTTGGTGAGCAGAAACGGCAGGAAGCGGGTGGTGGGGGCGGAAGGCGTGGAACCGAAACTGGACACTCCAACGCCCTTTGAGACACGGCAGAAGACCCAAGCTCTTGGTTTCGAGGCACCGCGAACAGCAAAGAGAAAAAGGAGGGGGCCACAGAGGGGAGAGGAAGACTCCTCCCCTCCAAAAAGTACTTTGCCCTTCCTAACAAGGGAAACAAACTGCCAGAAAAAGAGCAAGTCGTCGGATGTGTACGCCCCCTCCTGAGGAGCCCAGCAACCTGGTCGCCCCTCAATCTTCGATTTCCCGTGTTCCGACACAGCGGCACTGTCTCGGCACACACCACACACATCGGTTTCTGCTAAAAGAGAAATAAGAAAGTGATTCCATGCTCCCTCCCTCTGCTCTGTCTGAGAAGCGATGGGTGTGATGTGTGCTGACGGGAGACAAAGTCCCGCCAACGAGATGGAGGTGGGAACCGATCGCTTAGATCAGGATTTGCCCATCAGTTCGGTAGTTTGGCCCTCCATAAATTTGATCGCTATCGCTGGGCTCGCCGCTAGAAGGAGATGGGCGCGCCTTGGAGGAACAACGCTTCGTGAACAGTGAAACATTCACAGTGGGTTGCAAAAAAGTACACAGCAACGCCGGAGAAATTCGCGGATTGGGGTGGCCACCTTCAGCGCCGGATCTGACCAAGATCTAAAAAGAAAGAAAAGAAAAAAGTCCGGTGCCAGGAGAGCTCGATCGCCCACGACCCAAGGCGGGCCGTGTATCATACACATTTCGCCTGCAAGACCGAATGGCACCACGCCAGAACCACTGGATCCTTTCGGCTGGTTCAGGAAACAAAAACAGGCACACGGGTAGCTCAGCATGGACCTTCGAGACACTGGCGCCCCGGACCGGCTCCCGTACCTTAATGGGCTTCTTTGCGGGAACTCGCCCTCGCCCTCTGCTCCCTCCTGGGGGTTTACTCTTCTTACCCTCCGTCTTGTTTTACCTCGACGTGTGCTTGTTTTTGCATCCCCGCGGCACTGAGACTGGGCCAAGCACCCAGAGGCTGGAGGAGTTGCGTCTCTGGCCGGATCGACGGCATCACCTTTTAGAAATGAGAGGGACAAAGAAGGAAAAGCTAGAGAGAAAAAAATTTCCAACCCTAACTACCGTTCGATCGCCTGCCAAAAGAAGGATGCACCCCCGATGACGGAGGCAATCATTCCCTCGTCCTTATCATGCTATATACCCTCCATGTTAGTCTCCCGCGTATTCGAGACGTGTATCCCCCGTCCATCCCGCCTTTTGTTACGACATATGGCGAGGGGGATGGGAGGGGAAGAGGAAATAATATCATGGATGTTCACTATCACCCACCTGCCCGGGCTCTCTTTTCTTGTTTTTTCTTCCTTTTTCTTGCTTGGGTCAAAGAAGAGATGAACCGAATCACGGGCCACTGACCCAACACGGGCCCCCTTCTTCGCCTTCTTTCCCAGATTTTTTCCTGCTTTCGAGGCCAAAGCTTCGCTCGGGTTTCTATATCCGTTCTTTTCCCGCCCGCTAGTCGCGCCCTGTAGAGCAAGGGAAGAGAAGAGGGAGATCGAGGGAGGGAGGAGGGAGGGCATGGGGATGAAGGATGAAGGGAATGGGCGAATGCCCGGACCTTCCAGGGTCTGAGAGGGAGCAAAGGCATTTCGTGGCTGTTGCTTTTGCCCCCCTTCCCTCCTTCGGGAGAGATGCTGTCGTGCACGCGGGTGTTACATCACCAAGGGCAGTGCGGCGAAGGGGAGGGTAGAAGGGGGAGGGAGGGCCCGTTACGGAGAACGAAGAGGTGTGATCACCGGGAGCGGAAAGAAGGTGTCCCTTTCTTGGTCCGTGGTGGATGTTTATATCAAAACAAAGCGAACGGACAACTCGGAGTCGTCGCTTGCCCTAGGAAG